AGCAAGCAAGCGTGGGGTGGGGAGCGGCCCAGGCTCCGCGAGGGCACGGGCAGGTGCTTTTCCCCAGGGCCAGACCCACCCGGCTGGCGGCCCTTGGCTATGGCTATTGCAGGCTGCAGGCGCCCCAGGCTTCTGGCTTATACAGACGCAGATCTGAACTACTGATGGCTAAGACGCAAAGCGGCTGCCCTGCAGGGAGGGCTTGGCGCACGAAAGGGGGTCTGCTCCATACAGCCCAGTGCCTCAGCCTCGCCCCGACCCCGTGACCACCCCGGCTCTGCCCCGCAGAGGCCGCCGAGGCGGGCTGCAGGGGTCAGAGCTGCAGGCTTGCACACCTGGGAGCCTGGTGATGCACACCTCAGCAGAAAGAGCTGTGCTGCCGTGTGGGCTGGGAAGCCGAACCCTAAGCCGTAGTGTTGTCACCCTGCACCGTGAGTGCACACGGCCCCGTAGCAGTGCGTGTTGTGTACATAAAGCACCACCCGCCCAGAATTCCACGGTCCCGCATGCGTGCCACGGAACAGACGAGCTGTGCTGCCGTGTGGGCTGGGAAGCCGTCCCCTAAGCCGTAGTGTTGTCACCCTGCACCGTGAGTGCACACGGCCCCGTAGCAGTGCGTGTTGTGTACATAAAGCACCACCCGCCCAGAATTCCACAGTCCCGCATGCGTGCCACGGAACAGACGAGCAAGAGCAGAGTGTGGCAGGGCCGGGACGAGGCCCACCCCTCCCCACAGCCCTGGTGGAGGTGCGAGCCCACGGCCTCAGGCAGCGCCCCTGACACAGGCCCACAGACACCACACCGGCTCTTCGCTTGGGATGGATTCTGACTTTTGAAAAATTGCTTCAATCTCTTTTTATTAGGTGTATGCGGCACTTCAAACAGTGCACGGAAAAGGGGACGAAAAGACAGAGTCTGCGTGGAAAATGCAAGCACAGGTTTCTCATAAGACACGTTTCCTGTGACCTGAGAGCCTCATTTGTTTTAAAAATGAGAAATGCACGCTAAAATTTCTCCATGCAAGCCCGGAGATGATAAAACGACAGTTTCCTCTCTTTTGGTGAAGGTTATTAACATATTTTTGTTATTAAAACCTTTCTACTCTTGATTTAAAACGCATGATCAGGAAACATTAATGAGCCGCTGGGTTGCATTTGGTGATGTTTTATTGATTGTTTTGGTCTCAAAATCAGAAAGCCTGGCACACACCTGGGACCCTTCTTGTAGGCCTGGATGTTGCCTAACAGCTTGATGCACTTTGCCACGGGGCACGGGGTTCTGGAGGGAGAGCCCCACAGCCGGGGGTGGGGTTCTGGAGGGAGAGCGCCCCACAGCCGGGGGTGGGGTTCTGGAGGGAGAGCCCCACAGCCCGGGGTGGGGTTCTGGAGGGAGAGCCCCACAGCCCGGGGGTGGGGTTCTGGAGGGAGAGCGCCCCACAGCCCGGGGGTGGGGTTCTGGAGGGAGAGCCCCACAGCCCGGGGGTGGGGTTCTGGAGGGAGAGCCCCCCACAGCCCGGGGTGGGGTTCTGGAGGGAGAGCCCCCCACAGCCCGGGGTGGGGTTCTGGAGGGAGAGCCCCCCACAGCCCGGGGTGGGTTCTGGAGGGAGAGCCCCACAGCCCGGGGGTGGGGTTCTGGAGGGAGAGCCCCCCACAGCCCGGGGGTGGGGTTCTGGAGGGAGAGCCCCCCACAGCCCGGGGTGGGTTCTGGAGGGAGAGCCCCACAGCCCGGGGGTGGGGTTCTGGAGGGAGAGCCCCCCACAGCCCGGGGTGGGTTCTGGAGGGAGAGCCCCCCACAGCCCGGGGGTGGGGTTCTGGAGGGAGAGAGCCCCACAGCCCGGGGGTGGGGTTCTGGAGGGAGAGCCCCACAGCCCAGGGGTGGGGTTCTGGAGGGAGAGCCCCCCACAGCCCGGGGGTGGGGTTCTGGAGGGAGAGCCCCACAGCCCGGGGGTGGGGTTCTGGAGGGAGAGCCCCCCACAGCCCGGGGGTGGGGTTCTGGAGGGAGAGAGCCCCACAGCCCAGGGGTGGGGTTCTGGAGGGAGAGCCCCCCACAGCCCGGGGGTGGGGTTCTGGAGGGAGAGCCCCCCACAGCCCGGGGTGGGTTCTGGAGGGAGAGCCCCCCACAGCCCGGGGGTGGGGTTCTGGAGGGAGAGAGCCCCACAGCCCGGGGGTGGGGTTCTGGAGGGAGAGCCCCACAGCCCGGGGTGGGGTTCTGGAGGGAGAGCCCCACAGCCCGGGGGTGGGGTTCTGGAGGGAGAGCCCCACAGCCCGGGGGTGGGGTTCTGGAGGGAGAGCGCCCCACAGCCCGGGGTGGGGTTCTGGAGGGAGAGCCCCCCACAGCCCGGGGTGGGTTCTGGAGGGAGAGCCCCACAGCCCGGGGGTGGGGTTCTGGAGGGAGAGCCCCCCACAGCCCGGGGTGGGTTCTGGAGGGAGAGCCCCCCACAGCCCGGGGGTGGGGTTCTGGAGGGAGAGCCCCCCACAGCCCGGGGGTGGGGTTCTGGAGGGAGAGCCCCCCACAGCCCGGGGTGGGTTCTGGAGGGAGAGCCCCCCACAGCCCGGGGGTGGGGTTCTGGAGGGAGAGCCCCACAGCCCGGGGTGGGGTTCTGGAGGGAGAGCCCCACAGCCCGGGGTGGGGTTCTGGAGGGAGAGCCCCCCACAGCCCGGGGGTGGGGTTCTGGAGGGAGAGCCCCCCACAGCCCGGGGGTGGGGTTCTGGAGGGAGAGCCCCACAGCCCGGGGTGGGGTTCTGGAGGGAGAGCCCCACAGCCCGGGGGTGGGGTTCTGGAGGGAGAGAGCCCCACAGCCCGGGGGTGGGGTTCTGGAGGGAGAGCGCCCCACAGCCCGGGGTGGGGTTCTGGAGGGAGAGCGCCCCACAGCCCGGGGTGGGGTTCTGGAGGGAGAGCCCCCCACAGCCCGGGGGTGGGGTTCTGCAGGGAGAGCCCCCCACAGCCCGGGGGTGGGGTTCTGGATATTTTTCAGATCTTCTCTCTCTCTCTCTCTCTCTCAAGCCAGCTTCGTGCATAAGAAGCACTGATGGCTGCTTTCTCTTTACCTTTTTCATCACTCATTTACTTTCCTCAAAGGCGCTCTGCTCCCTCGTTGTCTTGCTGTGTTTGTCCTGAACGCGCCTCTCCCCATTTACCTATCTTGGCTAACTCCTGAAAGACTCTCCTCTTGGCACACACACCTTGCTGTGGACTTGGCTAAGCCGCTCCATCCTCACAGCCTCCTTCCTCCCACCGTGCGGAGTGCGTGGTTCTCCCGGCTGGCACACACATGGACCCGGCCGACTTCGCCTGCTGTCGCTCCGTGAGCCACATGACGCTCCTGTGAGCCTGACCGGGCAGCACCTGCGGGTCCCCCGGCACAAGTCTAAATGCACACGCTCGTTCCCTAAAAGGGCAGTAAATGCTGTCGCGTTCCCGTTGTTAAAGGTAGCCATGCCGCCCTGTGACTTCCCTCTGGACGTTTGCTTTCTCATTGTTTCACACGACTGGTCACTCCACTTTTTATAAAACTATAGCTTTACTGTCGTGCATACTTAAAGTGTTTGATAATTAAAACAACAACAATAAAAATTGTGAAGTAGAGAATTTTAAATTGCTTGGAGATGACTTGGTTTTAGGGAAAACATCTGGATGGCAACAGGACTGTCTGTAGTTGTCCGATAACTCACTTCCTTGGAATTTGTCCTGTTCTAACAGATTGGAGTCCATTTCTTTCCTGGCACTGCTCCTTCTTAAATATATGGCTCCATATCTTCACTTCAGGGAAGTGCTTAAATCTTGCTCTCTTTAAATGTCCTTCTCTGCACAGGTTTTCCTGACTTCCCTGGTGGAGGCCAACTCTTCACCCCTCTCTCTGTCTTGGCCATCTTCTTCTTTCTGACCTCCATGTGCATGACTTTTCCCCGCAGTCGATTCTGACTCCTTTTCTTGGCTAAGCGTCGTTTTCCTGAGTTCTCTCAAACCTTCGGCCAAGCCCTCACTCCTTCCCAGGAATCTGCTGTTTTATTTTACTTTTGCTGTGCCTTTTTCCTCCCTATTTCCTCCTCAACTCCTCTGTCACTTTATTCTTTGTCTTTTTATTTCATGATTGACCTCTTTCCTCTTTGCTTTGCCTTCCCGGTTGAAACAGGTTAACTTCCTCTCCTTGCGGTTGCAACCTTCACCTGTCCCTGGCCGCGACTCTCAAAGTCCTAACGCGTCTCCTGGCTGTGTTTGCGCTGCTTTTCCCTGCAGGGTGTTTGCGTGGCTCCAACAATGCGCTGCCTTCATGATCATTATTGCTCACCTGAGCCCAGCCCCCCGTCACGCGGCCGCTCGGCGGCTGCCAGCCCGTCTCTGGGTCTCAGGGCGGTCACCGCTGGATGGCGCTGGTCATCACAGCACAGCACTCACCGTCGGTCTTGCCGGGTCCCAGGCACGTGGGGTGTGGGTGTGAGCGTTGATTTTCCTCTGGGTCCGTGAGTCACCGGCGAGCCCTCCTCCAGCTGGCCTGCTCACAGCCAGCGCCTGCCAGAGACGGCTTCCTCTGCACCGTCACTGCCTAGAGATTCCGGTGGCTCTTCTCTGCTCTCGAATGCTTTCCTCCAAGCTAGGGGTCCTTGGCCGGCCCCTGCGTCCTGCTCTTGGTCTGGAGGCCTCTGTGTGCTCCTGGAGGGGGCAGTGCTGCCTCTACCTCTGTCTGACGCTGAGGGTCTCGGCAGCCGCCGTGGGGGTCGCCGCGAGCCAGCAGGGGAACCTCCTTCCACTCACGGCCCTGCAAGGCGGCTCTCCATCTGTGTCTCGGTCTCCTCGCCGAGCCCAGGTGGAAGGGTACACACACTGCCAGTTCAAACTCTACATTATTGAAATGTGAGTGCGCCTCGCCCCCAGGATTGTGCTCAGAGAACATTTATGCGATCGGGCCTTACGAGTTGGAACAACAAGTATTTCAAACCAACGTCAGAGCTTAAAAGACACTTGGTATAACAGTCGACAAAAGCAATTTCTCATAGTCTTACCCCGGTCGCCTGGTGACTGGGAGCCCCCCGGCAGGGGACTGCCTTCTGCCCTTGCCGCTGCTGGACTCCGGGGTTGTTTTTCTAGGAGAGGCAGGTGAGGGCTGTCGGACAAACCATTGACCTTCGTCAGAAGTTCGTCCATCAGACTTGCAAGCTCATCCAGGTAGTGATTCTGAAGGGAGACAGCGAGGTCAGCACATGACTCAGGAGCCTGAATGTCTTCTTTCCTCGTCCCTGACACAGAGGGCACTGCTGGACATGGCACTGCGCCAGGTGGAACGCACGCCAGGGCTGCGGCCAGAGGTGGGGTGCCGGGCCTGTCTCTAAGTCTCTGCATTCCGGTTCCCACCATCATAACGTGTACGTCACATACGTGCATGGAGACACAAAGTGGCCACGGTTAAAACCATGCTACAGTGTGCACATGCAGATACACACACAGAGGTGTGGCTAATACCCTGTTACAGTGTGCACGTGCAGGCACACACAGAGGTGTGGCTAATACCCTGTTACAGTGTGCACGTGCAGGCACACACAGAGGCGTGGTTAATACCTGTTACAGTGTGCACGTGCAGGCACACACAGAGGTGTGGTTAATACCCTGTTACAGTGTGCACGTGCAGGCACACACAGAGGTGTGGTTAATACCTGTTACAGTGTGCACATGCAGAAACACACAGAGGTGTGGTTAATACCCTGATACAGTATGTACATGCAGGCACACACAGAACCGTGGTTAATACCTGTTACAGTGTGCACATGCAGATACACACACAGAACCGTGGTTAATACCTGTTACACTGTGCACGTGCAGGCACACACAGAGGCGTGGTTAATACCCTGTTACAGTGTGCACGTGCAGGCACACACAGAGGCGTGGTTAATACCCTGTTACAGTGTGCACGTGCAGGCACACACAGAGGCGTGGTTAATACCTGTTACAGTGTGCACGTGCAGGCACACACAGAGGCATGGTTAATACCTGTTACACTGTGCACATGCAGGCACACACAGAGGCATGGTTAATACCCTGTTACAGTGTGCACGTGCAGGCACACACAGAGGCGTGGTTAATACCCTGTTACAGTGTGCACATGCAGGCACACACAGAGGCGTGGTTAATACCTGTTACAGTGTGCACGTGCAGGCACACACAGAGGTGTGGTTAATACCTGTTACAGTGTGCACGTGCAGGCACACACAGAGGTGTGGTTAATACCCTGTTACAGTGTGCACGTGCAGGCACACACAGAGGTGTGGTTAATACCCTGATACAGTGTGCACATACAGGCACACACAGAGGTGTGGTTAATACCCTGTTACAGTGTGCACATGCAGGCACACACAGAGGCATGGTTAATACCTGTTACAGTGTGCACATACAGGCACACACAGAGGTGTGGTTAATACCCTGTTACAGTGTGCACGTGCAGGCACACACAGAGGTGTGGTTAATACCTGTTACAGTGTGCACGTGCAGGCACACACAGAGTGTGGTTAATACCTGTTACAGTGTGCACGTGCAGGCACACACAGAGGTGTGGCTAATACCCTGTTACAGTGTGCACATGCAGGCACACACAGAGGTGTGGTTAATACCCTGATACAGTGTGCACATACAGGCACACACAGAGCCGTGGTTAATACCCTGTTACAGTGTGCACATGCAGGCACACACAGAGGCGTGGTTAATACCTGCTACAGTGTGCACATACAGGCACACACAGAGCTGTGGTTAATACCCTGTTACAGTGTGCACATGCAGACACACACAGAGTGTGGTTAATACCTGTTACAGTGTGCACATGCAGAAACACACAGAGGCATGGTTAATACCCTGTTACAGTGTGCACGTGCAGGCACACACAGAGGCATGGTTAATACCTGTTACAGTGTGCACGTGCAGGTACACACAGAGGCGTGGTTAATACCTGTTACAGTGTGCACATACAGGCACACACAGAGCTGTGGTTAATACCTGTTACAGTGTGCATGTGCAGGCACACACAGAGGTGTGGTTAATACCCTGTTACAGTGTGCACGTGCAGGCACACACAGAGGCGTGGTTAATACCCTGTTACAGTGTGCACGTGCAGGCACACACAGAGGCGTGGTTAATGACATCAACACCAGGACTGCTGAATGAGCGAAGGCAGTGGCAGACGGCAAACATGACAGAGAAGCCCGTGCTATGCTGACTGCGTGAGCTCTGGCGATGCCTAGATACCAGTGACAGGAGTCACCTGAGGGCTCAGCGTGCAACACTGGGTCTGAGGTTTGCATTTGTGTCTGGCTGACACCCAGGGCTCCATGGTTTGAGTAGACGTTGGGTCCAGCAGCAGGTAGAAACAGAAAAAACTGGTTCTCAATGGGGCAGGGCACATATGTAGGTGCCCTGGCAGAGACCAGAACCTTGGTCTCTCCGACTGGACAGGGTCACAAGGACGTGGTGAGTTAGGGAGGGATGAGGTGCTTGGAAGCGCCCAAGGGGAGACCTAACAGTCTCCTCATTGCTGAAAGCAGGCTTGAGACTGCGCTGTGATACGCAGCACAGAATCTCATCCTGCTCTGACTACTGGGAGCAGATTCCTCAATGAAACCACGACCTTGAGCTTGCCCTTGTGCCCACAGATCCCACAGCCCACAGCTTACGTGGTCCTCGGCCACCTCCATCTCCTCCGACTGTGGCGTCCCCAGTCCCAGAACGGCCAGGACCTTCCTCCGGGCGTAAGCTCTGACATCGCCGAGCCTCACGCGAGATCTACTCGGAAAAGACCGTCTTTTTCGGGAGGAAGTCCTGAGGGCACGTCTCAGCTAGGGGAGGAGACAGCAGAAAGAAACTCGGGTCAGCAAACCAAAAACCAGCGTTATCAGTCTGGAGACCCTGGCTGACGGTGCCACATGGCAACCACTTAGTAAGATGGGAACCGCATGGCAGAAAGCACCTCTCCCGGCGCAGACCAGACGGCAGCAGGATGAGTGCTGACGTGGAGATCATCTCACCATAAAGGGTGGTTCCAGTGGCTGATGGTTGAGGACCCAGGTCATTAGCTCAACCAGCACATCCACCGGGCTGCAGGCGACCCAGGCCCACGGGCGGCTGTGCCCTGGCCCACGGGCGGCTGTGCGTCACTTCCTCACTGCGGGCTGGGACCGGTTAGCTCACACACCTGTAGGATCACACTCAAGTGCCTGCACATCCGTTTGCTTTAAAAAGAGCCCCAAGAGCACATTTTAGCCTCGTGGAGCCTGTCCGCTCTGCATTCCCTGCGAAACCCCACGGCATGGCTGGCGGCCAGCAGCAGGACGAGGCCCGGCACTGCTGCCACGGGAGCTCTCCCGCCCGGGACCCGCTCTGTGCCGCTGAGCCACACGCTCTCCCAGGGCACCCAGACGAGGGACAACCAGCCCGACCGTTCCTCTCTCCTGCGACCGTCTTCGTCCTCGGTCAGCCCTGACACCCCTCGGACCCCTGAGAAAGGGTCTGGACTCTGCAGGAGTGCCCAGGAGCACGAGAGGACAGGCCGCCGGCATGGAGACGGTGCCCTGCCCACTTGTACCTGGGTCTGAGGGCTCCTGGCCCAACCAACCCAACAGCCGCACGGACGGCCCCTGACTCGTGTGCTCGGGGCCCTGGGCGCTATCTCCGGTTTCAGAGAGGAGTCCACAGCTCGCGGCGCGGCGCGGCATGGCACGGCACGGCACGGGAGGCCCTCCACTCCCAGCTGCAGCGTGCGCCTGCTCGACCCCGACTGCAGCATGCCCTGCCCAGTGCCTCTGCTGAAACTGCTGCCTGCGGCCACTGCAGTGAGTTGAACACTCCTCCCACGGAGTGAACACTGCCTCGGGAGGAACAAAGGGGTCTCTGACCAACTGCACGGTGAAAGACCTCGGATAGCCGAGACCGAAGGCAAGAACCAGTGGGAGGACCCGGCTGTGCTAGTCTAAGGCTTGCTATAGAGTCGCAGGAATCAAGACCCCCGAGAGACTGGCGAAAGGCGGGATCAATGGGACAGAGTGGAGCAGCGAGACTGAGGCCCTCACAGACAAAGTCCACCGCCTTCGACACAGACGCAACAGCCATGAGCAGAGGGTGTTTTTCCGGACACTGACACTGGACCGAGCGGACACCAGCCTAGAGGAACCATGACTTCTCGTTCACTCTCATACTAAAGTGCACCACTAACCTCGATATGAAAACAAGACCATACACATTCTGAAAGAAAACACACGGAAAACGTGTGCCCGTGGCTGCGGCAGTCTGTTTTCAGACGTGACTCCGAAAGCCCAGTCCATGAAGGAAAACACTGCAAACCTGCCCTTGTCAAAGTTCACGACCGCTGTGAGGGGACAGTGCCTGCAAACCACTGCAAACCAATACGGCAGCGACATTCAAAACCCGAGATGCGCGGATGGATTACACGCGGGTCCTCCCCTGCGGACGCTCCACTGCCTGAACGTCACGGACCTTCTGTAAGTGACAGCTCAACAGGTGCATGAGGGTAAGGACAGGTAGAGAGGGACAGCAGAGTGGGAAGGAAGATGGGTGGACCAGTGGATGCATAGTGGATACATAGTGGATGGATGGATGGGGAGGTAGTTTAAGGGGTGGGTAGATTGGTGGATGGATGGATGATGGATGGATGGATGGATGGACAGATGAACGAGCCGTGAATGTGGAGCTTAGAAAAATGGAAAGAAGTAGAGAACTCAGGCCGCACGCGCTCAAGGAGCGACAGGTGCAGTCCTCCTAGTTTCACTCTGCTCACTGCACTAGAATACTAAGAGCTGCAGAGGAGGCTTCCCTCATTTAACATCTTGGCTCTGCAGTTGTCCGAAGCTACCCAGAATGGGGCCGGCACTGTGGCGTAGTGGGTAAAGCTGCCACCTGCAGTGCCAGCATCCCATATGGGCACCAGTTCAAGTCCCAGCTGCTCCTCTTCCAATCCAGCTCTCTGCTGTGGCCTGGGAAAGCCGTAGAAGATGGCCCAGATCTTTGGGTCCCTGCACCCATGTTGGAGGCCTGGAAGAGGCTCCTGGCTCCTGGCTTCAGATTGGCTCAGCTCTGATCATTGCAGCTATTCGGGGAATGAACCCAGAAGACAGATCTCTCTTTCTCTGCCTCTGCCTCTCTGTAACTCTGCCTTTCAAATAAAATAAATAAACCTTAGAAAGAAAAAGGAAGGAAGGAAGGAAGGAAGGAAGGAGGAAGGAAGGAAGGGGAGGGAGGAAGGAAGGAGGGAGGAAGGAGGGAGGGAGGGAGGGAGGAGGAAGGGAGGAAAGAAGGAAGGAAGGGGAGGGAGGAAGGGAGGGAGGGAGGGAGGGAGGGAGGGAGGGAGGAAGGGAAGGAGGGAGGAAGGAGGGAGGGAGGGAGGGAGGAGGAAGGAGGAAGGAAGAAGGAGGGAGGGAGGAAGGAGCCCAGAGGCAGGTGCATCCAGCCAGCTGTCCGGAACGTGTCCAGGGCTCCGGGAGACAGAACACCGAAGGTGCATGAGGAGCCTCAGAGCCTGGGGATCGGCTGCTGGGCTCTGGGTGGGGAGCGCTGGGAAGCGTCAGCAGGGGCCTCCTCGAGGGACAAATGCTGTCTGGGGAGAAGGAGCCCGGCTTCCCGCTGGACGAGGCGCAGAGGAGGACCCGGCAGGAGGCCCCTAAGGGGAGGATGATGCAGACGCCAGGGCATGGGGCTGGCCTGCACGGAGCAGGGCTTCCCAGCCTGCATCTCAAGAGGACACCTGCCCGCTGTCAGAAACACAGGCACTGGGCCTGGCTCCGAGGTGGGGCACGGCAGTCCTGGGGGCACCTGAGGGGCTGGGCAGAGTGGGGCAGGAGGCCTGGAAAAACACAGAGCGCCGGTTCCGGTTCACCCCGCCCCCAGCCCCGGGAACAGGCAAGCAGCTTTATGCATAGCTGTCTACACCCAGCCGGCTGGGGCGGGCTGACACCTGCACGCTTTCTCTGTCACCGGCTGCCCTGTCCTTTTATTTACTGAACCTGTCAGCCTCAGTGGGGTGGCAGGACAAGGTCAGAGGACTCTTCCTTCTCGAAGGAGTTTAAGCCTGGAGGGGACACGACCTCACTTGCCAGGGGAGGTCAGCAGGGGGGCATGAAGCAGGGGCCCCAGCCTGGAGCACACGTCCCATGGAGGCTGGCTGGGGGAAATGAAGGCTGAGATGAGGGGGCAGGCCAGACGTCCAGTTCAGGGCAAGGAGAGCTGTTCAGCACGGGGTGAGGGGCTGGGAAGGCTTCCCGGAGGAGGCAGCCTCTGCAGCGGCCTGGCTGGACTGCTCGAGGCTAGAGTCAGGCAGCTGCCCAGGGCAGGCCCGATGGGCCCAGGGCTGAGTGACTGTCCGATCTGGCCAGCGCAGCCGGGACCAAGGAGCACTGCACCAGTCAGCCAAGGAAGCATCCAACCTTGACCTCACATCCGCGAGCAGGCACTCACCGTTCGGAAACACAGCGTGGCCAGCACCGCACCAAGGGCCACGCGGTAGCACGCCGCGGCGCGCGGGTCGGCCCGCAGAAGGCTGAAGCGTGAGTCTGTTTGGCTTCTTCTGGGAAAGCCGAGGGGCAGCCCGGGGAAGGCGGCTGGAGCCCAGGTGGCGAGCAGAAGCCGGTGCAGGTGGCAGTGGGCGGCCAGCAGCAGGGCCCCCGCCAGCTGTCGGGAGAATGCGGGCACTGCCGTCAGCAGTTTCTTAGGAGGGAAAACCAACTACTGTAAAACCGGCAACGCACGGAGAGGGGCGCGTGAGTGAGCGCGGGGCCAGCTCTGCACGCTGCGCCTCTCCCGAGCCCTCCTCGGAGTTTCAGCGCTGCCACCGAGTTCCAGCCCTCAAGAGGGGACGTCGGGGGGCAGGGCCCGCAGCCAAGGGAAAGAGCAGTGGGGCCTGCATGGAATGGCGTGTGTACCAAGTCCCCGAGGCAAGCCCTGGCCCCTCGTCCCGGCCTCTGGCAGGAGCCAGTCCTGCCCACAGCTTGACTGAGGGAAGTCAGTAGGCTGTGACCCCGGAGAACCTCCGCAGCTCGAATAACGACCTACGTTAGTAGCAGTGATGACGGTGCACGCCTTGGGAGTGGGTGACACAGGGCCAGGGCTGCATTGCTAAGGCTCATGTTCTCAGACTGTAACTTGGGATATAACCCTGGATACCAGCACCAAACCCCGCACCACCCGGGCAGCTGTTTGGTGTGGCAGCTCAGGTGCCACTCGGGATGTCCGGTCCCACGGTGGAGTGCTGGAGTCGGCGTCCCAGCTCTGCTCCCTGGGAGGCAGTGGTTGTGGGGAGCAACTCGGACTAGACTAAGTTACTGGAATTAAGACTTATTCTATGCATCTGCTCTCCCACAATATGGCGCTGGGAGAGCAGGAACTAGCTTCTACACAGCTGCCTCCAGTTCAACCAATAAACTGTAGGACCTGCTCCTGATTGGAGGAGAGCAGCGTACTCGGCGTGTGGGCAGCCGAGTTGGGATTGGTGGAAGAGGACTATAAAGGAGGAGAGAGACAACATGCACCAGGAACATCTAGGGGGAACATCTATCTGAAGGAACACCTGTGCAGCCCCCGAGAGAGCCGGCCGGCGGTGTGCTGCTCCCCTGCGGAAGTGGGGAAAGTGGCAGGGGGAACCGCCCTTCCACGGAGGTGGAAGGGCCGGTAGCCAACCCGGGAAGAACCAGCAGCAAACCCGGGGAGGGCCGAGCAGACAAAAGAACAGCGCAGGGTCCTGTGTCGTTCCTCCACGAAGACGGGGAGCGACAGTGGTGACGGTCCCGGCTCCCCTGGGAGACCCGGCCTCAGCCCGGCCAGCCACTGCAGGTATTCGGGAGCCGAGTCAGCAGTCGGGAGCAAAACAAACCCACCTCGCAGTGGCTTAAAAGACAGAGCTGTGGGCGGCACTGCTTCTCCCTGAGAGGTGTGTTTGTCCCCAGCTGACACGACCATGCCGGCGCGCGGGTAAGGGGGATGCTTACCGCTGGTACAAGGGCACGGGAGAGCGAGCGGCAGAGCACGGGAGAGCAGGCGGCCGGCAGGGCCAGGGGCCCGAGGAGCTCCACACACCTCCACAGCAGCAGGAAGGAGAGGAACCCCTGTAGCCATCGCACCCTCTGGGACAGAACGGGGGGCGGGGGGAGGGCGTCATTCCAGCAGCTGCACCTGCAGGCCCCGCGCCAGGTGGACGCACAGCTGCTGTGCACGGGGCCACCGGCCTCGGGGACAGGAGGCACAGGGGCCTCAGTCGGCACTGGGGTAGGACAGGCGATGACGCGTGTTCAGGAAGACCCGAGCTGAGTTCTGGGGGGATCGGGGAGGAGCAGGTGTGGCCATTCCCTGCCCGAGCCTCACTCTGCTGCGCTCCATGAAAAGCACCGGGCAGAGTAGAAGAAAACATTCAGCGCACACCACGCCCTCCCCTCCCCGCCACGGGTGCCAGCACTGCCAGGCCGGTTTCCACTGGGTCCTCCTAAAAACTGGAAGCCATCACGTCGTTCAGCGCTGGGGTCTACGGCTCAGATCCGCCAGGTGCCCGACAGAAGCGGCCAGCCGGGGACAGGGAGGCGACCCGGCCATCGGCCAGGCCATCCAGCTGCTCATGTGCACCTGTGGCCTGGAGAAGGCCCTGGCCTGAGGGCCACTGGAGCAGTGCTCGCGGTGCCTGGGCTTAGCCCTTCTCTCCGCCACGGCAAGCTGGAGACAAAGGCAAGCGGCATCATCAAGATCTGCAGGGACCGTGTGGTTTCCTCACTGATCGGGGTGAGGTCAGCCCAGCTGTGAGTGGCGGTCACATCTCTGTCCCCTTCAACAGGCAGCACGGGGGCCGGGGGGACGCCTGAGCGGGGTTCCAGCCAGCACCCGGCAGGGGCGGCCCCAGTGTTTACGCCGTGGGTTAGGCAGGAGTTCCTCTTGCTGTCCTGTGTAAACAAGTGTCTAAAACAGCGGCGGCCCAAGTGAGGTCCGGGAGAGCGGACTGTGGACACTGCCAGCGCGTCCCACCGGGCCGAGCCCCACTCCAAGTCCTCACGTGCCACGCGGGGCCGGTGGATGCTCTGTGGACAGCGTGGGAAATGGTGCCCTGCTGCCGCCCTCCGATGCTTCTGGCTACTGTTCCCATTCTGTCACCCTCGGGACACCACAGGTGTGGGCTCTATGCTGAGGGCTGTTGTCTGTATGCGACATGCACCCTCACACCCACTCACATCCTCAAAGACACTCACATCCTCACACCCACTCACACCCACGCACCCTCACACACACTCACACCCCCACCCTCACACCCACACACGCATGCACACTCACACCCACTTACACACACACACTCACACCATCACACACACTCACCCACACATTCACTCTCACACTTACACACACATGCACCCTCACACCCACTCACACCCATGCACACTCACACCCCCACCCTCACACGCATGCACACTCACACCCACTTACACTCACATCATCACACACACACCTTCACACATTCACCCACACACTCACCCTCACACTTACACACACCACATGCACCCTCACACCCACTCACACCCACGCACCCTCATATACACTCATACTCCCACCCTCACACCCACTCATACACATGTACCCTCAACCCACTCACATCCGCACGCCCTCACACCCACTCACATCCATGCACCTCACACCCACACACGCATGCACACTCACACCCACTTACACACACACACTCACACCATCACACACACTCACCCACACTCACTCTCACACTTACACACACATGCACCCTCACACCCACTCACACCCATGCACACTCACACCCCCACCCTCACACACATGCACACTCACACCCACTTACACTCACATCATCACACACACACCTTCACACACTCACCCACACACTCACCCTCACACTTACACACACCACATGCACCCTCACACCCACTCACACACACGCACCCTCATACACACTCACATCCTCACACACCCACCCTCATATCCTCACACCCCCACCCTCACACTCTCACACAGTCACCCACCACACTCAGCCACACACTCACCCTCACACACTCACACCCTTACACCCACTCACATCCTCAAAGACCCACACTCACATCCTCACCCCCACCCTCACACCCACCCTCACACCCACTCACACACACACCCTCATACCCACACACCCTCACACCCATTCACGCCCACACACCCTCATACACACTCACATCCTCACACACCCACCTTCATACCTTCACGTCCTCACACCCACCCTCACACTCATACCTTCTCACATCCCTTCACATGCCCTCACACACCCACCCTCATACCCTCACACCCACTCACACCCTCACACACCTGCCCTCACACTCAGGCCCTCACACACACACCCACTCACACACTCATACCCTCACACACACACCCTGACACCCACACCCACATACCTCTTACACACCCTCACAACATTCTCACACACACCCACACCGCCACCCCTCACACACACCTCACACACTCACTCCCCTCACACACACCCTCTCACACCAATCCCAGCCAGACCCGCGTGCAGCCGTGCGTGCTGGCCCCACCTTGCGGAGACCTGGGGGGCGGGCACCCAGCCGAGGGGCGGTGGGGCCGGCATCGCAGCCCTGACTCCAGCCCTGGCTCCAGCCCTGTGTGTCCCCAGTCGCAGCTCAGCCCTGTGCGTCTCCAGTCGCAGCTCAGCCCTGTGCGTCATGAAGACGTCATGGGCTTCCAGCACCAGGGACGGGCAAAGCTGACGTCTGTGTGACGCCCTCTCACTCTCCCCACAGGAATTCATTTGGCAAACTGCCCGGGAGGCCCCCACAGGAGCGCGCCTGGGGGTAAGTGGCGAGGGTGGTGGCTGGAGTGCAGGCACCTCGGGGCGGATGCTGTTGGCACCACATGCTCCCCGGGGCGGCTCGTGACACCCAACAGCACAGCCACGGATCTGAGTGGTTCCAGCCATGGCTTCTGCCGCACCTGGGCAGCCCTGGGCCACAGCAGAGTGGACGGCGTCCACACCTCCCAGCTCAGCACTCAGGTCCTGCTGCTCCCAGCTGGATGTGTGTGGCCTTTCGGGCGCTGGTCTGGCTATGTGTGAGGCTGCGTGCCTGCTGCCGGCCGGCTGTGCCGGTCAGCGTGCATCTGACCTCCCACGTCTGCAGGGCACAGGGCGGGTCGGCTCTCAGCCGGAAGCTTGCTGAGGAACGGGAATGGCCGCCTGGTCTCGGTGCGGTGCCCCGGGGAAGCAGGCTTCTCCCAGGCCAGCGCTTCCCCCAGGGGCAGGGCTCACGAGGTGAGAAAGATGGCCCATCGTGGGGAGGACAGGAAAGGTGAATCCGTTTGCCAGGCCAGAGCCGGGAGGAGCCGCCTGCTCCCTGAGGGTCACTGTGCCGTGCGCTGCTGCCCCGCACAGCAGGTCCCCTTCCCCTCGGCGGCTTGCCCACTGACCTCCACCCCCGGCTGACCAGTGATCAGAAACTCGAGAGCTGTGCTCCGAGACAAAGCCGACCAGCAGCTGTGGCCTGCGGGCGAGGTGAGGGCCAGCAGGGCCACACTGGCCTTGCAGCCACCATGCTGTGTGTGGCTACAGTTTGGGGACATGGGTGAGCCAGGGCCAGCTGGTCGGCAGAGGGCTGTGCTTGCCCAGGTGCTCAGGGACATCCGGGGCCTCACTGAAATCAGCAGGGCAAGGAAGCAAGCACGTGGGCCCGGGCTGCCCTGGGGGCGACCTGGAAGCTGGACTGCTCCCCTGGGCCTCCGGCCCCCAACTTGCAAGGGGCAGTGAGCGTCACCTGTGTGTCCAGGGCCATGGCCAGGACGCAGAGACACGTGGCTGCCACACCCCTGAGAACGTGGGCACTGGCTCCCTTCTCCCCCCTGCAGCCACTGGGGGGCTGAGGAGCGCCTGGAGGCTGCCTGCAGAGGCCACACCCACACACAGCTCGCAAAGCTTGTCCTGAAGGCTACAGGCCCTGCTGGCCACGCCTGTGAGCTCAGAGCCATCGACTCCCTGTACCTGATCCTGGCCACCTGCTCCGCGAGCTCAGAGCCATCGGCCCCCTGTACCTGACCCTGGCCACCCGCTCCGTGAGCTCAGAGCCATCGGCCCCCTGTACCTGACCCTGGCCACCTGCTCCGCGAGCTCAGAGCCATCGGCCCCCTGTACCTGACCCTGGCCACCCCCTCTGTGAGCTCAGAGCCATCGGCTCCCTGTACCTGACCCTGGCCACCCCCTCTGTGAGCTCAGAGCCATCGACTCCCTGTACCTGACCCTGGCCACCCGCTCCGTGAGCTCAGAGCCATCGGCCCCCTGTACCTGACCCTGGCCACCTGCTCTGTGAGCTCAGAGCCATCGGCCCCCTGTACCTGACCCTGGCCACCCGCTCCGTGAGCTCAGAGCCATCGGCCCCCTGTATCTGACCCTGGCCACCTGCTCTGTGAGCTCAGAGCCATCGGCCCCCTGTACCTGACCCTGGCCACCCCCTCTGTGAGCTCAGAGCCATCGGCTCCCTGTACCTGATTCCACGACACCATCGGGCTGAGGTCCACAAACACTTGGTAAAATCCCCTGTGGAACTGGTCAGCGACTTCCCCAGCCAGGGTAGCGAGGTGGCCAGCGGCTACGTGGTAGGTGAAGCCTGTCCCAGCCACGGCGAGCTGCAACGCCGAGGGGAGAGCACTGCTCAGGTCGGCGCCCGAGGAAGGGCCGGGGGGCGGGCCGGGGGGCACGGGGCGCGGCCTGCGCACAAAAGGGCTGAGCAGACTCTGGATCCCGCAGAGGGCAAGGCAGGAAGAGCGGATGGTGCCGGGGCAGCCGGGGCAGCTGGCGCACGCGCCGCTCCTCGTCAGGACGACTTTCTCCTGTGACATGGACGCGCAGAGGAGGTGACAGAGGACAGCCTACCTCCAGCCAGTTTCCTGGTTTGTGCCAATAGCTGAGGCCGTCCTCGTCCACCATAGCGTAGACTTGGAAGCACAGGTGAGCCAGGCTGAGCACCAGGGAGGCCAGCTGGGGGCAACGAGACAGACACACTGTGACGCAGGCACCCTCTCGTCTCTCGGGGTGAAGCCCGGGCTGGCTCAGCTGCCAGTGCCCATCCCAGCAGGCAGAGCACAAGCCATTCTGATGATGAACTTGACCTTCAACAGGCACCCAGGGCCCTGTGTCATGTGCTCACAGAAACCCTGCTCTGGCCAGGGGAGAGCCCACGAGGGGCCCTGTGCTGTGGAAAGTGTGGACATGGTGGGAGCGACCACCGCCTGGCCTCGAGACGCCCACACCAGCCCCTCCAAGACCTTCCTGGGTTCTGCTCACAGAACCAGAACTCACACAGGCACAGATGCAGGCTCAGGGCACATGCTAGCTTCCTGGCCACGTGAAAAGTCTTAGAATTTCTGGGTACCGCATTTCTGGAAGGTAAGTGGCGCTCTGGCCAGCCAAGAGTGACCATTCACTCTTGGCTTCACACGCTCAGTCCCTGACCCACATTCAGCCATGAATTTGCCAGGGACACAAACACCTTAGCAAGGGCCAGGCCTTCTTTCTGTGCTCTTTGGGATCCGTGCCTGGTGCCCCCAGGCCCCTCGAGCAGCCTCCCACGGGACGGGGGCAAAGCGCCCATGGTGGTTAACAGCAGGTGTCAGCAGCAGGGGCGGGCCCGGCACACAGGGGCCTGAGGCCGGGGGGTCAGTGAGACTGATCGAGCCACTGCCTGAAACTCGTCATTCACCTTGGATGTTTTGCCTGAATTCTGAATTTGAAGAAGATCCCCTTAGGAAAAGATCGCCACTCACCTTGGCCACCGAGTTTCTGCTGGGCCTGAGGCCAGTGCCTGCCCCCTTCCCTGCCCACCCAGGAGCTCTGCTCAGGGTCTCGGCCTTGACTGTGTCCCAGGGCAGGCCCCAGGCCTGCGACCTCGTGGGGGCCCCTCCTCACTCCCAGGGCCAGGCCAGCTTGGCCTGCAGTCGGCAGGACTTGGCTCTCAGGGCAGGAAATGACCGCATCCTTGGGACAGGCTCGGACGGCTGCGCACTGAGGCCCTGTGGCCGAGAGCTGAGCTGGGTCCCCGGATTCACAGGTTGGAGCCCTGGTCCTGGCATGGCTGTCTGGAGATGAGGCCTCCACTGACCCTGTAGGACAGTGTCCTTGAGTGAAGAGACTCCAGAGGCCTCCCCTACTGTCTCTGTGTGCCCACACGAGGGCAGTGAGGGGGCAGCCGTGTTCACGCCGGGACAGCGCCGCACACGCTCTCGTCCTGTGCCCCCATGCCGGTGTGACGGGGACATGGCACAGATGTGAGCAGAGGGCTGGGCACGTGGTGGATCCCCGTCCCTGTGCCCCACGAGGCCCGAGCAGGGCACTCACCTCGGACAGCACGAGGCCGTGGTCCAGGGCCGAGTCGCTGCGGAAGACGCTGACGGAGTCCACCTGGGAGGAGGGGACGAGAGCCCCCGTGGGGAGAATCTCCACTCCCAGGGCAACGCTGGTGAAGAGGCGGCTGGGAGGGTGGAAGAGGGTGAAGTGCACGGACACAGCCCTGGTGCTGCGGCCGATCCACCTGCTGGCCCTGAGGCCGGTCAGGGCCGCCTGGACTTCACGCCTGTGGAACGGCAGGGGGGTGGGGGCGGGGGCATCACACTTTTGCAAGGACAAGCGACTCCTGGCCTGCGAAGGCTGGCGGGCGGCCCTCTGCAGGGCAGGGACCCTCCCCTTGGCCCACAGCCCCCTCTCCGTGCCCCACCCTCTCGCCTGCAGCACTGGGGGACACAGAGGCAGAGGGAAGCCACAAAAGGAGAGCCTCGCTCCCCACTACTCCAGGACCTCTCCCAGGGCTCTGGAATATTCTGGAATATTCTGTCTTTGCTGAAGACCCCGTCTTTGAAAACAAACTGCCTTTTAGAATCTAAATTTAGTAGCACAGCCTTAACTTTTTATTTTTTTAAAACGTTTCTCAAAGGCGCCCATTATCTACCTCTGCAGACTCCCTTCCGGTCTAGACACCTGTGCGACACTGCCAGCGTCAGCACGACCCCAGCCCAGTGCTCGGACCAGTGCTGGCCGGAGCCAGGGAGGCAGAGGCGGGCCTAGGGCGTGCTTGCAGGACAGGGGGCACTGCGCGACCCTGGACCCCACACCTGGCTGCAACTGGGCGGGTGTCTGCCACGCGCGGAACCCCGCCCCTCGCCTGCCCAGCGTGTGGTGCACAGCGGCACCCGCCCTGCTACAGAGCTGGGTGAAGGGTGAGTGTGGCCTTGACAGCCCGGGACCGACACCACTCTGCCCACAGCCTCCACGGCCCCAGGACCGACGTCCACTCCGCCCACGGCCTCCACGGCCCCAGGACCGACGTCCACTCCGCCCACGGCCTCCACGGCCCCGGGACCGACGTCCACTCTGCCCGCAGCCTCCACAGCTCCGGCCGCTGCCTGTCAGGAAGACTCCGCCGTCCTTGCCCTCGCACTTAGGGGTCTGCAGACCCGAGTTTGTTGTTGTCACCCCCTGTGCATGGCCCTTCCATGATTTTACAACACATCCCGCTCGGGCGCTGGCCCTGGCCTGGTCCACACGGTCCCCTGGGGGAGTGTCCAGCGGCTCGGGGTGGGACCAGCAAGCAGTGGGCTCACACTGACCTCGTTCTGCCCAGGCTGTGCACACAGTCGGCGCTCACTCCACAGCCCCCGGGACAACTGGGGCTCCTATTTCGGTTCTCAGGGCCTTCAGCTTCGGGGCTCTGTGAGCGAGGAGAGTCTTCCACTGTGGCCGACGACGGCCCGGGAGGCTGCAGGACCAACCACCAGTCTGGAGAAACGTCCCTACTTCCAACGCTCCTGAACTCTGGGGCCCCGGAGCCCCGCCCACCCTGAACCACGGGACCCTCTGCGGCCTGGCTCACGGCCTCCGGCTCCGGCTCTGCTGGAAGGTGGTGTGACTGTGCAGGCTTCCCATGGCAGGGCGACTCGGGCGAAACACTCGTCTCAGCACACACCTGCCCAGTAGGCAAGCGTGACCCGCAGAACAAGAGTGAGGAGTCCCCACTCGGGGCAGCCAGGCGGAAGGGGCGTGTCCTCCAGGCCATACAGAGGGGGCTTTGACCGACCCACGGACCCGCAGGAAAACCTCGTGACTGCAGCCAGGGCAGCCGAGCAGATGTGGGAATCTGAGAATTAGCCCAAAACAAACTTGCTAACTTTCACACAAACTCGTCTGCTCCAGGAGGAGCGTGGGCCTTGCTAGTGAGACACGTGACCTGTCGGCAGGGTTCTCAATGCGCCTGCGTGTGCAGCACCACCAGCAGCAGTGCTGACGGAGCGCCCCCTCGGTCCGCTCAGAACACGGGGGCCCTCGGCCAGAGCCGCCTCTGCTCCGGAGGGGACGCCGCGCTCTCCCGGCTCTCGGCAAGTCAACTCCTCCGTGTGACAACGGCTCCTGGGCAGGGTTCTGGCTTCAGCTCATGCTTGGGGCAGTGACAAGAGGACAAATGGATCCTCTGCTTTTGGGCTAAAATCCCGGTTTTGCCTGGAACTCCCCATCTCTGCAACCAGACGGCACCGTGAGCAAAGCTAAGCAGAGCGACGAGGTGTGGAAAGGGCCGCAGGCCGGGCTCAGACTCTTGATGACTGACCGTCCGCAGTCCCCCCATCTCGGAGTGGCTGGAGTGCCCCGCCCGTCTCCTGCCCCGCAGCTCCTAGGTCTAAGTCCATTCCCCCCCCCTTTTTTTTTGACAGGCAGAGTGGACAGTGGGAGAGAGAGACAGAGAGAAAGGTCTTCCTTTGCCGTTGGTTCACCCTCCAATGGCCACCGCGGCCGGCGCACCGCACTGATCCAATGATAGGAGCCAGGTGCTTATGCTGGTCTCCCATGGGGTGCAGGGCCCAAGGACTTGGGCCATCCTCCACTGCACTCCCTGGTCACAGCAGAGAGCTGGCCTGGAAGAGGGGCAACCGGGACAGAATCCGGCGCCCCGACCGGGACTAGAACCCGGTGTGCCGGCGCCGCAGGTAGAGGATTAGCCTAGTGAGCCTCGACGCAGGCAGTCCATTCCTTTTTCAGAAGCAAAAGAGAACACCTTACCTTGCACGAACCTTGGGGAGCAACTTTCAGCTGCTTGATGACCGGGGAGCCCAGCAGGTGGCATCTCCCTCCCAGAGGTCCAGGCTGAAAGAGGAAGGAAGAGTCAGAGGCTTGGGGCGGGCAGAGGGTCCAGGGCCATCGAGCGGGGCCACAGCGGCCTGGTACGCGCGGGTCAGCTCCACCCGCTGCACTGGACGTCAGCGTGTTGCTAGCTTTCTAGAACCGTCCCAAGGAGGGCGCCCACCGGGAAAGGCGGCCTTGACCTGGAAGTGGGCCAGCATTCCAACGGTGCTTTCCTGATCTCTAAGTTTTGTCTAAACACTTGACATCCTTTGAGAGGACACAGAACACAGCAAAGATAAAATCAGACATAAAGCGCTTGAAGAATGCAGGCAAAGACATTTTAACGAAGGAGGGTGGTAGGAGGAAGCCAAAGATGACCAAGAAAAGGGGTTAAACAAAATGCCCATTCGGGGCTGGCGTGGTGGTGCAGCGTGTTAATCCAGCGTCTCAGAGCCCTGGTTCAACTCCCGGCTGCTCCACTTCCCGTCCAGCTCCCTGCTACTGCGCCTGGGAAAGCCGTGGACGATGGCCCAAGAGCTTGGGCCCCTGCACCTGTGTGGGGGACCTGGGTGGAGCTCCAGGCATCCTGGTTCCTGCCTGGACAGCCCCAGCTCTTGTGGCCAGTTGGGGAGTGAACCAGTGGAAGGAAGGGCTCTCATTTTCTCTCTGTCATGCTGCCTTTCAAATAATAAATGAATCTTTAAAAATGCGCTTTTTTTCTGAGCTCGGAAGCGGCCTCTCCTCTTTCCAGAAGCTTCCTTGTGGTGCCTTTCTGCCTGCTGCTCCTCAGGGCCGTGTGCTCCCTCCCTGGTCACGGAATTTCGCAGACTGAGCCCTGGTCTGCACCTGCTTCCCTCGCACTGCTGTCCACCGCGGGCCCGTGGGGTCTGCTGTTGCCTGAGTGTGCTCTGGCCTGGGGATTCTGGAGCGAGGAGGGTGTGAGAGGATGGGCCGGGACCCAGGAAAGGAGCAGGACCCCCCCACCCGCCACTCCCGCCACGCGGCGCTCTGGACAGGCAGCAGGACGCACCTGAGCCCCCGGCGAGGGCCCTGCGGGGTGCAGGCCGTCCAGCAGCACGGTCAGGCTCCAGTCCCACCAGCCCTCCGGGCTCCGCGGGCCATCCCAGGAGTGCGCTGCGCTGCTAACGGGAGGACAAGAACCAAGGAGGTCCGCGCAGCTGCGGGAACGGTGCAGAGCGAGAACAAGAGGGATTCCCGCCAGCTTCTCCCGCATCCACCTTCCAGGCGCTCTGCGGGGTCAGCGCGACGCCAGTGCAGTGCAGGGACACAGAGGCCTGCGAGCGCCTGGCTACTCGGTGGCAGGAGGCGAGGGAGCCACGCGCTCACTCTTTCGCTCAACAAACGCTGCTATGCAACTGTTGGTGCCAGGTCGTCTGCTGGGGCCCCGGAAATAGAAAACCAAATCCGTGCCCTCATGCAGCAGACAAGCAGTAGGGGAGGTGCACAGAGAGTCCCCGACCAGGACCCGCCAACCTCACGCCTGTAGAGGCCCGGCGCTTTCGCGTCCACTCAGGCGAGAGTTCCGAGCGTGTTTACCGCCATGCTGCTGGGCAGGTCAGGGGACCTGGATGCATGTTGGACTGGACGATGTTTTCACAGGCTTCTCGGGACACAGCCCCCTCAGGTCGTAAGTCGGGGAGCCTCTATGTCAGCAAAGCACAGACCCCGTAGGTGGCAAAGATCAAGGAGAGAGAAACCCCGTCAGACGGAGAGCCGGGTGGTGGTGAGATGGGCAGGTGGAGGTGCTGGCTCCAGCGGCCGCAGGCCTGCAGGGCGGGACAGGATGCGGGAGCCAAGAGGGGGAGGCGCAGGAAGCGAGGCTGCCCGCACACAAGCCGCAGTATGGACCCAGAGGCCCGGCTCTGTGTATTTTCAATAACGCAGTGTGGATTCTGTGGCCATGTGGAGTTTGCACTCTCGCTGGCGGGATAGTGTTAAAGAAACCGTAGGACCTGAGCGCCACCCAGGGCAGCAAGCGTCCACACCCGGCCTGGCACCCACCACCCGAGAGCACTATGGCCCTGTCCGTACTAATGGCAGCAACTGCACGTAACCGGCCCACAAGCAGCTCACTGACGCGCGAGACGGTGTCAGCCTGGGCACCCACAGAGCACCTGCTTCACTCGCTGGCGCTCCGCGGCTCGGCTCATCCTCATTGTGTTGCACTCGGAACTCCGTGAGGACTTTCAGATGTGAGGGCCTTCAAACACGGCAAACGTGGCCCACCTCCCTCACGCTACAGGGGCCGAGTCCCCGGGAACCAGACCCTCTCCAGCCCCTTTCTCCTGCTGGCTGGCAGCTCCTGGCCTGCAGTGCCAAGACCTGCTCTGCCAGGGTTAGGTGTGGGGCTGGCGGGGACAGGGACGGGGATGGGGACTGCGTGTGTGGGGTGGGGGACAGGACAGAACACAAGCCCACCCAATGGCAGGAGCACACACAGACAGTGAGGGTTTGTGAGCCCTGGGGGTCAACATCCGTGTGGCTAACGGAAGGCTGGCAGATGCAGGTACAAGTGAGGGAGCCTACAGGTGTCCCTCGGCTGCGGGTGATACTGCGGATCCTACAGGTGTCCCTCGGCTGCGGGTGATACTGCGGAGCCTACAGGTGTCCCTCGGCTGCGGGTGATACTGCGGAGCCTACAGGTGTCCCTCGGCTGCGGGTGATACCGCGGAGCCTACAGGTGTCCCTCGGCTGCGGGTGATACTGTGGATTTGGGTGCCAGATGCAAAAACCCATGTAAGACATATTCAAGTAGCACTGACTTATGAAATAGGAGGCAAAAACAAACAAAAAACCCAAACTAGAAAAAGCCAGAAGTTTCTTGTTTTTAGACTTAACATTTCCAGAAAGACCCAAATTGTCACTTTGGTTTGCACAGAGCGCCCTCTCCTGGTACAAACTGTGCAGCTGTGGAGATGGGCGTTGTCAGAGATGCTAAGAACTCCTGTAGCGCCAGCCTCACTGGCAGAAGGGTAGAAAGTTGGGCTGTGGAGACCCGGACGGATCGACCTGCGACGTCCAGGTCTGACCTCACTGGTGGGTTCTGAAACTGACAAGAGGATGCCACTCACTGCCTGGTGTCTGGCTGGGCATCACTAATCCTGTCTTTAGAAGATAAAAGTAGGGGCAGGCACTGTGGCACAGTGGGTAAAGCCACTGCCTGCAGTCTGGCATCCCAAATGGGCAACAGTTCAAGTCCCAGCTGCTCCACTTCCCATCCAAGCTCCCTGCTAACAGCCTGGGAGAAGCAGTAGAAGATGGCCCAGGTGCTTGGGCCCCTGCACCCACGTGGGAGACCTGGAGGAAACTCTTGGCGTTAGCCTGGCCCAGCGCTGGCTGCTGAGACCATCTGAGGGAGTGAACCAGCAGATGGAAGACCTTTCTCTCTGTCTCTCTCTCTATAACTCTGCGATTCAAATAGAGAAATCAGGGGCCAGCACTGTGGTGCAGCGGGTAAAGCCACCGCCTGCAGTGCCAGCATCTCATATGGGCGCTGGTTCAAGTCCTGACTGCTCCACTTCCGATCCAGCTCTCTGCTGTGGCCTGGGAAGGCGGTGGAAGATGGCCCAAGTCCTTGGGCCACTGAACCCATGTGGGAGACCTGGAAGAAGCTCCAGGCTCCTGGCTTCAGATCAACACAGCTCCGGCCGTTGTGGCCAACTGAGGAGTGAACCAGGGGATGGAAGACCTCCCTCTCTCTCTCTTTCTGCCTCTCTCTCTCTCTCTCTCTGCCTCTCCTTCTCTCTCTGTGTAACTCTGACTTTCAAATAAATAAATCTTTTAAAAATCAAATAAAGAAATGAATTTTTTAAAAAAGTAAGCGTGCTTTAAAATAAAACCTACAGTTAGATTTTCAAGCCACTCAGTCCTGGCCAAAATATCCAGCAAAGAGTAACTCACGTCAAACTGGTGACTTGCAGCTGCACAGTCATAGAAACGCTGCGTCAGCGTGTCTTTGACTCTTCTCTGGAGGACAGCGAACCCTGGAAGCTCAGGGCTGGTCCACGCCTGGTCACTGCCACCACAGTGGGGAACCAGCACGGATTTGTGTGGTGCACTTCAGAACTCAAGGCCCAACAGCCTGGGGAGTACCCTCGCCCTGCCTCTGGGTGAAGGGAGCCTGGCGGAGGGTGCAGTAAGAACCGGCACCAGCAAAGCACGTGGCTTGTGTCCCAGTGCCGGCTTTGCCGAGGCCGGGCAGACGAGCGGGAGCCACAGAGGCCTGGGCGGCCCACGATGCTCCTGCTTCCCACGTCTCAGCCCTGCGGTGAGCGCCCGCTACTGTAGAGGTAGGGGGGAGGCAGCGAACACTGGAGAAGCAGGAGCGAGGGGCAGGTGGGCGAGACGCAGGAGGAGCCGCCAGTCACCCTGACCCAAGACCTCAGACGTCTTCAGCAAGAGAAACGGCGAGACCCTGCTTCGGCCCCAACCCCAGAGCACCCTGAGCTATGCTCGCCCCACTGTTTTGCCGGGACGAGACGCCATGCACCCGAGGCCTGCGAGGGGAGCCCATGCTGACACAGGGCCACCATGGGACAGCCTCGCCCAGGCTGCGTTCACAGGGCGTGGGGAGGCCCTTCTCTGAGCTCCCATGGCCATCGCCGGGCACATGGACCAAGGGGGTGGATTACGTGGTCCAGTCGGGGGGACTTCTCGCACACGCTCGTCCACCCTAGAAGACACAGAGCCGCGTGGCCTGCACGGAGTCACCGAGACCAGGAGCCCCTACAGCGCTGAGCTCGGGCCCCGCCTCGGGCACACGCTCACCCTGCACGTGGGCACAGCTACCAGACGCAGAGGAGCCCCCGCCCGAAGCTCTGACCTTGTGAACTGTTTCCGGAGAGCTTGATTGAGGGAACTTTCCTCCGGGGAGAACCTCCCGGATGTCAGACACAGCAACAGGAGCAGCCTGAGCGCGTGCACGGAGACATCTCTGTAGAGAGAGACGGGAAGTCAGCACCTCCCAGACCCCGCGTTGTGCCCAGGGGCTCCCCCAGACCCCACGTGTACACCCCAGGGGCTCCCCCAGACCCCACGTGTACACCCCAGGGGCTCCCCCAGACCCCACATGTACACCCCAGGGGCTCCCCCAGACCCCATGTGTACATGCCCAGGGTCTCCCCCAGACCCGCATGTATGCCCGGGGCTCCCCCAGACCCCGTGTATGTGCCCAGGGGATCCCCAAAACTCCATGTGTACACGCCCAGGGGCTCCCCCAGACCCCGTGTGTGTGCCCAGGGGCTCCCCCAAAACTCCACATGTACACGCCCAGGGGCTCCCCCCCAGACCCCATGTGTACACCCCCAGGGGCTCCCCAGACCCGTGTACACCCCCAGGGGCTCCCCCAAGACCCCACGTGTACACTCCCAGGGGCTCCCCCAGACCCCACATGTGTGCCCAGGGGCTCCCCCAGACCCCACGTGTATACCCCCAGGGGCTCCCCCCGAGACCCCACGTGTACACTCCCAGGGGCTCCCCCAGACCCCACATGTGTGCCCAGGGACTCCCCCCAGACCCCATGTGTACACCCCCAGGGGCTCCCCCAAGACTCCACGTGTACACTCCCAGGGGGCTCCCCCCGAGACCCCATGTGTACACCCCCAGGGGCTCCCCCAAGACCCCACGTGCACACCCCCAGGGGCTCCCCAGATCCGTGTACACCCCCAGGGGCTCCCCCAAGACTCCACGTGTACACGCCCAGGGGCTCCCCCAGACCCCACACATACACGCCCAGGAGCTCCCCCACAGTGCACATGCCCAGGGTCTCCCTCAGACCCACATGTGTGTACCCAGGGCAGACCCTGTATGTACAGGCCGAGGTCCCCCCTAGACCCACATGTGTGCACCCAGGGCAGACCCTGTATGTACACGCCGAGGTCCCCCCTAGACCCTGCATATGCACACCAGGGGTACCCCCAGACCCTGTGTATGTGTGCGCCCAGGAGTTCTGCTCCAAACCCCGCATGTGTGCCAGGGGTACCCTGGGTAAACCGTGTGTAATGAAGGGAGAAGTGCGAGTTCTGCTTTGCCCATCAACACTCGGCTCTCCCAGTGCCCCCTCTGGAGATGACGTCTCTAAGCCAGGACTTGCCCCCGGCCTTTGTCAGAGCCCGAGCGCCTCTGTGTGGGCCTTGGCTCACTGCCGGGTGCGTCTCCCCCGTCACCAAGCAGCACCCGGGCTCCGTCCCTAGCGCAGCTTAAGTCAGCGTCGGTCCTGCAGCTTTGCTCTTTCAGACCACCTTGGCTGTTCTGGTTCCTTTGCTTTCCACGCACATTCTAGAATCAGTTTGTCACTGCTGCGGGGGGTTCCGGTTGGAACAGCATTGACTATGTAGACCCAACTGGAAAGAGCTGGCGCGTCGGCGAGTGGAGCCTGCCAGCCCAGTGACATCAGAACGGTTTGCGAGAGGCAGGTTCCAGCTCCCGGAAGTCAGAGAATGGCGTCGGCTGCTGACCCTGGGCCCCTCGGTGGCTGCCGTCCGGCCCCTGCTGGGGGTGCAATGTGCCCCAAGAGAGGCCGCCACACGCGTGACGCTTCAGTCCCGCGTCTACCTAGGATCAATCTGAGCGGATTCCGTGGTGGGCACTGCAACGCGTGGGTGCACACTTCGAGTGGAGCTGGTGGTGCGCACGCATCTTGGCCTAACTCGACGCCGGCTGAGTTCCTCTGGAGACGTCCCACACCCCCGGGTTGCCCGCTAAGTGATGCTGTGGGTGTCGGAACGCGATGGAGGCGTGAGTGGTGCGTGGATGGGGCAAGCAGAGGTCAGAGGGCGCTCACTCAGCCACTTCCTCACCACGGGCAAGCTGCAGAAGCGTTTTCTGACTCGGTGTCCTGGCATCCCATGTGCTGGGGATACGCGCCGTGACATGGGAGGGGTTTCACCACCTGCACTCCCCGCACTCTCATGAGGACACTTCTCCCAAGCCGAGCGGGGAGGCTGCACGTACCGCAGGGCTGCCCGTGTGCGACGCTCTCTCTTCATCCTCCCCCTGGTGACCTTGAGCTGGGCCGGGGCCGGGGGCCGGGCCCAGCGCAGGCGGCGGGCTCGCTGTCGGGCAGCCAGGACCTGCGGGGACCACAGTGTTGTGAGCAGGGCTGGCGGGTGGCCCGAGAGAGAGAGGCCCCAGGGCCCCTGCTGAGCCCAGAGCCCTGTTACCACTGCACTTTGGAATCTAGCGGGTATTTGGGAACAAAGGGGTGCTTTGTGCGGACAGCGGGCAACGAGCTGTCGGGCAGGGACGGGAGGGGGTGCAGCCACCGCGGGAGCAACGTGCTCCCCGCACAGGCCAGCGTTCCTGGCAGGTCTGCAGCGGGCCACGACAAAGGGCTGCTTTCTGAGGGCGCCCTTCCCGCCGCCGCCCTGCGGCAGCAGCAATTATCCTTGGCATTTGCACAGGGTTTCTAGAGACCTGCCAAGGAAAAGGCTCTGCAAGGAGCAGCTGGGCTAAGAAACGGCCTCTGCCTCTCGTCTCTAGCACGTTATCGCTTCCTCACTGTATCTGGTTAGCAGCCCACGGGTGACTCATGGAGGGCTCCTCCGCTGACTCCTCACTGCTTTATGAAGTGGACACCCCCCCGGGAGGCCCTGGCTCGGGCTGGGGGCGCCCTCCCTCCCAGGCCTCTGCGGAGTACAAACAGAAATCTGGTACCAGCTTGCCGTGTGGCAGGTGCCACGTGCCAGCCGCAGCTGCTAACAGGACGAGCACGGACGGGAAGCGGGGTGGGGTGGGCAGCAGCCCCGGCCTTGTGGCGGAACAGCCGGGAGGAATCACCCCAAGGCCGAGGTCACAGCAAGAGAAAGAACAGAGCGGCAGCCGGCTGGGTGGGTGCACTGCACACAGGGGCAGAAGTGGGGGCAGGCTTGGAGGCAGAAAGTCGAGGCCCAAAGGCGTGAGGAGACTCCGGGCGGGGTGCAGAAGTGGGAGAGGACGCCGGCCCCCGCGAGGGCTGTGTGGCCTGGGCCTCATCCCCTCCCTTATCTTTGAAATGCGGCACAGTAGTAACGCCTCTTCCTAAGTTACCAGGAACAAGTGATATGATGAATATAAATAGTGTGTAACTGTGGCTGGCATGTGACAACGTGCGGAGTGACACGGCACAGCGATGAGTGCCACGAGACGTGGTGCGATGTGGCACAGCTGGGATCCAGGTGGAGCAGAGAGGTTGTGGGGGAAAGCCCAGCACAGCTCGGGGGGGTAGAGCGGAGATGGTAGCCGGGCCCTGACTGACAGCCGCATCCTCCCCAGAGGCCACACCACTGCCGCAGCCGCACACGGCACTCCACGGACCCACGGCAGCCCGTCTGTGAACTCATCCGGGTGCTGCAACACCTCTCTCTTTCTTCTCAAGAGAACGCCACACACACCTCGCAGAGCTGAATGTGGCGGCGGGGGGGAGGGGTGGGGAGGAAGGGTCCACCGAAAGCAAGCGGCCAAAATCACAGCCAAGAACTCTTTCTCATTGGCTTCAGTGTCCTAAAACATTCATTTTTCTTCAGGACCTGTGCTGGGATTAGAGTAAATGCGAGTGCCACACACGTGTGTGCAGAGGTGGGAGACATCACGGTGCGTCCAGGGCTCCCGAGGGTGCTGCCGCTGCCCCTTTGGACCGAAGGCGTGACAGGAGGCTGCAGCTCGGCTCAGCCTGCAGGCACGGCCTCCTCACCTCTGCCACGGCCCCCACACAGCCAGGGCTGCAGGGGCAGCCATGGGTCCTGGAACGGCCCTCCAGCCCCACGTCTAGGTCCCTGGTCGCTTCATTTAACGATTCAGCAAAGAAGTGGCTGTCGTCTCTTCTTTTCCAAGCAAAGCCCAACGCCACCACGCAGATCTGGAAGGAAGGACACAGGCAGTGGGCAGTGTGCGTCTGTGCTGGGTCCGCGCAGAGCTGTCTCCCTGGTACCTACCCCCTGCTAGGTCTGTCTCCAGTCTAGACAGACACAAGGAACTCCTATCTCCTGATCCCAGCCACCTGCTCTGATACGGCCCTGCCCAAGCCTCACAGGCGTACTTCAAAAAGTTCGTGGAGAAATGGAATTAAAAGATTTAAGTGGGGCCGGCGCCGTGGCTCACTAGGTTAATCCTCTGCCTGGGGCGCCAGAATCCCATGTGGGCACCGGGTTCTAGTCCCGGCTGTTCCTCTTCCAGGCCAGCTCTCTGCTGTGGCCAGGGAGTGCAGTGGAGGATGGCCCAAGTGCTTGGGCCCTGCACCCCATGGGAGACCAGGGGGAGGCACCTGGCTCCTGGCTTCAGATCGGCATAGCTCCGGCCATAGCGGCCATTTGGGGGTGAACCAACGGAGGGAAGACCTTTCTCTCTGTCTCTCCCTCTCACTGTCTGTAACTCTACCTGTCAAATAAATAAGTAATCTTTAAAAAAATAAAAGGTTTAAGTTTGAGACTAAACAATTTCTAAATCCATGCATGTTTTTAAATAATATGCGGTTTTCAGAAACTTTTTGAAGACCTCTCATGTGCACGGATTTCAGGGTGTTGTGTGTCTTGAATTCCATCTTCCACAGACCTCGTGACATGCCCTGGAGTGGTCCCTGAGGCTCTGAGCCCCCAGATCGTGGCGGGAGGAGCGGTTCATTCCCCCGGGCAGTGCTGTGAGGACAGATGGGCCAAGCCACATCTCACATCAGGCTCCAAAGCAAAGCATGTCACCAACAAGCAGCCGCCATGTCCCCTCCTCTCCCAGGTCCCCCGGTGACAGGGGCTGCTTCTCACCATGAGGGGCTGGGTGATGAAGACACAGCAGACCACGGAGAGAAGCAGCAGGTGCAGCCACCACATACACTGCGCCGGCTCGAACCTGGCAGAGACAGCAGTCAGCCCCGGCGTGGGCGTGGTGACAGGCGAGCGGGGGCTCTTCCCCTGGCCAGAGGACTTGGACGTCCTTGGAGCTGCCCCCGGGGAACAGAAAGGAAAGCCCAACACAGGATGGCCCAGAGCCAGAGAGGTGAAGGGGAGGAGAGGCAGCCACAGGTGCAGCCGCAGCCACGCTGATGGGTGGAGCCCGTGCAGGTGCACTGCCCCTGCCCCTCCCTACACCCAGCACAGAGCAGTAGGGAGCCCCTTGCTCATTCGCACAGAGTGACTGCACAGCTTGGGGAAGGGAGAGCTGGGAAGACAGGGCCCCGGCTCCGCAGGCTTTCCCGCGGGGTACAAAGCCACAGCCATGACCCCAGGCTCTGCTGGAGCAGCCAAGCTGCAGGGGGCCAGAGCCAAGGCAGCGCGTGCAGGGCTGTGATGCCCACACCCTCACCCCGTACTGCAGCTGGGTGCTCTGGCCAGCACACCTGGCCCGGGGCCTGCCCTCCGGGAGCTCGGTGGCCAGGCTCTCTCCTTCCCTCGTAAGAGCCTGTGGCTTCTCCTTTAACACCTAGGGCTGTGTCTTGAGCCGGCCACGGCCGCAGAGCTGGAGGGGCCAAGAGAGACTGTGGTTGAACCCCACCCCGGGTGGTCAGCGGGGAGGGAGGAGAAAGCCGCCACAGCCACGTGTGTCTGTACTCCCTGGGGATCGCCTCACAGATGCCAGCCTTCCCGCCAAACGGGCCCACGGCTCACCTGTAGCCGAGGAACGCCGTGCCCAGAGCACAGGCCAGGGAAGTCGTCCCGCAGACGGCCCACGCTGCCCGGCCTGACCAAAGCAGAAGGGCCCTGGGCCTTGGGAGCAGGAGTTCTCCGGGACCACGGCCGGGAGCTAGGGAAGGGTAGGCGGAGAGGGCACGGTGAGCAGGCCCACACGCTCCGGCCACAGATGGGGCCCCCACGTGACCCCTGTGACCTGGGGGGCTTCTGAGAGGCGCATGTCTGACTCTGACCAAGGAGGGCCTGGCAGGTGGGGCTCAGACCAGCAGCCGAGGGCCCGAGTGGAGCACGGGGCGGGACACACAGGTCTCTGCCTGCAGGTCCCTGGGGACCCTGCTCCCGCCAATGTAGAGGGGGAGGGACCAGCTTCCACCTCACGCCTGCAGCAGCAGCGTCTGCCCGGGCTGCATCAGGTCCCCACGGGCCACAGGGCTCCTGGTTCCCTCTCGCTACCAAGTCTCTCCAAGCCTGGCACTCAGCTGGAGTGGCCGTGCCTGGGCAGGGGGGGTAAGAGGTAAGCCCCCTGAGGTCCCTGTGAGCAGACCCTGGAACTGGGCCAGTACAGAGCAAGGAACACCCAGCCCTGGTTAGACACGGCAGGGTCCTGCTGAGCCACACTACCCCAACCCCCCAGGAGCCTGGCGTCTGTCAGCGCACGCCCTGCACCTCTGGGCTCCCCAGACAGCACGTCCCGTGTCCATTCCCAGAAACGACTCCCCCACCCCCGGGTGCAGTGTGGGCCCAGGCACAGCCTCTGTCAGCTGCGTGCATGGACCTGCTGAGCTCGGCCCACAGAGCAGCAGCGACCGGTGCCTGACGCCTGCTCCAGGACCCGTGTGGACCGGAGCTGCGAGAAGGCAGCTGTGGGACCCTGCAGCCATGCACCCCCACCCCGGGCCCGGCACCACACACCCCACTTTGGACAGGGGTGGCGAGGACTTGCTGCCTCCTGGGCCTCCCTGGAAAGAGCCCTGCCCTTCCAGCCCTCTGCTCAGCTTCCACACAACCCGAGCTGTCGTGCAGAACACAGAAAGGAACCGGAGGCCCTCAGGGACACTCACAGTCCCATCAAAGCTGTGCTAACAACAGGCCAGAGAGGCGCCGGTGCTGCGGCGTAGCGGGCAGGGCCCCGCCTCAGTGCCGGCATCCCGTGTGAGCGCCGGTTCAAGTCCCTGTTGCCCTACTTCTATCCAGCTCCTTGCTGATGGCCTGGGAAAGCAGCAGACGACGGCCCAAGTGTGTGAGCACCTGCTACCCATGTGGGAAACCTGGAGGAAGCTCCTGGCTCCTGGCTCCGGCCTGGCCCAGCCCTGGCCGCTGCGACCAGCTGAGGAATGAACCAGTGGATGGAAGACCTCTCTCTGTGCCTCTCCCTTTAACTTTCAAATAAATGAATCTTAAAAGGAAAAAAAGAATAAGCCGGAGAGCACCAGGACTTGTAGCCTGGCTGGACGCCTTGCTTCACACGGGGCCAGGCCTGGCTTCAAATGAGACTCAAGGACGTTTGGCCCAACTGCAGCTCCACCGGCCAGGGCTCTGCCCGCGGCCGCAGATCACGCTGGGCGGGCAGGCAGGGGCTGCGGCTCCACCGGCCAGGGCCGCAGATCACACTGGGTGGGCAGGCAGGGGCTGTGGCTCCACCGGCCAGGGCCGCAGATCACACTGGGCGGGCAGGCAGGGGCTGTGGCTCCACACTGGCCAGGGCTCTGCCCACAGCTGCAGGCCACTCTGGGCGGGCAGGAAGGGGCTGTGGCTCCACCGGCCAGGGCTCTGCCCGCGGCCGCAGATCACGCTGGGCGGGCAGGCAGGGGCTGTGCCCCGAGAGCCACAGTGACATCACCTGGAGGACGGGCAGGGCAGCAGTGGCTCTTCTCACCCAGGACAGGCTCGCTCCGGGAGGCTCCCCAGGTCCCTGACCCCTGGTGTGGACAGGCTGTGCTCTGGCTGCTTGCTGCCTTCCTCCAGGCCTGGTGATGCCCGGAGAGAGCGGCTGAGGCAGGATGCTGGAATGACAAGGTCAGGCCAAGGTCAGTGTCTCCACGGACAGCTGCACCCTCAACAATAGTGCCACCTGCAGCTTGTAGAGGGGACGGGGTGGCGTGGGTGGGGACGTGGCCAAGCTCAGCTGCAGTGAGCTCTGAGGGAGGGACCCAGCAGCCCCAGGGGTTGGGGGCAGTGGACAGCAGTCAGGGCGACTGGGTCCTGCTGAGGCTCCAGCGTGGCGTTGGGACAGGGCCGTCCCGCGCTCTGAGCAGGGCACCGAGAGCTCCGTGCCCAGGAAGAGGAGACGTGGGGCACTGGCAGGTGCAGGAGGCTGGAAAGCCCTAAAGGATCCAGCCACACGGACCCCACGGCAGAACGGACAGGGCATTTGGGCTGCAACCGCAGACATGGCCCTCGCTCACCCCGGGCCGGTGTGAGCCCTGGAGTGGGCCCAGCCTGGGGGCAGCCCTCCCACCACTGCTCCTCACAAGGGGCAGAGGCGCTGGCTGAGCAGACCCAGGACGCCTCCCGCGAGCTTGACCAGGATTTCCCCACCGCCCCTCCCCCTGCCTGTGTCCTGGGAGATGGCCAGGCCCACAGTGGGGTCGCAAGGTCTTCGCTTCCTCCCACGGGCAGACCACAGCCAGGAGAGCACCAGAGAGCCGCAGCGGTCAGCACTTGTCAGAATCACCCGCCGCGCGTTATCCACTTGCCTGGTCTGGCTCCGGGGCATCCAGCGTCTTTCTGCAGGAATTAGGGCCTGAGTTTGAAAACAGCCGAGTCAGACGTGGGGCGCCGAGCCAGGCAGCCTGCACTGCGAGGGGCCTAACTGAGGTCAGCACGGGCCAGGCAGGGCTCGGTGACAGTGCTGGGCCCGCGAGGCCTCGGACACCCCACACCCACCCGGGGCCGCCCTGGGGAAACACAGGTGAGAAAGATGTCTCTCGGAGAAGCAAAAAAGAGCATCGATCAACCAGAGAGGTAAAATTTTCTTAAAAAGTAATAAACTTGGGGGGCTGGCACTGTGGCGCAGCGGGTTAACGCCCTGGCCTGAAGCACCGGCATCCCATATGGGCGCTGGTTCTAGTCCCGGCTGCTCCACTTCTAATCCATCTCTCTGCTGTGGCCTGGGAAGGCAGTAGAAGATAGCCCAAGTCCTTGGGCCCCTGCACCCATGTGGGAGACCTGGAAGAAGCTCCTGGCTCCTGGCTTTGGATCGGCACAGCTCCAGCCGTTGCGGCCAATTGGGGAGTGAACCAGCAGATGGAAGACCTCTCTCTCTCTCTCTGCCTCTCCTCTCTCTGTGTAATTCTGACTTTCAAATAAATAAATGAATCTTTAAAAAAAAAAGTAATAAACTCGGGGCCAGTGCTGTGGTGTAGCAGATAAAGCTGCCCCCTGCAGCACTGGCATCTCACATGGGTGCCAGTGGGAGTCCCGGCTGCTCCACTTCTGATCCAGCTCCCTGCTAATGCACCTGGGAAAGCAGGGGAAGACGGCCCAAGTGTCGGGGCTCCTGCACCCACGTGAGAGACTGGACGAAGCTGCTGGCTCCTGGCTCTGGCCTGGCTCAGCCCTGGTTGCAGCCATCTGGGGAGTAAACCAGCTGGTGGAAGACCTCTCAGTCTCTCCCTTTCTCTCTGTAACACTGACTTTCAAATAAATGAATCTTTTTTTAAAAATTTAAAAAATACAAAAGTAATAAAAAACAATAGGAACCAGAGCAAAGGTTTAACCGTCTGACAAAGACAGAGTCTAATGAGGGTTTACAAGGCTCAAACGGGGCAAGGGAAATGGACAGGGACAAAGCTGACTTAAGCCCCAGACATGGCACCTGGCCTGGCTTCTGATCAGCTCAGCAGCCGGGGACGGAGCTCCCTCTCTCCAGTGTGCACTTACCCTGGGGCGCCCTCGCCTGCACACCTCTCTGGGGGCTGCCTGGTCCAGCCTGGGGAGGCCTCGTGGCTTCCTGCAGTGGGGAACAGGTAGCTATGATGCTTCCTAGTGGGGAGGGGCCCCCGGGGGACAGGACCACCCGCACAGGTGCTGTACCTCGCTCAGCCTGAAGAGCAGAGACAGGAGCTGTGCTGCAGGGGAGCCCAGCAGGCTGCACAGGAGACCCAGCCCGGAGGTGCGGAGAGTGAGGTCGGTGGGGCCGGCAGCCGGGAACAGCTGTGAGGACCCAGAGCCGCGGCATCAGGCGGCCCACACGAGCCAGCCCCAGGGTGGGCATTTCTAATGTCAAAGGCGCCCCAGGTGGGTGAGTGCATGGTCTCCCCACGCATCCCAGCCCCTCTGTCCCGGGCATGAAAACTCCCAGGAGCCAGTGGCTTGCTGCTAGGAAATCCTGGGACTGAGCACCCACTCTGCACCGGGCACACAGCAGGTTCAGTCAGGGCCACAGCTGACGGGGAGGCACCCACCTCCCCGGGGAGCTGCCCGGCAGCGGGTGGTCAGAGCCCCATGTGACCACAGTGCACCCCCCTCCCCTGGGAGCTGCCCGACAGCGGGTGGTCAGAGCCCCACGTGACCACAGTGCACCCACCTCCCCGGGGAGCTGCCCGGCAGTGGGCGGTCAGAGCCCCACGTGACCACAGTGCACCCACCTCCCCGGGGAGCTGCCCGGCAGTGGGCGGTCAGAGCCCCATGTGACCACAGTGCACCCACCTCCCCGGGGAGCTGCCCGGCAGCGGGCGGTCAGAGCCCCACGTGACCACAGTGCACCCCCAGGAAGCCACTGCAGCAGTCAGAACCAAATCTGGGAGCTCGTGTGCCTCCAGGTGGCCACTTTTCCAAATAAATAAATAAAATAAAATAGAAGGACTGAGGTGCATCCTTTTACGAAACCCCTGGCGTCCAGCACCTCTGGAGAAACTGCTGTGTGACACCATGCACACGCCTGCCACCACCATCTCCGCCAGGGTCCCCTGAACACGCCTGCCACCACCATCTCCGCCAGGGTCCCCTGAACACACCCGCCACCACCATCTCCGCCAGGGTCCCCTGGGGCCCTCGAGGCACACAGCCCGCTCCCCCGGGGAATCAATCCTGAGGATGTGAGTTCTGCTAATTCCTTAGTCAAGAGGGACCCCGGCGCCGGCCTGAGGCAGGAGGCGGCTCCCCGACCTGCGAGTGGGCTCCGGTGGTGACCAGGGCAGCGAGGCAGGCATAGACGCACAGCAGGCAGAAGGAGACGGCCAGCCGCGGCGTGTGCAGGAAGCCGCTGCCAGAGGGCCGGCTGTACACCGAGAGCCACACGTGGAAATCCTCCAGGTACTCCGTGGACTTGGCGTGGAAAAGCTGCCACAGAGAGTGCAGAGGACACAGCCTGATGCCGCGCATGCAGGTGAGCAGGGCCAGGTCCCCGGCAGCCACTGCCTTCCAGAGAGAGCGGCAGAGCCACGACTCATCCCACGGCTCGTCCCACGGCTCATCCCACGGCTCATCCCACGGCTCGTCCCACGGCTCATCCCACGGCTCGTCCCACGGCTCATCCCACGACTCATCCCATGACTCGTCCCACGGCTCATCCCACGGCTCGTCCCACGGCTCATCCCACGGCTCATCCCACGGCTCATCCCACGGCTCGTCCCACGACTCATCCCACGGCTCATCCCACGGCTCGTCCCACGGCTCATCCCACGGCTCGTCCCACGGCTCATCCCACGGCTCGTCCCACGACTCATCCCACGGCTCGTCCCACGGCTCATCCCACGGCTCATCCCACGGCTCGTCCCACGGCTCGTCCCACGGCTCGTCCCACGGCTCATCCCACGGCTCATCCCACGACTCATCCCATGACTCGTCCCACGGCTCATCCCACGGCTCGTCCCACGGCTCATCCCACGGCTCGTCCCACGACTCATCCCACGGCTCGTCCCACGGCTCATCCCACGGCTCATCCCACGACTCATCCCACGGCTCGTCCCACGGCTCGTCCCACGGCTCGTCCCACGGCTCGTCCCACGGCTCGTCCCACGGCTCATCCCATGGCTCATCTACCCCGGGTCCTTTGCTGGACGCTGCATGGACACTGGGTGCAGGTGGATGCCCCACAGAGCCCCTCGCTCCAGCCCCACCCTCTCCACCCTGGACTCTGGCCCAGCTCCACCTTCTGTGGGCACCTCCTGGGCGTGGGCACGAGCTGCCCCTGCCCCACCCTCTGGCTCCCTGCCTCACGCCAGCCCACAGCCCTCCCTTTCTCTAGGACCCTGGTGAGGCATGGACCCACAGGCGAGCCAGGGCCCCAGGTGTGGAGACTCCTGGGGCTAACGTAGCACGTGCCGGTTTCTCACACGTGCAGAGTTCTCCTACGAGACAGCGGAAGGGTGAGCCATTGCTGGTCCTTAGCAACAGGGGATCCCTTAGCAACAGGGGATCCCTTAGCAACAGGGGATGTGCTAACTCTGCCTGGTCCACCAGCTGCATCCAACCTGCGGTTCCTGGAGGTGGGGGCTCCACGCGTCACGACTGACAGCAAGCTCTGGTTTCCAACTTACTACCTCAGCAACGTCAGCCTGAACACACCTGGGTCGTGAGCCAGGCCCTCCCCCCAGGGCAGGCGGCAATGGCTGGGCTGGGAGGAAGGCCCGGTGGACGGGACGCCCCAGGGACAAGTCAGGAGACGTCAGCCTTCACAGCGCTCGTGCTGCTGAGACCCAGTCCAGGAATCAGCCCCAGAAACACATAGTGTGCACAAAAGGCACAGCGTGCTGCGGCAACACGTGCCAGAGAAGGAACCCAAGGCAACGGGGCTGTCCAGCAGCGGGCACTCAGCAGCTGTTACGTGGCCTGACGTGGCCTGCCACCGCTCTCCAGGACACCCATGAGGTTTTCTCTGAAATGTTAAGTGCACACTGTTATTGCTACTGGGTAAACTATGCTCATGCAAAAATCCAAACTTTCTCCGCCGGGGCCATCCCACAAGGTCGCCTGCGTGTGTCCCAGCCACCGCACTTGCAATCCAGCTCCCTGCTAATGCACCTGGGGAGGCAGCAGGAGAGGGTCCAAGTGCACCCACACGGGAGACCCGGATAAAGCTCCTGGTTTCGGCCTGGCCTAGCCCTGGCTGCTGTGGCCACCTGGGAGTACAGCAGTGGATGGAAGATCTCTCTCTCTCTCTCTCTCTCTCTCTCTAACTCTTTCTGTCAAATCCATGGACAAGTCTGCAGAGAAAAGTTCCCGAGCTGGTCTGTGAGGCGGTGGGAGGTTTCGTCATGTTCCACCGTCTCCGGCCATGAAGGCCCTGGCACCTCCGTGTTCAGAGACGGTTGCCCAGGTTGGTCAGGACATAAACGGGGCACAGGAACTCCTGGACACAGCAGGCCCCCAGCAACCATGATACTGAAACGTCACAGTTAGCGGAAGGGGAGAAGGGATTCCCACAGCACTGAACAACCCACGCTGGCAGGGCCGTCCTGGGGAGGCGCGGCTTAGGACGAGGGTGCCCGGGAGCTCAGCTGGGAGGAGACTTCAGGGAAGGGCAGGGACTGCAGGCAGAGATGCAGGGCCGGCACCCGCTGTGCGTGGGAGGGCGCCTGGGCCTACCTTCCAGAAGCCGGGCCCCCGGCGCAGGCAGGTGAGCTCCCGGTCCACGCGGCCGCCACGACGGCTCGCAGCCAGCCAGCACTGGGCGGGGAAGAACCAGGCCCGTCCGGAGCATAGCTCCTTCACCATCACGTGACTGACAAACCAGCTCGGGGAAGGCCCCCGGCCGTCGTGCCACAGGCGGATCATGCGGAGCGCGCCCAGCTGGGCAGGAGCGCTGGGGAGACACCAACAGCACCTCATCAGCCTCATCGCTGGTTTTTCTTTTGGGGGGTGGGGGTCGGAGGGAGGTTGTGGTTCAGCCGCCCCAGTCCTGCTTGGCCCCTCCCCAGTGGAGGGCGGGACGGGGTACCTCAGGACAAAGGTGTGTCTGGAATTCCTCTCAAACAGGGGCCTCCGCGGGCAGTGTAGCTCTCTGGTCTCTGAAAGTCCGTTCTCTCCACACAGAACAATGTACACCTGCAGACAGAGACACGGGGACAGCTCAGGGCGGCACAGGAACGCAGGGGCAGGGGTCTCCCCGGGGACCCCACAGCCACCTTTCAGGCCATGGGGCGGTCACACGTGGGGCCGAGGGCCCCCATCTCAGCCTGCACAACTCCCCCCAGGCCTGGCTTCCCCAGAGAGACCTTCAGGGGGCCAGGCACAAGGGCAGGAGGACACAGTGGCTGGCCGCCTCCTCCCACAGCTGCGGGGGGGGGGGGGGGAGGAGACACGGGGTGGGCGGGGGCACCCACGTCTGCAGCTGCACCTCCCGGCCGGCGGGGCTCCTCCCCTCCCCGGGGTCTCTGTTAACAGACACTCCCGGTCTGTCAGTCTTTCATTTAGAAGAGAAACATTCCCGGGGCTGCAGGCCTTCCTGTGCGTGTGCGTCTTTGTTGGGTCTCAGTTCCGCTTTTCTGGGCTTCAGTTCTTGGGCGTGACGTGCCCCTTCCTCCCTGGCGTGTAAGGTGGGGGAGGCGGGGCCGTCTGGCTTCTCATCTATCCCACAAGTCCACAGCCCATCTCTGACTCCTAAGGCAAGGTCACTTCCCGCTGGAGCGTCAGAACAAGCCCGCGGCTCTGCCCAGGAGCCCCCGCCCTACGCTCCTCCTTAGAGCTGGCAGCACGACCCCTGACGCTCCTGGATCCTTGTGCTCCCTTCCACACGAGCTTTCCAGTTTCCAAGTTCCATAAAACACCCTCCCGGAATCATGTTTGAATTTCACGGAATTGAACTAACTCATGTCTCAGTGTCCCACCTGTAAAATGGGTACATTAACAGAACTTAATTCTTGCTATTCTTACTAATGTCATGGGTTCACTTGGGAGAAACAGCAAAGGAAAATCTGCGTTCCCATCCGTGAGTCAACGTGGTTCTTTATTTCGAGCCGTGGTGCCCGCCGGGCGCGGGGTCTCCATGGTGCTCTGTGTGTTTGCTGACTTGCCTCTCGGCACCGGCCGTTGTGAGACGGTGAGGAGGAGGACCTGCTTTCCGTTTCCTGTGCTGCAGAACGAGCTCCGTTTGGAGCAGATGAGATCATAACGCTTTTCACATCGCAGATCCAGTAAGTTTCTCAAACGCTTGGTTACTCCGCTGAAGATTATTTCGCTTTTTCTATGTAGCCACATCGTGTGCAAATAATCACCTTTTTCTCCCCGTGAAAACCTCAGGTTCTTGTTTTACTTCTTGCGTTATCTTCACGGGGATTTCCAGGATGACCATAAACGCAGATGGCCCTGAGAAAGCCTCTGAAGTTTCGCCACTAGCCAGCAGGTGTGCTGGGGCAGGTGCAGCCGTGTGGGGCTGACGACACCCCTCCCATGTGGACTTGTACGTGAGTGTGCCAAGGGTGCTGGGGCAGGTGCACCCGTGTGGGGCTGACGACACCCCCGCCATGTGGACTTGTACGTGAGTGTGCCAAGGGTGCTGGGGCAGGTGCAGCCGTGTGGGGCTGACGACACCCCCCCCATGTGGACTTGTACGTGAGTGTGCCAAGGGTCTTCAAGAAGTTCATGGATAATGAGCTTCATGAAAAAACTGCACAGGTTTCAACAATGTTTGCACTAAAATAAACTTATTTTTTAATTCCATTTTCCACGAACTTTATGGAGTTCACAAATGCATGTTTGGTATAGACATGTCCCAGGCTTGGTCTCTGTTGGGGACTGGCTCCAGGACCCCTGTGGGTACTGAAACCCCAGGACACTCAGCCCCTATACAAAAAGCCACAGTATGTGCATGTAAGTCCAGTATGCCTTCCAGTGTACTTCCACCATCTGGGGATCACGTCTGATGCCTGACGCCACGTCACTGCTGTGGACACAGGTGTCACACGGCACTGTTCAGGGAATAACGGCCGGGGGAGGGTGCGCAGGGCTGGCTGCAAACAGAGCTCACAGTCGGAGAAGTCCACACACGCCTTCAGGTGCGTGGGGCCCCCGGCTATCTCCACCACCCTGTGGCACCCTCACCTCCACGCCCACACCCCTCTTCTCTTCCCCGGTGCTGGGGTCCCACACAACAGCCGCAGCCCCCTCGGAGACGAGGGGAGTGAGCTGCAGGTGCAGAGGGAACCTGCCTTTGCCAGAGAGGCTCTGGGTGGGTCAGGCAGGTGCGTGGCTGCTCCCGGCATGGGCCCGTTCTCACCCGTTCTCGCCTCTGCACACCTCCCAGCCCACCTGTGCTGGACACTGCCTCTTCCTCCGCCAGCTCCGCCCCAAGCTCCCAGCCCCTCCTCCTGCTCTCCTTGGGGTGGGCAATGGCCTCACTGAAGCTGGGAGGCACAGCTCCATTCTTAAAGACTCGAGGGCCACTTGGGGACAGGACACAGCTCCTAGGCAGCTTCTCAGGGAGAGGGGAAGGGACTGGGGCTGGCAGGAGGCGAGGGGCTCTGCTGTCCCCTCTTACAGATGTGCAGGCCACCTCAGCCCAGGACCAGGATGGGCGGCTGGGACAGGTGTCAGGTGACGGACAGGCTGCTGCCCCATCTTCACCCCTCCCGCCGCAGGTGTCCCCCGGAGCTTCCTGTACCTTCGAGGAAAACCTCGCCGGGGCCCGGAAGCCAGTGTCCACCACGACTGCATACAGCTGGTGGCCGGGTGGGACCTCTTCTTGCAGGAAAATGGAACCCGTTTTCTCCTTCTCACGATGGTCCACGCCACGGCTTTTAGCAGCCAAAAGCCCGTAAAGGACCGTGAACACCACCACACAAGCGCTGGGGATCAGGTTCCGTGGGCGACTGCAAGGAGAGAGGAGAGAAATGGAGGGAACGGCTCAGGGAGGCGGACGTCCAGAGGCTGCCCTGGGGGCTCCTGTGGTTTCCGGGCACGCGGACAGTCAGAGAGGGACACGTCTCACACTCGACACCCCGACACTCAGCTCCTGCGTGACTGCGACACTGATGGCGAGACAGGGGAGCCCCGCCCACGCAAGGGCACGGACCCCACTTCCCATATGGCCGTTCCATGCAAAACCGTGGCCAGAAAAGTAGGGAGGATTTTATGTTTATTATCCAACATGGGGCACTTCTGAGACAGGCAGAGGGAGGCAGGCGCGGAGGCTGTGGCCAGGGCAGAAGCCAGCACGGGCGAGCCACGCGGTGTTGTCACCCTTGGTTTCAGCCCCCGATGCCAAGTGACCACGTTCACGCCGAGCCCCAGGCAGCGTAACCGAGCAGCACGCCCACTTCCTTGTCGGAAACTTCTTGCAGAGGATGTTTAGAGGGCTTTGGACGTGGCATCTAAACCATGTAAAGCCAACCATTTCCACGCAGCAGGAAAGGGAGTGCCGGCTTCCAAACACCCCCGAATCACGCGTGGGCAGCCCGAGTGGGCAGAGGAACAGCGGAGTGAGGTCTGGATTCGAACACGAGCTGACCTCCGTAACTCGGAAACGTGGCTCACTTCCAGGCTGGTGTTCAGCTCCCGTCTCAGGACCGAGAAGAGCGCGAGGCGGTCGTAGCTGGGAGAGAAGCGTGGATTAGGACAGGCACGGATGCGGCTCGCGCAGCTAAAAGGAGACCAAGGCCAGCCACGGTGCTCGGGGACTCAGGCCCGGCTCCGGCGCATCTGAATCCCGCGTCACACGCCTCCGCCTGTGGCTCTCCTGAGGCCCAGCCACCTTCAGGTCTCCGTGCTGGGGACACAGCCCCGAGCGAGGCGCCTGGGCAGCTGCAGCCGCAGACCCCGGGGTCAAGCCCAGCCAGCTGCGGGCTGAGCTCGACCACTGCCAGGCTTTGCAGACGCTGGCCGAGAGCCGGAGCCTGGCATTGCCAACGTCCACCACGACCCCTGCTGGAAACCGTCTCTCCCTCATCATCTCGTGGGTTGTTCCCACGTGTCATTCAGTTTCAAAAGCCTTTATCTGATGCAGAGAGTGTTCCCCTCTGCACGCTCGCTCTTCCAAGGCCTGAAATGGCCAGCACCAGCCAGGTCAGAGCCAGGAGCTCCAGCCAGGTCTCCCCGAGGGTAGAAGGAGCCCAGTGACCGCAGGCGTCACTGCTGTTCCGCAGGGTCTGCACTGGCAGCGAGCTACAGTCAGGAGCCAGAGCCCGGTGCTCCAACATGGGATGGGGGCGCCCTAACCACTAGGCCACACACCCGGGCCCACGTGTCACTCACTTTGTAGCGCTGGCTCATGACAGTGAGTGGTAACACAGTAGTGGATGATTTAGTGCGGAAGCAGAATATCGGGCCGTTACCAGTGAGCTCACATGCAGGCCTGGAAATGAATGAGGCCGTGGAAGCGTGGCAGGTGCGGTGTGAGGGGAGCAACGGGCTGCCCGAACGCCGGTGCGAGGATCCGGGCACGCCCGCCTCTGAGCAGGCAGCCACGACACACCCTGCCCACAGCTCACCTGCTGCTCCAAGAAAGCGACTGCTTCTGCATCTCAACAGCCGCAGTGGCTGGTCCGTGCTCCCGCGGGGACGTGGGCACAGAGACCCGTCCGTGCTCCCGCGGGGACATGGGCACAGAGACCCGGCCGTGCTCCCGCGGGGACATGGGCACAGAGACCCGGCCGTGCTCCCACGGGGACATGGGCACAGAGACCCGTCCGTGCTCCCGCGGGGACACGGGCACAGAGACCCGGCCGTGCTCCCGCGGGGACGTGGGCACAGAGACCCGTCCGTGCTCCCGCGGGGACATGGGCACAGAGACCCGGCCATGCTCCCGCGGGGACATGGGCACAGAGACCCGGCCGTGCTCCCGCGGGGACATGGGCACAGAGACCCGAACTGCGTTTCTCACGCAATTGTTAGAGTTCTCCTCTTTTTTAAAATTTTTTTCTTTTTTATTATTTGACAGATAGAGTTAGACAGAGAGAGAGAGAGAGACAGAGAGAAAGGTCTTCCTTCCATTGGTTCACTCCCCTAATGGCTGCTACGGCCAGCACCGCGCTGATCCGATGGCAGGAGCCAGGTGCTTCTCCTGGTCTCCCATGGGGTGCAGGGCCCAAGCACTTGGGCCATCCTCCACTGCACTCCTGGGCCACAGCAGAGAGCTGGCCTGGAAGAGGGGCAACCGGGACAGAATCCGGCACCCCGACCGGGACTAGAACCTGGTGTGCCGGCGCCACAGGTGGAGGATTAACCAAGTGAGCCATGGCTCTGGCCAGATTTCTCCTCTTTTTGACTTTTTTAGACAGTTTTTTGATAGTGAAATTATTTTAAGTTGTCAACATTACTAGCACTGAGTCCTACGATTCACAAATTAAGGATATAATTTTCGTACCATTACATTTTTCCTATCACAAAGAATAGAGAGGGATAATTCCTGCCTGTGCCTTGTACGTAAACGCTGGGACTGTCGTCAACGGCCCTGCTTCCTGAAGGCCCCAGCAGATCGGCCTTTGCAGGCACCACGCCTGCAGTGGGGTTGCTACTGTCACTCCAAACAAGTAACAGAAAACCGATGCTGGCTTCACGGTGCGCAGGAGAGGACCTGAGCGTCCCGTATCCCAGCAGAAGGCCGCTCCAGGGGCGCCCAGCCAGAGCCGGACAGGCGGCTGAGACCCGCAGTCCCCGAGAGGGCGGCTCTTGTCCACTCAGCTCAGGGCATCCTCGCCTCTGATGTCCACCACGTGGCCGGAGAACCACGGCGGGCTCCTGGCGCAGGGGCTGTCCCCCTGGGATCGCTCCCACTTGTCACGGGGGCTGCAGGACCTGGGAAACACAGGCAGCTGGGAAATCGCTGGCTCCTCTCTCGACAGAGCGCCCGTACCTGCAGCTAACTTTTTCTGGAGACGTTCCCGGTTGTGGGGAGAAACTTCCGGATTTCCACTCTCCCTTATCCCACAAGAGGCACCGCAGCCACTGGAAACGGACCGTGTAGTTCACCAGCTCAGCTAAATACTTGTTTGGGGATCTTCTGTTGTAGTCAGCGTCCAACAAGGACAAGTAGCCCACCTTGGACGCTGCAGAGAGAGGAAAACAGGCACACGCTGGAGTCTGCAGGAGACCCAGTCCCACCACAGGGACAGGCGGTGGGACGGGGCCAGGGACTCGGGCCACGTCAATGTGGAATCAATAGACTTGTGTTTCATTGAGGAATGGCAGGGTGCTGGGCGGGAGGGCAGTGCCCCCTGCTGGTGACGGTTCAAGTTCTCCAGCAGGCAGAATCCGGCACCCCCCACCCCATGCTTTCCACGCACCCACCCCGCCTGCCCACCCAGCAGGCAGCCTGCCCGACACCAGCAGGGCCCCATCCGCACCGTCCTGGGCAGGACAGTGCAGTGGCCCAGCAGCCTGAGCCTGTCACTTCTGGATAATTTTTATGTTTACAAGCAAAAGCGCTTAGTGTGCCACTGATTTAAGATTCGTCAGTACGTGGCGCTGGGCCCGCTGCAGATCAGTCAGCTGCAACACTGTGGGCGGGGCCCATTTCTCGCGGTGTCACGTCTGTAAGCAGCAACCGGCCAGAGACCTAAATGTGACGGAAACACAAGCTACGCGGGTACTGGCAGAACCTGGGCAACCTGCAGGTGAGGCGAGGCTCCAAGCATGGCTCAAAGCGCAAGGTCATACGAGGAAAGGCTGGTAGACTTTACTACTTAAAAAAACTATTTAAAAACTATTTACGTATTTATTTGAAAGTCAGAGTTGGGCGGCTGGAGGGGGGGGTGTTGGTCTTCCATCCACTGGTTCACTCCCCAGATGGCTGCAATGACCAGGGCTGAGCCAGGCCGAAGCCAGCAGCCAGGAGCTCCACTCGGGTCTGCCACGTGGGTAACAGCACCCAAGCCCCAAGCAGGGCAGCCAGGACTCAAACTGGTGCGCATGTGGGATGCTGACGTTGTGGGTGGTGGCTTTACCCGCTACACCACAACGCCAGCCCCTAAAAACCACGGCCTGATGGTTAGGATGCCCACGCCCCACTGGATTCAACCACCAGCTCTGCTTCTGATTCTAGCTTCCTGCCAGCGCGCACCTGGGAGGAGCAGAGGGTTGCCCAAGTGGTGGGGTCCCTTTAATGCATTCGGGAACCCAGACTGCGTTCTCAGGTTCTGGCTGGGGCCGGCCCATCACCAGCCCTGTGAACATCTGGGGGAGAGAAACAGTGGCTAGCAGTGCTCTGTCTTTCAAATAAAATAATCAATTTTTTTTTGGATAGGAAGAGTGGATAGTGAGAGAGAGAGACAGAGAGAAAGGTCTTCCTTTGCCGTTGGTTTACCCTCCAATGGCCGCTGCGGCCGGCGCACCGCGCTGATCCAATGGCAGGAGCCAGGTGACTCTCCTGGTCTCCCATGGGGTGCAGGGCCCAAGCACTTGGGCCATCCTCCACTGCACTCCCGGGCCACAGCAGAGAGCTGGCCTGGAAGAGGGGCAGCCGGGACTAGAACCCGGGGGCCGGTGCTGCAGGTGGAGGATTAGCCTATTGAGCTGCGGAGCCGGCCATGAATCAAATTTTTTAAAAGACAAAATAAATGATGAGTTATAAGAAGATGCTTGCAACTGATAGTATACAAAAGGGCAGGGTGCCCTAATATATAAAGAGCTCTTGAAAAAAATCAAGGCAAAAACCCAACAGAAAAACTGGTATGCATAGGCAGTTGGCAGAAAAAAAAAGTGGAGGGCCTGGCACTGTGGCGTAGTGAGTTAGCTGCCACATAGGACATCAGCAGCCCACGTGGGCACCAGTTTGAGTCCTGGCTGCTCCACTTCCAGTCCGGCTCCCTGCTCGTGCACCTGGGAGAGGCAGAGGAGCATGGCCCGAATCCCTGGGTCCCTGCACTCATGTGGGAGACCTGGCTACAACTCCTGAGTCCTGGCTTCGGCCTGGCCCATCCCTGGCCATTGCAGCCATTTGGGGAGTGAACCAGCAGATAGAAGGTCTCTCTCCAATTCTGCTTTTCAAAACAGAATAAATAAGTAAGTCTTTAAAAAGAAAGTGGATCAGCTCTCTGCTGTGGCCTGGGATAGAAGATGGCCCAAGTGCTTGGGCCCTGCACCCACATGGGAGACCAGGAAGAGACACCTGGCTCCTGGCTCCTGGCTTCGAATTGGTGCAGCTCTGGCTGTTGCGGCCACTAGAGAGTGAACCAACGGAAGGAAGACCTTTCTCTCTCTCTCTCTCTCTCTCTCTCACTGTTTGTAACCCTACCTGTCAAATAAATTTTAAAATATCTAAAAAAAAAATAAGTGGAGAATGACCTCTAAAGATACAAAGAATATTCAACTTAATATAAAATGGATATTAAAATCGCCATTTCTTAGTCATATGACTGAAAAGTCACTCACTCGCGTGGGCACACAGCTGTTGCCAAGCTGTAGGGAGACAGGCACTTCCCCACATGGCTGGAGGGGAGCCTGAAAACCTGCCGACACGGCACACGCATGTCCTGTCTGCCCTGCAACGCCTGGGCCAAGAATGGGTCGTGAATGTGCCTCCTTCCAGTGAACACGGCACAACACACACACAGGGCCCCCGTGCCAGCCCGGCTGTGTACGCCAGTGTGCAGAGGAGGAGCGAGTGGCAGGGGAGAAAGGCCGTGTAGACAGATCACACGCACAGGTGACTTCTGAGTTCATGTCCCAAGTAAGAAAACGCCAGTGCGGGGAAGGAATCGGGGAAACAGTGCGTGTGCTGGAAAATGAACAAGGCAGGGAGCTCACGTGTGGCTGTGGTCGTGCGTGAAGAAAACACTGCCGTGCACACACACGTGACAGCATACACACGTGACAGCACACATGTGACAGTGGGGCTTTCATCACACACGGGGCTGGAGAGCACGGGCGTGCGCCCAACACACACGCACACACACATGACCGTGCACACACGTGACCGTGCACACACATGACAGTGGGGCTTTCATCACACAGGGACTGGAGAGCACAGGCGTGCACCCACCACACACACACACACATGACCGTGCACACACATGACAGTGAGGCTTTCACCACACACGGGGCTGGAGATCATGGGCGTGCGCCCAACACACACACATGACCGTGCACACACATGACAGTGAGGCTTTCACCACACACGGGGCTGGAGAGCACGGGCGTGCCCCCCCACATGACCGTGCACACACATGACAGTGCACACACACGACAGTGAGGCTTTCACCACACACGGGGCTGGAGAGCATGGGCGTGCCCCCCACATGACCGTGCACACACATGACCGTGCACACACATGACCGTGCACACACATGACAGTGAGGCTTTCACCACACATGGGGCTGGAGAGCACAGGTGTGCGCCCACCACACACACACAATGACCGTGCACACACATGACAGTGGGGCTTCCATCACACATGGGCTGGAGAGCACGGGCGTGCCCCCACCACACACACACAATGACCGTGCACACACATGACAGTGGGGCTTTCATCACACACGGGCTGGAGAGTACGGATGTGCCCCCACTGACCTTTCCACGCAGCAGCAGGCGTGTAAATCTGCACGGTTTGCCCCTCCCAGAGGAAGGTCTGCTTCACGAGGAAAGACGAGGGCGTGGGTCTCTCGGAGAACCTAGGAGACAACGAGGAGCCGGCTGTCTCTCCCCGGAAGACCTCGGAGAACCTAGGAGACAACGAGGAGCCGGCTGTCTCTCTCTCCAGAGGACGTTAGCCTTCACAGGTGCTCCACACGCCCTCCCAGCAAGCAGATGGCCTGGGACTAAGGCTCCGGCCAACAGGCCTAGTCCACGGTCCCACTGTCCCTGCACAGAAACGCTCCCCCAGCACCGCGGTCCTCGCTCACCGAGGAATCCTCTAAATGTCAGGGGAAGCAGGCAGGGGCACAAGCAGCAGTGTGCTGGGGAGAAGCGGACGGCGCGGCGCGGGGGGCCGAGGGCACGGCCGCCTCTGCAGCTCGGCCCCCCGCGCCCTGCTGGCAGCCCACGGCTGCCACTGACGGACAGGAAGCTCACGGTCCACAGAGGTAGACGTCCCAGAACCTCTGTGCACGACTGAAACCTGAACTAAAGCAGAAGACTCTGCCAGGCGTCTGAGGTTTGGTCATTTGGTGGAACAAGAGAGGAGCCGCAGTGCGGGCAGCACCTGCATGGGGACAGCCCTGCCCACGGCACCCGTCTCCGGCTGCGGCCCGCCCGACCCAGCAGGAGCAGGGGAGAGCTTGTGGGGAGGACGACCAGGGCCACACCTCTGCGGGAAGACCCCGGCAAGCCCCACGGACCCACGGCTCCCATTCGGCACGTGACTTCTCCTGGTCATTTCTCCGGCCATTGCGTGTGGCTTGGTCATAGACCAGGATTCACGATCACCAGGAAAGAGAAGGAATTCATCATCGTAGAGGACTGAGCTCATTGTCTCCTTTTAGAAGATAAAAGAAGATTTTTCTCCTTTCACAGGTAAAAAAATAAGAGACTTGCGGCCCAGATCCACGTCGGGAGGGAGACTGCGACCCCTAAATGCGGTCACGCACGGTATCTCAGTAACACTGCGGATGCTTCGCGCCCTGGCGAAATCGACTGGCAGGGACTGAACCTCGAACCATGCAAAAGCAGCTGTCCCCGCACAGCAGCCTGCACGGGTCATCTCTGCAGACGGGGCCTCGCCATGGCTTTGGAATGACAGCTTCCTAAAGGACCACACAGCTCCGACCGCGCCCCCCGGCGGCCGCCCCGTGCCCACCTCACGAGCAGGAGGACAGGAAAGGCGCGGGAAGCAGGCGTGGAGAACTCGATGTGTATCTGCAGAGATTCCTGGGCGTCTTCAGAAAGCCCTGCAAACGGGTGCAAATTCACTCTGTCCCGAAGCAAAGCGAACGCCGTCTTACTTCTCCGGCTGCCCTGCGATCAAGAGGGAAACAGGCACGTAAGATCCGCCCCTGGAAAAGCCGCCGTGTGACCATCCTGCCCGCGCGGCCCTCCCGGAGCAGGGACAGTGGCAGGCGCTCCTCACCGGGCCATCGTCCTCCCCAAACTCCACGGTCATGGGGCTCGCCAGCCGGTGGCGGCGGATGGGTCTTGTGCCAGAGCAGGTGTGCAGGGTGAGGCCCACAGCTCTGCCGACCTTGGGGGAAAGCCCACGTCAGGCAAACGCCAGCCGGCACCTGACCCCGGGAGAGAGCCAGGAGCCCGCCGTGTGGCCCTGCTGCTGCCATGACAGCTCTGCACACGGGCGCCGGCGGCCAGGGCGCAGCTCCAGCAGGGAACACTTTTTAAAGTTTTGAACGTATTTTTAGCTTCTTCCTTGGAAAGCTCCTATGACATGAAATCCCTGCTCACTGCAGAGATGGGGAAGGCAGAGAACGGCGTGCAGGAGCGCACAGGGAACTCACAGTCCCCTCCCCGGACAGCCCAGGGCAGGGGCTTGCCTCCCAGGCTTCCCCCACACTCTGAGGGTATACCAGGCACACAACTCAGCCTTCGGAACTTTTGCCTAAAATCTTCCCAAGTCAGTAAAACTCTCTGACGTAATTTCAATCGGCTCTAAATGAATTATAGTTCATTTAAATGGCCAGTGAACCATATCCTTATGTTGGACATTTATAAGCGTATTTCCACTGGGGTTATAATAAGTGATGCTGTGGACTGTGAGCTTCCTGTCCGTCAATTAACAAAACAAGAAACTTCCTTCAGCGACGCTTTGCTTCGTTCCGAGCGTAACTGCTGGCCGGGTCTCAGAGAGGTCCCAGCCACAGACGCCTGGCACACTCACTCCGTCTGCACACCTCTGTGACTGAAAACACCATTTTAATTCCAGTTTCTTTCTCATTAGCTGCAACTGTTTTCATGCACTGATTTCACTTCTATCTCCTTAAAAAGAAAAGCAAATGCCTCGTGAGAGGAGCACGTTTCTAACTCGGCGGGCGTCTGTTGCCCACTGAGCCCGGCGTGGGAGGCGGGGCTGAAGGGCTGGGGCGCTCCCTCGGCGCTCCCTCGGCGCTGCCCTCCCCGAGCCCACGGAGCTCCAGAATCACCCAGCGGCTGGGACAGTCTTCCCTGACAGCCCCAGCCCGACGCTGCCCGGCCCCCGGGGACCAGGGACCTCACTGCTGGTTCATCCCAGACGTGTCTCCCACAGTGTGGCAGGAGAGTTCTGGGGGCCCCCGGCACTGTCACTCAGGCTGAACTCCTCTGCGCGAGGCACTGTCACGGTCCCACACGCCCAACCTCCTCCCCCATGGTGGGTGTAACATCCCACAGGAGACGACGGATGGGTGCAGTTCCCCAGGTGCCAGGGACGCCTCATGCTGTAAGATTCTCCCGGAGAAACTGATCTAAGAGCAGTGGAGACGGCAACGCATCCCGGGCGGCTCCTCCTTGAAACTGACCCGCAGGAGCACACCTGCCCACCTCTTCCCCAGCAGAGCCCATCATGGGAACTTGAAGAGGCCGTGGGAAGCGCCCGTGCCGTACCTGCCCGGCAGCGCGTCCTGCCCGCGGGTGCGGGTTCTTCCTGAACAGCACAAGCTGGCTAATGTAGCACGGACTCTGCGTTTCCTCGCCAGCCCGGCTGTGCCCGGCCAGGTCGCCAGGCAGGTGCACCTGGACAGGGCCCAGGCTCTGGACAGACTGCTGCGGGCCGCTATGGAGCAGGGCCAGGAACTCCACGGGCCCAGCGCTCACGCGGAGCTCCCGCTCGTGGTGCAGAGAGAGGCAGCCCTGGAACAGAGTGGGGACCCCGTGTCTGTGATGTGAACAAGCAAACAGGCTGCACTCAGAGCAGGGAGACGTGGGAGACCACAGCCGTCTCCAGCGAGACCGATCCGCCAGGAAGACTTTGATACAAGGATGCAAATAACAAACAGTAAAAGTCAAATGGGTGCAGTGCAAATAACAAACAGGAAAACTCAGATGGGCGTCTCTTGTTCCGCCACATCTTTCTGTGATGTTTTCTTTCTTGTTTGAACAACTGCTATGTTTCTTGCGACTCTTAGTCCATCAAAAGGAGGTTTTAACGCCGCCGTGGTTAGTTTTGAAACACGGAAGACGGAGCCTGAGCTTGGTCCGGGGCAGGTGTGCAGCCAGCGCCTCCGAACGCCCCTCCGGTGGAGAAGGTGGCCACGTTCTCACCCCCACGCTGTGCAGCGGCTACCAGGTAAGCGAGGCAGCAGGCCTGGGTGGGCGGGAGGGCGACTCCTGGGAGGACAGGGACAAAAGCCCGCTGCCGTCTCCCCTCCCCACCCCGTCCCTGAGACAGCCGCAGAAGTACACAGGGCATGTCCCGGCATCCTCTCCAGCCACGGGCCGGCAGCAGGACCACCTTTAAACAACACCTGCGTGGATCCCGCTGTCACTTCACATCACTCCCCAAAGCACAGAGCTGTTCTGAGGAGTCACGGCTCGGAGCCAGGCGTGTCCCAGATGGAAACCCACCCACACCTCAGGCACGTCGCGATATTGCCGGGAGACACTTAAGTTCACAACGAAATCTCCAGATATGAAACCTCCACCCAGAACCACAGGCTGCACTTGAGGAGCCAACCGTCTCTGGGTTCTGAGAAGAGATCCGGCCTGGGTCCATGCCCGTGGGGCAGCGGGGACATCCGTGCTGTGGACTGCACGACCGACTCACCAGCAGCAAGGCTGAGACCCCCCCATGCCCTCCTCCCAGACAGGGCCCCCAGACTCACCAGCAGCAAGGCTGAGACCACCCCCCATGCCCTCCTCCCGAGGGCCCCCAGGCTCACCAGCAGCAAGGCTGAGACCACCCCCACCCTTCTCCCAGACGGGGCCCCCAGACTCACCAGCCGCAAGGCTGAGACCCCCCATGCCCTCCTCCCGAGGGCCCCCAGGCTCACCAGCAGCAAGGCTGAGACCCCCCCCCCATGCCCTCCTCCCGAGGGCCCCCAGGCTCACCAGCCGCAAGGCTGAGACCCCCCCATGCCCTCCTCCTGGGGGGGCCCAGGCTCACCAGCAGCAAGGCTGAGACCACCTCCAGGCTGTCCTCCCAGACGGGGGTCCTGGCCAGCGCTTCTTCTTGCCCGGAGCCTTCCCAGACCCTGGACAGCATTCGGATGAGCTCCAGCCTCAGGCCCAGGCCAAGCACGAGCCCCCCGCGGAGGCGGCCTTGAGTGAGGAGCACCCGGGCGAACCTGAGCAGGAGCAGGGTGCTGGCAGAGCTCACCTGTGGGACACAGCGGGCGTGCGTGGCAGGTGCTCTGCGCCTTCATTGTTGTCAGGAATGGAAACGACTGCACTTGGCGTCCAGAGGACGCATGCAAGCGCGGCTGCGGGCTCAGCTGGCTCTCGGCTGACTGCCCGAGTGACACTGCCTGCTGATGGTGGCTTCCCGGCCCAGAAGGGACTCAGGAAAGACAAAGGTCCCCCGGCCCTTTATGCTCTCAGAGGCTACCTGGGCTGAGGTCTGGGACGGCCCTGAAAGCCGCCTCTCCTCCTGCCCGGCTCCTCCCGTGGTCACTCAGACGGCCCCGCCCGGGGGTCAGGCTGCAGCCACGCCGGCCTCTCACTGTTCCTGATGCCACTGCCCCTGCCTGCAGCACCTTGGCCTTGTCTTGGCCTGGCAGAATCCGACTCTCCCTCTCCCTCTCCCTCTCCCTCTCCCTCTCCCTCCCTCTTTCCCCCTCTCTCCCCCTCTCTCTCTCATCTTCCTGTGGGCCAGCTGCAAACACACACACCGTGTGCAGGGACAGCAGTGCGGGGCGCCAGCAGTGGCCAGCCACAGCCAGTGCGTCCTCTTCCACTCCCTGCCAGGCTGCAGAGCGAGTCCACTGCCCCATGATCGCCTCGGACAAGATCATCGTTCTTTCCCGCTTATGTTTTTAATGCTGATTTCTTTATTTGAAAGGCAGAGACGGGCAGAGGTCTCCATGCCCTGGTTCACTCCCAGGCATCTGAGGCAGCCTGGGCGAGGCGACGCTGGACTATGGGCGAGAGGACGGGGATGACGAGCCATCCAGGCTCCAAGTCGGCGTGCTGGGTGTGGTTAGAAAGGGGAGGAAGACCAGAGAGAAGAGAGCGCAGGTCAGAGGGAGCCAAACCTGCCGGCATGTGCCGCAGGGAAGCCATGGAAGGAAGCAGAACAGAGTGGCGCCGATGTATGCAGCCCGTGTGCTGGCGGCAGGTCCGCAGGGCACAGTGAGGGTGTACAGGTGGTACGGGGTGTCCCCGAGTGTTACTGGATGAGAAATGACACTTGCTTAGATTTTGGGGATGCACAGGCAGTGGGATGGAAGAGGCGGGAAGATGCTGTCCCCATGTTTGGGGAAGAACAGACAAGTAGAGGCAAAGGGGGACTCTCTGGTGACCCCTGCGTTTGGACACGAGCCTCTGGGGGATGGTGCTGCCTTGTGTGAGCTGAGGCGAGCAGGAGGAGACCTGGAGGCAGTGAGGGCAGCCGTGGAGGCAGGGCTCTGCCAGTGGACTGCTGGGTGGGCAGCTGAGCGCCGGGGTTGAAGACGTGAAAGGCACGGTCATCATCACGTCTGTTTAAAGTTTAGGGAGAGATGGCCCGGGGGAATGTGGACAGCACCCTGGCGCCCTGACCACGTGGGTGCAGACAAGGAGTCAGTCACAGTCAGGCTCCAGGGCCAAGCAAGGAGCAGTGCCATGGAGCTGAGGGAGGGGTGTCTCCAGGAGGGTGACCCCGCAGAGCATCCTGGGAGGGAGGGGACCCTGGGCAGAGGTGTGCAGTGGCTTGTGGGGGGGGGGGGCAGTTTAGTGTCGAGAAGGAGGCAGAAGCCGAATTTTGATAGTTTAAAATGCAAGAGGACAGGGAATAGAGAATTCACTTCTCACACGCTCTACTGGGAAGAAGAGTGCGGCGAGCAGGCGGCAGCTGGCGAGGACGGGAAGTCACCAGAGTGCTATGGGGTGTCCCTGAGTGTTACGGAGCGTCCCTGAGTGGTACGGAGCGTCCCCGAGTGGTATGGGGTGTCCCCGAGTGTTACGGAGCGTCCCCAAGTGGTACGGGTGTCCCCAAGTGCTACGGAGCGTCCCCGAGTGGTACGGGGTGTCCCCGAGTGTTAGGGGTGTCCCTGAGTGGTACGGGTGTCCCCAAGTGCTACGGAGCGTCCCCGAGTGGTACGGGGTGTCCCCGAGTGTTAGGGGTGTCCCTGAGTGGTATGGGGTGTCCCTGTTACAGGGTGTCCCCGAGTGGTATGGGGCGCCCCCAAGTGTTAGGGGGTGTCTCCGAGTGGTACGGGGTGTCCCTGAGTGTTACAGGGTGTCCCCGAGTGGTACAGGTGCCCCCGAGTGTTAGGGTGTGTCTCTGAGTGGTACGGGGTGTCCCTGACTGTTACAGGGTGTCCCCGAGTGGTACAGGGCGTCCCCGAGTGTTACGGGGTGTCCCCTAGTGGTACAGGGTGTCTCCGAGTGGTACAGCGTATCCCCAGCTATTATGGAAAATCACCCGAGTATTATGGGATTTCACCCAAGTGTTATGGGGTGTCCCCGACTGTTATGGGGTGTCCCCGAGTGTTACAGGAAATCACCCAAGTGTTATGGGGTGTCCCCAAGTGTTACAGGAAATCACCTGAGTGTTACGGGGTGTCCCCGACTGTTACGGGGTGTCCCCGAGTGTTATAGGAAGTTACCCTACTGTTATGGGAAATCACCTGAGTATTATAGGATTTCACTCAAGTGTTTCGGAGTGTCCCTGAGTGTTACAGGGTGTCCCCAAGTGTTGCAGGAAGTCACCCGAGTGTTATAGGAATTTTACCCGAGTGTTTCAGGGTATCACTCGAGTGGTACGGGGTGTCACCCGAGTGTTAGGGTGTCCCTGAGTGTTCACAGGGTGATGGGGGCAGGCTCGTGGCCTGCCCTTTAGGAGCACCCATGGCCACACCGGGGTGCCTGGGTGTGAATCCCAGCTCTGGCTCTCCTCTCCAGCACGCATAGCTCAATTGCTTGTTTGTGCCCCAACATGAGAGATCTGGGTTGAGTTCCTGGCTCCTGGCTTCAGACTGGCCCAGCTCTGCACTGCAGGAACGTGGGAAATGAACCAGTTGCCAGGAGAACACATACTCTCTCTGCCTCCCAAATAAATAAATAAAATTCTAAAACATTGTAAAACAAGTGAGTGTCTAGCATGTTAGGGTTCACCCATGCAGAGACTCTGCAGAAGGCGGGATGGCCTCCACGGGCGGGCGTCAGCCTCACGGCAGGCCTGAGGCCCCCAAGGTGCCCTGATGGCATCAGACAAAGGAGAGGGGATGCTTGCTGGGGCAGGGCTCCTCCCCTGGTGACGGGCGGGCGAGGCTGCGGGGCGGGGGGTTGCAGACTGGTGGCAGACGTGGGCTCTCCTGCCCTGTGATCTCTCAAAGTGCAGGGCAGTGAGGACGCCCCCAGGGCTGGGGGCCAGGGAGGCGATGGGAGGAAGCAGTGGTGATGGGAGAACCCGGTGCCACGCCTGAGTTCTACAGCACACCGTCTCCACCGCGGTCCGCAGCACCGCCAGCCTGCTCTGACCCAGGTCTTCACCTGCGACTGGGCTGGGCAGGGCCACTCGGGTGAATTCTTAGAAGGAAGCCATGTTTTTCACCCATGCAATCCAGACTCTGGGTGGCCTATCTGATCATGGTCCTCACACCACGAGAAAAGCAGGCAGCTGCCCCTGGAAAGAAACCTCACTCACGCACCTTCGGAGGGAAGCTCACGAGGTCCTTCAGCGCAGGGACCACACCCATCACTTCCTCCTGAGGAGAGGAGTTTGCTTGTTAGCGGAAAGCCTCAGCTCATGTAAAACAGAGCAGACCCCAGCTTTCCAGCTGAGACCACCGGGGGACAGATCTTCCGCCAGACCGTGACCTTGGCCTAAAGTTCCCCTTCCAGTATCTCTCCTCCTATGTGCCCCTGCCCACCCCACCGACCCCTACAAACTGACACCAGGGTGAGGACGCCAGGGGCCAGAGCTGAGCAACACCGAAACAGTCGGAGATGTACAGGGGAAGACGGGCCGAGGTCAGGTGCAGGGTCCGAGGACTGTAACTATGAGACTCGCTCTCCAGTGCTGGGTCCAGCCACGTTGGGGGGTGCTGTGAGCGAGCCAGTGGCTCTGGATACACAGCCACTTCTTAAGAAGCTGCCATAGAGGCCGGCGCTGTGGCTCACTAGGTTAATCCTCCGCCTGCAGCACTGGCACCCATATGGGCGCAGGGTTCTAGTCCCAGTTACTCCTCTTCCAGGCCAGCTCTCTGCTGTGGCCCGGGAAGGCAGTGGAGGAAGGCCCAAGTGCTTGGGCCCTGCACCCGCGTGGGAGACCAGGAAGAAGCACCTGGCTCCTGGCTTCGGATCAGCGTGGTGCGCTGGCCGTGGTGGCCATTTGGGGAGTGAACCAATGGAAGGAAGACCTTTCTCTCTGTCTATAACTCTACCTGTCAAATAAAAAATAAATAAATAAAAAAGAAGCTGCCGTAACTCCCAAGGGTATCCCTGCTGGCGAGACACAGTTGGGCTGGGTTACACAGCTTCCCTTCCTGAAATGCTAGCATAAGCAGGTGCAGGATGGTTGACTCGCACCGTTCTGTGCTGGGCCAGGAGCACACGTGAGGGAGAGGGAGGGAGGCCGCAGCCGTGGCCCAGTGCTTGCTGGAGAGCACGCAGACCTGCCACAGGTCTGCAGACGACGAAGCCATCCCGCAGGGGGTCATACCTCGTCTGCAAAAGCAAAGCTGCACACCGAGGAGATCAGGGCGTCCCGGATCAGAGGCCACTGGCCACACGAGGCGCTTCCGTCTTCCGTGGTCAGACGGTTCAGGATCCCGGTGAGCATGGTGACATAGTTCCTGATTTCGGTGTAACTCCCCATCAGCTGGAGGGTTGACAGGTTCCTCAGGCTGGAATTGTACCTGAAGGGAACATGGAGCGATCATGACCCATCCAGCACACCACCTACCACCAGTGCAACGCGACTGGTTACAAAAACGCTTCTTGGGTCAGTCCGGGCAGGAAGAGAACGACACAAAAGAGCTGTTCTGGGCAGAGCAGACTAGAAAAAGGCAAAGCCGGGCACAATCCAGAATCCTCTAAAGGTACAAGAAGCCCGACAGCGCCAGGTAGAGGCACCACAGCAGTCTGGGGAGGGGTAGACACTCCCAAGGCCGTGGCTGCAGCCCCATGGGACCCCAGTGATTGGAGTCAGCAGTTAGAGTTCAAGTCCATAAGGAGTGGACGTGCCCCCTGCACTCACAGGCCACAGGTTCACGCCTTCAGATGTCAATAGTGACAGAAACAGGCAACATTTCCTAATGATAAAATAGGTACACCCAAGAGGAAGACAAAAACCCATAAATACAGAGGAAGCCAACAAAAGCCCCAAGGATGTGAAGCAAGAATTGATAGAACTGAAGGGACAGAGAGAATTCAGAGGTGATAACTCTGGGGCAGGCGCTGTGGTGCGGTGGGTAGAGCCACCTCTCGGGGCATCCACTCCATTCCGGAGTGCCTGGCCTGAGTCCCAGCTGCTGGGTGCTTCCAATCCTGCTAGTGAGCCTGGGAGGCAGCGGACGATGCCCCAGCGTGGCAGACTCGCATGGGGTGCCCGGCTCCCGGCTTCAGCTTGATCTAGTCTTTGCTGTTGTGGGCAGCTGGGGAGTCAGTCAGTGGAGGGAACACATTTGTCTGCCAGTCTCTCTGTCACTCTGCCTTTCAAATAAATAAATCCATTTAAAAAATAATACTGTCAATAATAGATAGAACAGCCAGGCAGAAAATCAATAATTTAAAGTAGACCTAATAGGCCCCATAGAATACCCAACAAGAACAGCATACATTTGTCTCAAGTGCACATGGAACTTTCTAGAATCAACCATCTAGTAGGTCACTAAAAAGACCCAACACATTTTATATTATTGTAGGCATTTAAGTGTGTCCTCTGATCATTGGAGAATTAAATTATAAATAATGACAAAAAGAAATTTGTCAAATTCATAAATACGTGAAAAATATTTATGGAATATCTAAATTTTTTTTCCTGTATTTGAAAGGTAGAGAGACAGGGCTGGGGGGAGGAAGAGAGAGAGAGACAGACAGACAGACAGACATCTCTTCCAGCCGCTGTTCACTCCCTAATGCCTGCAAGAGCTGAGGCTGTGCCAGGGCCAAGCCAGAACCTCGAACTCGACCTGGGTCCCCTGAGGGTGGCGGGGACTCAGCTACTCGAGCCATCACCGCTGTCTCCCGGGTGGGCATTAGCAGGAAGACAGGCGTGGAGAGTACAGCTGGGTGTCAGTTCCCGGCAAGCCAATATGGGTGCGGCGTCCCAGGTGGTGTCTTAGCCCGGAGTGAGTTAAACAATGTACTCCTAACAACCAGCGGCTCAGAGAATAAACTGTAAGGGAAATCACAAAATGCTGCGAGATTAGTGAGTGAGAACCTAACGTTCCCAAATCAGTCACACTGGATGTAACTAGTCAGTGTTGAAGGGTGAATCTAGCTACAAAGTCTGCATGGGAGCCGCTAATTCCAACCTTTAGGAACCAGAAAAAGAAGAGAAAACTAAACCCTTAACAAGCACAGGAAAGAATCATAAAGATCAGGCCAGCGACGTGGCTCACTAGGCTAATCCTCCACCTGCGATGCCGGCACCCCGGGTTCTCGTCCCGGTTGGGGCGCCAGATTCTGTCCCGGTTGCTCATCTTCCAGTCCAGCTCTCTGCTGTGGCCCGGGAGGGCAGTGGAGGATGGCCCAAATGCTTGGGCCCTGCACCCCATGGGAGACCAGGAGAAGCACCTGGCTCCTGGCTTCAGATCAGCACAGTGCTTTGGCCGTAGCAGCCATTTGGGGGGTGAACCAATGGAAGAAGACCTTTCTCTCTGTCTCTCTCTCTCTCACTGTCTAACTCTGCCTGTCAAAAAAATAAAAAAAAAAAGAATAATAAAGATCAGTGCAGAAATCCATGAAACATACAATAGAAAAGGAAAGAGAAAAATCAGCAAAGCCAATGCGTTCTTCAAATCAGCAAGAAAACAGATGAATGTTTAGGTGGACTGACAATGAGAGGGAAGACTTAGGTTACTAGAATCAGGAATGAAGTGGACGTCGTTACTGACCAAACAGAAATTCAACAGACAACAAGGCAATGCCATAAAAAAAGCTGTGTACCAGAAAATTAAAGAAAAATTCCTAGGAAGAAAGAAATTCCTGAAACCTATGCTCAGAAATAGAAAATCTGAATAGTAAAGAGAGTGAATTAGTAATTTAGAAACTTCCCACAAAGAAAATTGCAGACCCAGATAACTTCCCGGCCATTTCAAATGAATGTTTATAGAATTAATACCCATCCTTCACGGACTGTTTCAAACACCAGAATACGAAGGAATACTCCCAAAGAGATGGAGGTTGTTACAATCCTGATCCTAGGAGTGGCAACACAAGAAACAGCTGCAGGCCAACACTGCTTATGAATGCACACACAACACTACAACACTACACTCGCAACAGCATCAAAAAGAACAAAATGTTCACAAATAAATTTAACAAAGGAAGTACGTGTGTGTCCACTGAAAACCACCAGACGCCTCTGAAATAAATCGAAGATCCACAGAAGCAGAACGACATCCCATGTTCATGGATTGGATGACTTAATTCCATCAAGATGGCCATATTCCCCAAATTGATCTACAGATGCAGTAAAATTCCAGCTGGCTCTTGTCTTGTTTCTTGAATATCCCTTTAGCAGGTGCTGGAGCACTGACCAGTGGTCCTGGGAAATGCAGGCACAGCCAGAGGCACGTGGGGTACGGCAGCCAGTGCCAGCCACTGTGCCAAGCCCATTCTGTTTCATCTTTCAGAACTCGACAAACTGATTCTAAAATTCCTATGCAAAAATACAAGGGACTTGGAGTAGGCAACCTTGCAAAAGAAGAAACAAATCAGTGAGCTCAGCCTTCTCAGTTTCTCATCCTAAAACTATAAAGTAATTAAAACAGCGTAGCTCTGGTGTAAGGAGGGACGCCTAGATTAATGGAACAGGAGTGAGAGTCCACAAACAAACCCTGACATTATGGTCATTTGATTTCTCATAGGGGCCCGAGACAATTCAAGGGAGCCAAGCAGGTGGTGCTTGGACCACTGGCTATCCACACACAAAAGAATGAAGTAAGGTCCTTACCTTAAGCCACACACAAAAATTAACTCAGTGTGGACAGGGGCTGAAACACAAGAACTGAAACCATGGAACTCTTTGTTTTTTGTTTGTTTCTTTGTTTGTTTGTTTTATTTGGCAGGGAGTTATAGACAGTGAGAGAGAGACAGAGAGAAAGGTCTTCCTTCCGTTGGTTCGCCCTCCAAATGGCCACCACGGCTGGAGCTGTGCTGATCCGAAGCCAGGTGCTTCCTCCTGGTCTCCCATGCAGGTGCAGGGCCCAAGCACTTGGGCCATCCTCCACTGCCTTCCCAGGCCACAGCAGAGAGCTGGACTGGGAGAGGGGCAGCCAGGACTAGAACCTGGCGCCCATATGGGATGCCAGCGCCGCAGGCGGAGGATTAACCAAGTGAGCCACGGCGCTGGCCCACCATGTAACTCTTAGGAAAAAAAATACAGCAGTAAACCCCTGATCCTGGAATAGGCAGTGGTTGCTTTTCTGACACCAAAAGCAGAGAGGGAGAAGAGGAGACAGATAAACTGGAGTTAACCAAAACTGAAACAGAGAACCACAGGCCGGGGGTCAATATTTGCAAATCCTGGAGAGACCTTTATCCAGTGTATGTAAAGAACTCTTACAACCCAGTTACAAACTGGGTGAAATATGTGAACCGGGGCTCTCCGCAGAAGACACACGGGGCTGGAGCCCTGGCGCAGCTCCGGCTCGTCCCGACAAGATGCCCTCCCGTCACTCCCGCAGCCGCACCCGCCACCCCACTCGGGGACGTCTGCGTGGCTGGCTGTTACTCACAGGTCCTCGGTGGGGCAGTGCATCCCACGGTAACGGGGCAGCACCGTCACAGCCACGGCGCACGGCTGTGCCTTGGAGCCCAGGCCATCTGTGATCTCAGTGGAAACCGTGACTGCAGGGAACACGGAAGAGGAGGGTCAGCCTGGACACACGGCCGCAGAGAAGCCTCTTAAAGACACACGGGTGGCCACTGAGCGGCTCGGGGCCAGGCTCAGGCCGAGGAGAAACGCAAGCTAAGCCCCTCCCTCCTGGCCTGCACCAAGGGCGTCAGCAAACTGAGCGGAATCTCTGCTGAGCAGATCCTTAGGTCCAGGGGTGACAGGAGCTACAGGGACATGGGGGGAACGCAGGGCGTGACAGCGGGACTCCAGGCACCAGTACCCGCTTCCTAGGAGTAACGTGCGGGGTGCTGAGATGGGCAGGGGCCCAGACTGAAACACAAGCTCTGCAGGGCCTGGCAGGACCTGAAGCAGTTCCTACACGACAGGTAGCTTTAGCAGGCATAGCAAGAGGGCGGCTGGTGGCAGGTCTCTGAACACAGAGGAGCAGGCAGGACTGGCTGACTTGGGGGCCCGGGAACTCCTTCCCGGGCTGAGGCATGGGAGGAGTGCAGAGGAGCTTGGGGTGCAGGTGGCCAGATGGCCAGGGCCACAGGCATGGTCCTGTGAACCACACACACACAGGTGATCCCCGGATGCTCCAGACCGTCCTCCCCACGGGAAGCCCAGAGCGGACATCTAGGGACTTGGCCGTGGTGAGGACTTCTGAACACTCGCATCCGGTAGCCATCGCTGCCAGGCCTCCTCGGCTGACAGGCGTGGCCTGCCCTGAGTCGGTTCTCAGGACCCTAATTCTGGGCTCCCCGAGCTGTCCAGCCGAGGCCAGCTCCAGGACTGCCCAGGAGCCCAGGGGCACTGGCCAGGGCAGAACGCTGCTGGACTGGCTCTGCTGGGGTCAGGACACGCCCACTCGGCAGCCCCCAGCCCACGCTCCCCCTGCGGGGGTCCTGGATCTGGTTCCCTCTGCAATAAACACAAGGTCTACCAGGCAGCACATCTGCAGCAGTGGGGGACAGCCACGTCTAAATCGTCAACTCACATGAGAGGCCGTTCTCTGGCATTTCACCACTTACATTACATTTCAATTAAAATGTAAGGCAAAAAAATTTACTCGTTACTAATGTTCTTTCTACACTAAAATGTAGGGAATCAATCTATACTAAAAAGTGAAAAAGTGAATAAGTGCATAAATGATTTTGTTTTCTAGACACAGTTTTAATAACATCTGGTCTTTGGCAACCTTGAGGAGGTTCAGACCAGAGACGGGCAGCCAGCGACCCCGGCTGGCACCGTGACCCCGTGACCTACCTACCTTTGTAACCGTCCGAGGGCTCGCCAGCTGGCAGCACAAAATAATACTGGGCGTCCCTCCCGTGGTACAGCGTGCGTCTGGGGGCGTTTCCTATCTGGTAGCTGAATTCGTATTCCAAGTCCTGGGATCCAGTCACGGGGAACAAAAGGCAGGAAGATGAATGTGCTGTGAGAGGCGTCCCGAGGAGCACGTGCACCTGCAGCCCGCGTGGCCCGTGAGGCCCTGTTTTGCAGCCAGGAACAGGGTGACTAAGTCCCTGCCTGGCCCAGGAGGGGCCTCCCCGCCCCACAGGGCTCCTCTCCCCGTGAGTCCCCAGGGCTCCCCAGCACACTGGGGACTCACAAGGCTCTCCTTGTCTCGGGACCTCCCAACAGTCACCTGTCCCAGCCCCCCATGGTGGAGGGGGTGTGCCACCCCCCAGCTTCCCACAGCAGGCACAGTGCAGGGGGCGGAGACGTGGGGTAGAGGGACGGGCGCTGGTCTGAGAAGCAGCAGGCCTCAGGAACAAGGACAAGAGCGGGCTCTGACAGCAAGAGCCACGTCTGTGATCCAACACGGAGACGGCGGGGAGGACCTGGCAGCAGGGCAGCAGGGCAGCGGCCGCCTGCCCCCCGGGCCTGGGAGGAAGCTGCCTCTCCTCACACCACCCTCCTGTGGCAGCCTCACGAGACCCTGTGCAGAGCCGCAGCCAACTTCCCCAAGTGAGGAGAGTGGCGACGGGTCCCAGCTGGGGTGCAGGGCTCGCTCCGGCCCCAGCCCGCCCGCCTCTCGGCGCAGCCCTGGCCATGCAGCAGAAGCCGGGACGCCCTGGATGGCTCCCGGCGAGCAGGTCCTGGACTCCTCTGAACTGGGGGGGCCACTCTGCCTCCTCCTGCCAGCCGCACGGGGGACCCCGACAGGCAGAGTGACTTCCCGACACTCTGCCTCCTCCTGCCAGCCGCACGGGGGACCCCGACAGGCAGAGTGACTTCCCGACACTCTGCTTCCTCCTGCCAGCCGCATGGGGGACCCCGACAGGCAGAGTGACTTCTCAACACTCAGCTGCAGGCCAGAGTCCTTCATGGCCAGGGAGGCGTTGCTCTGCATCTCCAAGGGACGTTGGGGCGAGCCGCAGCTGCCTCCGTGCTCGGGGGCCCAGGTGGGGCTGCCACGAACGTACCCGCTTTCCTGACATGCAGAAGACGCTGAAGAGGGTGTGCGCTTCCAGACCCTGGTGCGGCTGCACCTGGCAGGCCACGTCCTGGGGAGCTCGGTTCATCACCAGGTACAGCTGGGCTTTGCCGAGGAGGCCGTGTGTGGACACTGAGGAGAAGGGCAAGATGGGGACCCTGTGCATGACGGGGGACCACCACCCACAGGGCTAAGGTCTCCCGGCAGGGGTCGCCCTGCAGGTGGCACTCCCAGACCACCGGCAGCACCTGGGAACTTGTCAGGAATGAATGCCCTCCCGTAGCCCTCCTGTGCCCGGGGCCTGAGAGCCACTGCCTGCGGCACCCATTCCTGGAACAGGCGCTTCCTGGGGCTCAGGAGGGGCGCTGGGAGACAGACAAGGAGGGGACAGAACACCCGCACCATAGTGGCAGTGGGAGAAGACACAGACAGACAGATGGACAGACACCCCCCCTCCCAGCAACACCCATCCCCTGCTGTGCTGGACTCTTCCGGAGCCTCGGCCACACATGAGGGGACTTCCCAAAGTCAGCAGAAGAGAGGAGCTGAACAGTAAGTTCACCCTGGGCAGGCGTTTGGCCTCACGGCTAAGCTGCCAGTTCGATGCCCACGTGCCACACTGGAGCGCCTGGGTTTGATCCCAGGCGCTAGCTCCCGACTCCAGCTTCCTGCTAATGCAGGCCCTGGGAGGCAGCAGCCATGGCTCAAGTCCTCCCACGTGGGAGGCCTGGACTGAGTTCCCAGCTCCGAGCTTCAGCCTTGCCAAGTGCTGGGCGCTGTGGGCACGTGGTGGGGGTGAACCAGTGGCCACGATCTCTCTCTCCATCCCTCACTGCTTCCCTCCTGTGCTTAAGTGAATAAGGAATTTTTTAAAGATAAGTTTATTTTGGTGAAAAATAACTTATAAATCGACAGTTTTCCCACAAACTTTCTGAAGGCCCCCTGCCACAGCACAGCATCGGCAGCCCTGACACGACTTTCCCTCTGGCTTTTGGAAACAGCACCGGCATCGTAACCCCTCCCTGTGTGGCCCCAAGCCCCTGTGCTGCACTGTGTGCAGACCCCTGAGCTTACAGAAGGCTCCCAGTGATCAACATCCTGTCTAGTCTCCACCTTCTGCTATGAACGATCACGCCAAAGTGATTATTTTCACACATAAATGATCTAAGATCTTCTTCTTGAGATGAATTCTAGGAGGTTCACATGCCAAGCAACATGGAGTCCTGACAGCAGTGACCGTCCCCATCCCAAGAGCATGTGTCTAACACAGCCCCTGCTAGGTCTGCCCTGCGCTATCTACAGCCGTGACAAACGGGAGACAGAGCCCAAGACACACGTAAAACCCAAGAGGAACAAAGGTAATTCTGTCTGGCTGAGCAGGAAACTCCACAGGACAGACGCGTTTGAGAGCCGTCCTGAGGTGAGAACCAGTTTATGGGGTCAGGAAAGAGGCATACGCAAGACTGAGCATCCCGGCCAAAACACAGCCCAGGGAAAGACTGAGTCGCACAGTGGCCTGGAGTGACCAAACAGCAGAAGAGAGGCAGTGAGAGCGAGGTGTGGCAGCCGACCCGGAGCCTGAGCTGGCCCCTAACAGCCAGCCAAGGACACTGCGGTCCCAGGGGGCCGTGGACAGGCTCTCGGGAGTCTCCTGCATTAGGAAGAAACATGGCCCGCCTAAGAGAATGGCCTGTAGACTGGACGCCTGGACAAATGTCCGAGGAAAAGAGACAGAGGCCTGGCAGAGGGCAGAGGGCAGAGGGCAGAGGGGAGAGGTGTTTGCTGAAATCAAAGTGGGGGCCGGGGGCCTAGCCTGCAGGTGCAGCTGGGGCGGGCGGGGGGAGGGGGACAGAGCCCAGGTCTTACAGAGCCTGCCCACTGCGTGTTTCCTCGGGTGATGGGAGCGTGAACACGGCACGCCAGCCTGGAGACACGTGAGGGTTTCAGTGGATGTAAAGAGTGAACGTGACCCAGATCTATCTATGGACGTGAGTCGTTGAACCCTCTGTGCTGGTCGTACGAAACCGGAAACCTTCAGAATTGGGGGGCAGCGTCTAGACGGTGCCCAAACAGATGGTGTCAGCCTGAGTCATGGAAACGCGAGACGGGAGGGGGAGCCCTGCAAGTGAATTTAAACGAACACGGACTGTGCGAAGCAGCAGCAGCAGCAACTCCTGGTTGGGGTTAGAGAGAGACGGCACTGAGCGAGCGGCAGGGAGAGAGCCCGTGCACCAGCTGCCCCCCCCACACACACTCACACTCACACACACACACACACACACACACTCACAATGCACAGTCTTCCCTTGTATCGAAGGGCACTGGTCCCAGGACCCCACACGGACACCGGACTCCGTGGATACTCGGGCGCGTCTATAGAATGGGGCAGTGCTCCCACAGAACCTCTGGAGGTCACTCACAACACCCACCGCCCTGCAAATACCGTGCTGGTCATTGTCATGCCGCACTGTTCGGGAGATGATGACAAGAAGTCTGTAACTGTTTAGTATGGATGCAATTAAAACATCCTCTTTAGTCCTCAGTTGGCCGAACCTGCAGGCGCAGAGCCTGCCGCTCTGGAGGGCCCAGGACCCCCTGTGAGCAGACAGAACAAGGCTCTCGCTCAGCTGGGCCCCGACTTAAACAGAAGGGAGATCTGTCACACAACCACGACAGCACGTCCCGTCCAACGGGCAAGCGTGAGCAGGCAGGTGACAGTGGGAGAGAAGGAAGGAGTCAGAGCTGGGAGCGAGAGCCCGGGGATGCGGATTCGAACCCAGACCATGGCTTTCCCTGTACCAAACCCCGCAGACAGCGCCACCTACCCACGGAGGCCTGCAGGACGTACGTCCGTCCACTGCTCAGTGAGAACGGCTTGATGGTCACCACTGGTCCTGTGATGCCTACAGAGGAGAAGGACGCCACACACAAGTCACATGGTCACAGGGCCACGTGCTCAGTGGGCTCCGGGGGTCAGGAGGGCACACAGCACCCTGAGAGCAGGTTCTGCCCTCACTCCAGGGGTGAAGGTAAAACAGGTCCGAGTCACACGCCCCTTCTACTGGGAAACACCAAGGTTTGCAGGCCTCTGGCCTTGGAGGACAGAGGGCTCTCGGCTCACGGCTCACCACTCACCACTCACCGCTCGTGCCAGGCCTCCCCCACCCGACAGGAGCAGGACCGAGAGTGGACCTGTCACCCGGCTCAGAATTGCCGATTTCTAAGCAACAAGACGACACTGCTAAGATTTTATTTTATGTATTTCTAACTAGGTTCAATGACTTATCTATCAAGTAGGATCACAATATCTCAAAGCAGCTTCTAAGCCTTGCAGGACACCAGCTGTGGGAGATTCTCGCCCTGGGGGTGTCTGGGTCCTGGCACAGGGACTGTGTCACTCCCTCCATGCTCCCCTGACAGCCGGGCAGATCCCAACACAGGGCTGACGCCCAAAGCCACCCACACCCGCCTTTGCGGCAGCGCTGCCCACGGTGTTCAGGAAAGCGTCTAAACTAGAGGGAGTCCAGGTCTCCTGGGGGGGCTCCCGGGCACAGCGTAACCACACGCAGGGCAATCCCACAACGGAGCAAAACCGGCTCAGAATCTACAGCGGGGAGAACCGTGAAGGACACGGCGGCAGCTCAGTCCCCCGCCCCCACCTGGTGAAAGGCCGACACCGCCGTGTGCACCCCGGAGTCGGGGTGCACAGTGAACCCCTCTGCTGCGGCTGCGCATTCGTCCGTACCTGACGAGGTGTAGCTTTGGAAAACGGCTCTGCTGACTGGGGTCTTGGGCCAGTCGATCAGGAGGGCGGGCTGGGCTCGGCCGGCAGACAGGAAGGGGCCCACGAGGTTGTCCCCCTCACTGGGGCTCCCCTCGTCATCCTCGCTAGCCCCTGACTCCGGGGGGCTGGTGTTGCCTCCTGAGAAGATGAACCAAGTCCACGGTCAGGGTGAGTGACCCAAGGTTTCGTCAGCAAGGATTTCTGCTCCCGCTGGGTGCCGCACGTCTGAAGTAAGGGATGAGAGGACGCCCCTGGGGCCTGTCCCACAGTCCTCCCTCACTGTTCCGAGTGCTCCCGAGTCCCTGTCTAGGAACTGGAGACCCAGGGGTCCCCGGGATCTGGAGCTGAACAGCGAGGGGGTCATACAGCCGCGAGGAAAGCAGAGAACCCCAGGACGTGGGGCCCCGGAGGGACGAGGAGGCAGCGGAGCAGGTCGGCAGAGAGGCGTGCGGCCAGGGCCAGGGCTGCTCTGGGACAGGGCTTCTGGACAGAGCCTTCGAGGGCCCGGAGGACCAGGCACAGCTTCTGTAGGCTGGGACCGTGAGGCTAGAGGTGCGCCAGGGGCCACGCCAGGTGGGCTGTGTGTGGTGGGAGCCCTGCGGTGGGAGGGAGCGGCTTGGGCTGAGGGGTGGGGTGTGGCCGGGGAAGCACTCTGGCTGAGGCAGTGCGGGGACTGCAGGCAGCAGGAGCTGACGCCCCAGACACCGGCCCCAGGCCACCCACCTGGCTGCCTTCCTCGGGACGGCTCTGCTTCTTGGATGTCACTGTAGTAGGCTTCGAAATCTACAGTGAGGACAAAGTCAGAATATCTGCTTCAGAACCAGACACTCCCCGGAAGTCAGTGCCGACTCTGCCTCCGGGTCTGCGTATTGCCAGTGGCAACCCCACGCGTCGGGCAGCTGGGAGGAGCTGGAGCTCGGAGCAGGTAGCTGCTCCAAGAGGAGTCCTGGCTCAGCCAGGCACGGCTGTTGGCAGGCAGCGGGCACGCGCCCAGCACTCTCTTAGCTAAAGCATCAACACAGGTGACTTAATCCCCGACCCCGATTCACTCTTCCCGCGGCGAGTCAGGGGCCCAGACAAGGGGGACACGTTGAGGGGCGGCGGAGCTTACCGGGGTGGGGAGGGGACCAGCCGCTCTCAGAGGGGCTCCCTGTCGGGGCTTCCTCGTCCCAGGACGCCAGCTCAGGCCCCAGTAGCCCCTCCTCAGGGTCCTCTCCTGGGACCACAGTGTCACCAGCAGCAGGAGCCCGGCGAGGCCCTGCCGTGGACTCCGGGGAGGCGCTCCCTGGGGCAGAGACAGCAGGCTGGCCCAGGGTCTCGGGTGAAGGCTCCCGTGGGAACAGCATGGGTGCCCCTTCGGGATCTGGCGTGCTGGGCTCTGTGGACAGCGGGATCGGCTCCGACGACTTCCAAACGGCCCCAAGTCCCGAGACGCCGAGCAGCCCCACGGCTCGGCAGGAGGGCGCTGAAAGGCAGAGGTGACGGCGTTACCCTTCCGCACCAGACCACCACCGTCTGCTTCCACGCCGTGCACAGCGCACACAAGCGCTCTGCTTGACGATCCCACGGGGGTTCAAACCCCTAGGCACAGGAGCCCGGTCTGCGCCCACAGCCGTGTTGGCCAACGGTGAGGGGGAACAAGCACAGGTGGGACCTGCTGCTCCCTGTCACTCCACCTGGACCGCCTGGCCCGGCCCTGCACAGAATCAGTGGGGTCTGCTGGACCCTACACAGCCCCCTGGTGTCACTCCTGTGTCCCCTACAATCCCCTGGGACACGCGCGTTTCTCCTTGTCGTCATGCCCCTCCCTGTCCAAAAGCACAGAACAGCAAAGAAAACTCACTGTGGGCAGACAAGTGGCCTGTCCATAAGCCAAGCTTTTACGTGGACCAGGCCCTCAGGGCCACATCAGCGGGCACCCTGTGCGTGGCTGGGTCTCACCATTGGCGCTGCCTGAGCTCCCACGATCCATGCACCTGGGCTCTGCTCCAGAGAAATCCAACTGACCTAGAACAACTGGGGAATTCATCCCCAGAAAGACGCCCGAGGGCACCGCGCCGTCCCCTCCTCTGACCACTGAGGCCAGCAGAATGCACGGCTCTGTGCAGGACGCCATGCACAGCCCCAATGCACACACTGACGAAGACCAGAGGGCGGGGGCACAGGCAGGAGGCCAGGAGCTGCCCAGCTCAGGCGCACGGCTCCTCTGCTGCCTGGAGCCGTCTGATCACAGAGGCCTGGCTCTGGCTCAGACCTGAGCATCCCCCCACCAGTGTTCCAGGTATGTCCACGCTCTTTGATTTTTTTTTTTTTTTTGACAGGCAGAGTGGACAGTGAGAGAGAGAGACAGAGAGAAAGGTCTTCCTTTGCCGTTGGTTCACCCTCCAATGGCCGCCGCAGCCAGCACACCGTGCTGATCCGAAGGCAGGAGCCAGGTTCTTCTCCTGGTCTCCACTTGGGCCATCCTCCACTGCACTCCCGGGCCACAGCAGAGAGCTGGCCTGGAAGAGGGGCAACCGGGACAGAGTCCGGCACCCCGATGGGGACTAGAACCCGGTGTGCCGGCGCCGCAGGTGGAGGATTAGCCTGTGAGCCGCGGCGCCGGCCGCTCTTTGATCTTTAACTCTACCCCTCCCCGCCTTTCACCAGGGAATCACTGACAGTGCCCAGCAGCTCCTGCTCCTCCCACTGCAGGCGAGGCCACCAGGGGCTGCGGGAAACAAGCTCGGCTCCTCCCAGGGTGCCCTCTGCGGTCTTCCCAGCAAGCGAGGCTGCCGCAGCAGACCCCAGCTGGGCACCTCGGACCCAACTGTGCGCCGACTCAACCCTGGGGAGGGGGCGTCACACCCCCAGGCAGAGGGCTCTTCAGACGCCACTCACCAGCCCCGGGGCTTCCCCTCTGCTCTCACTGGGGGACAGGATCGGGGTCCCCACAGTGTCAGGTCCAGCTGATCTGCAAAGCACTCACAAGACTCCGGAAGGACTCGTGCTTTCTCAGGTTACCACGAAGGTCAGCACAGAGACCTGGGTGACCACAGGGCACGGCGTGGGCAGGGCCAGCAGCCGGCGTGGGCACTGCCCTCAGGAACCCCCACCATGCAGCTACCAGAAGCCCCCTGAACCCCATCCTTCCGGGGTTTCACGTGGGCCTCGTTATGCAGGCAGGACCGGCTGCAGCTACTGACCACGCCACTGGCCACTGACGGTCACTCGGCTTCCGCCCTGCTGCCTGCCCAGAGGCTGGGCCGTGGCTCACGGTGCTGGGGGCCGACAGCCTTGCCTCCCCAGTAGCACACACGAGGACACATGTGCAGGGCTTTTAGGAGCTGCACGCAGGGGAACCCGGACACCAAGGACGTAGCCCTTGTCCCCCAGGGACACGGCTTCTGGACAGCGAGTCACCGCACGGTGCTTCTGAGGCTCAGTGCAGCTTAGACCAGCAAACCACCTCAAGGACGCTGGGCTCAGCCCCTGCTGCACCGGGGGTGGGAGCCGCCTTTGAGGGCCTCCTCTCTCCCTCTGCCACCTCCCTGTCCACGCAGGGCTTGGGAGGCACAGCCACCAGCAGGCAGACTGGACACACAGGGGCAGGCAGCTGCACGGCATGGACTCCGGGCTTCACCTGCCACTGTGCCGTCCTCTGTGGCGTTGACGAGGAAGAGTTCCCAGGAGAAGGAGAGCCCCGGCACGTCCCCGCAGCCTTCGCACGCGGCCCGCAGAGACAGCTCGGCGTTCCAGTTGACAGAGGCGTCCCTGAAGCTGGCCCAGGAGATGCGCACAAACCTGGAACACAAGCGTGCATTGCAGGAGAAGCCGTGCCAAGGCACTGTGGCCACGGGCACGTGTGTTGGGTGTGTTGGAACTGCCCACCTTGGGCTGTGTGACCCTCACGTGTGCACTGTGCTCAGTGCACGCTTGTTCCCCCAGGCTTCAGAGACCTCCTCCAGGTGCACGGCTCTGGGCCCAGTCGCCCGCCCCGGCCACGCTTTCCTGCGTGGACACCAGCCTCAAACCCACCCTCACCTGGGCCTCTCAGGGTCCATCCACTAGATGGTTCCTGCAGGGCCCGGATGCTGAGAAGGAAGCGGGCATCTGCCTTGGCCTCAGCTCCGCTCTGTGGCCCACAAGCCCACTGCACAATGGCTACCTCTACCCTCTCTGACCAGCCCTGCTGAGGCCCACGATAGGGGCTGTGGCTCTTAGCCCACCGCACAATGGCTACCTCTGCCCTCTCTGACCAGCCCTGCTGAGGCCCAGGGTAGGGCCGTGGCTCTCCAGGTGCCAGAGGCTACTGTGCAAGCCCAGCAAGCGAGTTCCCACTTGCAGGGCCCGGGAAGGCTCTCACAGGCTGGGGCCACGGTGGTTGGGACGCCCGCAGGCCACCTCCAAGCGCTCCACTTCCCATTCCAACTTCCTGCTGATGCACACTTGGGAGCAGCTGGGGATGGCTCAGGTACCTGAGTACCTGCCACTGGAATGAGTTCCGGGCACCGGCTTTGGCCTGGCCAAGCCCTGGTGTTATGGACATCTGAGTGCAAGAGCAGGTCAGAGACCCCTGTCTGTCTCTTTCTGTCTCCAACTCTCAAGTAAATAAGTAAAAGGAGGAGGACGGTAAGGACTCCCTGGAGCATGCGGCTTGCAGTGTTTCCCACGAGGCTATGGTATGCCCGCACCCAGTGGCTCATCCAACAATTTTAGTACGTGGTGAGTGAACATTTTAATTAAGTTCTGTGATTACTTTGGTGCTAGCAGAATTCTATAGTGCATTGTATTGTTGGAATTAAAATGTTCGGTTTGTTAAATTCCCTTTGAGAACCTCTGGAGACTGGGCGGCACCGAGCAGCTCCCCTGACACCGAGGCCCACCCTGGCAGGGCCCGCTCTTGCCTCCTGAGCTGACTCCCACTGCTTCCCTCCCGAAACCCTGACCCGTGCAGGGTCTTCCGCCCTCGGAGGTCGGCAGGTTTGCTTCCTTCTTCGTTCGGGAAGCCTGTGGAACTCACCCGGCCCACCTGACCCCTTGTGAGCCTGGAGCCTCCCAGCTCCGCAGAGCTGTGGGCAGTGGGCAGTGCCAGCACTGCCTCCCAGGGGGACAGCAGCTTCCAGCCCTCCTGGGGAAGCAGCTCCCTCCCTCTGCTCACTTCCCCAGTGACTGAAGCCCCTCGGAGCAGCCGCAGCTCTGCCCACCCTGACACCTGCTGGGTTTGTGCGGGGGACTGTGCAGGGCCCATGGGAGCTGTTCACACCTCGGTGCTGCAGAGGTTATGGACTTGGGTCACGGACGTCTGTTCTTGCCACGCCACCCTTCACAGACTCAGACGTCACACAAGGCTCACTCGGGGGTCCCCGCAGCCCAGCTGTGCCGGGAAGGCCTGGGCAGCAGCACCAAAACACCTGGCCAAGATGCCAGATGGTCGCACTTCCTTGTGGGCCTGGGGGCAGGTGTTACGACAGGAGGGATGCCTGAGACCCCACTTGGTTCACCAGCATGGTGCCAGCAGCGTAAGACAGCAGCCAGAGCTGAGCCCCAGAGCGGACTGCACCCCTGCCCCTTCCTGACCTGTGCAGATCCTATGCAACCAAACCCGCATCACATGGTGGAGTCTTCTCGTAGCTGCCGCCACTGTCCAGTGGACGGGAGGACGCATGCACAGAGCTGGGCTATGCAGGACACAGGGCAGGCGTACCTGAAGGTGGGGTCCTGGCGGGTGGACAGGAACACCTGGGCCTCCGAAGAGTTCCGGCCGCCGCTGGAGACCGTCAGTGTCATGAGGAACTGGTCGCAGCAGGTGCTCAGCCATCTTGCTGAGAAAGCAATGGTGGGGGACCCTGTGTCCATGAGGCTGGGAAGGGAGTCCTCGAAGCAGGGCTGCCCAGGGGAGCTGGCGGCACTGCATGTCCAGTAGTACCTGTTGGGGATGCCATTGCCGGGGCTGAGTGCCGCCTTTGGCCAGAGACAGAGGACGACCCTGTGTCCAGGGCCGTGGTGGGGAGGGGGTGACACTCTCCGTCTCTGCTGCGAGTGAGGAGGGGCGGAGCCAGGATCGCCGCATCTGCTCCCCTCTCTGCCCCTCTCCAGGAAAGCAGCGCGTGCCCTGTGGTGCTGGGATGAGGCCGGGGGACCAGCATGGCCCACAGGGCTGTGGCAGTCCAGCTCTCAGAAGAAACGCCCTGGGCAGGGCCCCAGAAATGAGCTTTTTCTGCAAGCGCTAGCCCCAGCTGAGCCGCTCCTGAGCTCTGAGAGGTGCCCGCCCTGCCTGCTTTGCAGGTGCCTCATCTAGAGCTGTGCACAGAGGCCTGGGCCCCAGAGGCAGGGCTGGGTGTCGGGGAGCTGACGAGGTCCAACAGGTGAGACAGCTGAGAGGCGCCCACGTCAAGAGGCGGCTGCAGTCTCGCCTCAGAGGCTGATGGGGGCAGCCCCGAGGCCGAGAGGCCTCCAGGCACTGGACGGGGAGCTGACTGGCTGGGCCCACAGCCTGGGGCAGCCTGCCTGGAGCACTTGTGCCGGAGGCTGTGAAGCCTGGATATGGACAGATCCACAACAGGGTCCTAGGGAGCCCTGGGGAGGGGAGTGGGTGGACAAGAGGACACGGCCTGACAGCGGCGAGAGCCTCACCCACCGGGACGTGCACCACTCGGTCCGCGGCAGCTCGCCCGCCAGGAACTCTAGTGGTAAGGCCACAGGCAAAACTCACACTCCAGAACCATACGCCAAGACCACTTCGCTTCTACCTCTTTCCAAAGCTCCTAAATAAAACAGCTCAACTTACCAGCCCGGCAGGATTCTAACACCGACTCTCCTGCCGTGCCCAAGTCCACGTTCGGAAGGCAGAGCTGGGCCCTGCACACTCCCATGGCCCTCACCTGAGTGTGGCCCCTGGATGGTCGGGGTCATAGGACTGGGAGCCCCTGAGGACGATGGGGGCCGGGGCGTTCCTGGGGACGAACAGGTGCGTGCCCTCCGCGATGACGCTGACGGGCGCCCGGGGCCGCACTTCCACACCCACGCAGTAGTCGCTGTGAACCACACTGCCCCGGATCTGCACCTGTGGGGCCAAGGCCAAGGGCAGCACACGGATGAGCCAGTGCCTACTGGAGCCACAGGCGCCACCCAACCACAAAGGAAACGGCCATTCCAAACATGTCCTCTGCCTCCAACCGATCCAGCCCCGTCTGTCACGAGAGACCACCTGTCGCACGCCCATCGGAGCTGTGGGTGGCACTGAGGAGAGCCTGGGCCTTCTCCTGCCCAGTCTCACAAGGTGGGCCACCCCGGCGGTGCTACAGCCCTCGGCAGGACACAGCAGGCCTCTGCTCCTTAGCCACGCCGCCCCGCCCTGCGCCAGCCTGGCACGCACCACCAGAGGACTCCCCGGCAGCCACCCTGCGACCTGCTTACGGCTCCTTCCCAGTTCCGTGTCCCGAGAGGAGTCTGTGCAGAGCTCGGAACCTCTAGCTTTTCCACGGCTGCCCCTGCCACAGCGCCCCTCACAGCATGGTGCCTGGTGCTGTCCCTCGGCCAACTGCCAGGGCCGGCTTCAGGAGGGGCTGGCACAGGCATTGCAAGGCAGCCTGAGGGTTCTGGCCAGTGCCCACAGCACCAACATGCTGCCCAGGCTTCCCCGATCTGCACCCAGGACCAGCACTGACGTGGTGTCCACACTGCCCCGAGCCATGCCCAGGGCCGGCACTGACATATCCACACTGCCCTGAGCCATGCCCAGGGCCAGCACTGATGTGGTGCCCACACTTCCCTGACCCACGCCCAGGGCTGGCACTGGCATGGTGTCCACACTGTCCCGAGCCACCCCAGGGCCGGCATTGATGTGGTGTCCACACTGCCCTGAGCTGCACCCGGGGCCAGGGCATGCAGCAGCCTGCACTGAGCTGAGCTGCGGCGCCCAGGCTGGCCACCCCAGAGTGCAGGGAGGCCAGCCCCTCCCGCGCAGACTCTGGGGCACACCCTGCTCTCAGGCTGCAGGTCCTCAGCCTGGAGGTCCCACCTTGCAGCCATCTGAGCCCACACCCTCTAAGGGTCTGCTGACCTGGCTCCTGCCACCAGCCTCCGCAAGCTGCTGCCTCCCCCACCCCTTCCTCTGCCTGTGAGCTGACTCTTTCGGGACCCTCTTTTGTGAAGCTCACTTTTGTAGAAGTGCCCCACTCTGGGGCCAGCGTTGTGGCATAGAAGGTAAAACTGCTGCCTGCATTCCCAGCATCCCCGTGGGCACTGATTCCTGTCCTGGCTGCTCCACTTCTGATCCAGCTCCCTGCTAATGAGCCCAGGTAAAGCGGCGGAAGACGGCCCAGGTGTTTGGGCCTCTGACACCACGTGGGCGACCTGAAGAAGCTCCTGGCTCCTGCCTTTGGTCTGGCCCAGCACTGGCCATTGCGGCCACTTGGGGAGTGAATCGGTGGATGGAGCATCTCTCTCTCTCTCCATTTTTCACCATAATTCTGACCTTCAAAATAAATAAATAAATCTTAAAAAAAGGTCCCCCCCCCCACAGCCCCCTATTCTCACCATGATCCAACCCAAACACGCTGAGCATCGGCTGAAGGTCAAAGGACCACGCGGCCATAGCAGGTGCCCCACGCGAGCCCCGCCCCTGAGGGGTGCACGGCCTCCTTCCTCCCACACAGCAGGGGCAGAGGCACATCCACGTCCCAGAACCAGCGTTCAACACACTGGCGGGACTTCGCCACTGATCACTCTGCCAGCACTGGGACATATCCATTCTCTGGGGAAAATCAACCATTTCCCGTAAAACACCCCACACTTCTTGGCTGGGACAGGCCTAGAGGACACAGCCGTGGCCGAGGCCTTGCCCGGGGCTGGAGGCCAGCAGGGTTCCTCAGGGCTGAGGTCCAGACCTTGGCCGTGGCCGTGTAGTTCCCGCTGGCCAGGGTGTAGCCCGGCAACACCACTGTTTGCCTGCGGGTGTTGACGGCAGCAGGGAGCGGCACGTGTGAGCCCTTGGCATCCAGGAAGCTCCAGGTGTAGGCAAGGCCTTGGGAGATGTCGCAGAGGACAGCAGCTTCAAAGGTGACCCCCAGTCTCAGGGGCTGGGACCTCCAAATCTAAGCACGAGAGAGAGAAGACGCCTCATTAGAGCCTGGCACCTCCCGCACAGGCAGCCGCCGGTGCACTCGCCCCCAGGTCTCTGCGCTGATCCCGGCTGGGACCCCCAGGGATGGCGCTGATGTAGTGTCAGGTCAGAGACAACACCTGTTTCACAGAAAAACTAAAAAGCACAGAAAATAACCAGGAAAAAAGAGTGAGTAAGCATTAATAAAATACGCACTCCGTGGGAAGAGCCAGCTTTTGAAGAAATGTTGGAATTCATGATTATTCGATTATTTCGATTATTATTATTATTATTTCGATTATTATTATTTTGATTATTTTTTGTTTCTACTCTGAACATGATACGATTCCAGGATTTGTCACACACTGCCCAGGCTCACAGGGGCTACCTCAAATTTCAGTACCGACGACAGGCAGACCTCGAGCCCGGCAGTGGTAACAGAAACACAGTGGTATTAGAGACAGAGTGTGCGGTGGGGGCGGCACCCAGGAGGGCTCGGCCAGCTCCTGGGGAGGCGGCGGTGACCTCGGCTCTGTGACGGTTAGGGACTGCTCTTGGGGAGCACTCCGGGACGCCACGTCGCTCAGCGTGACGGAAGATGGGAACACACCCAGCAGTGTGGATGCTGTTCGTGCTGGGGATTTGTGCGGGACCCAGCATCGTGCAGCCAGAAAACACGGTCTTACGTGCCAGGAGAAAATGCTCACACTAACCAGCTCATCACTGACCTTGAGATACACACATGCCCGCGCACGCGCGCGCACACACACACACACACACATGAGGATCAGACAAACGCGGAAAATAAATCCACCAGATGACTGACAGTGGCTCCCTTCTGATCATTCCACTTATTTCTTCTGGATACTTTTAGAAAATGTAAAAAAGAGTATCAAGGAAAAAAAAGGATCAGAATTGTTGGTATTGCTCTCTTCACTTTGCAGCTGAGAAAATACAAACGAAACCAAAAACGTCTCGCAGATAAAAGAACCCGGCCCTCACCACAGAGCCAAGACTGAGCAGGGCCCCCACTGGCACCCGTGCCCTGCCAGCTGTGGCCTCTTCCACTCCTGACCCTGGCTCCCTGGCCTGGCCACGGCCCCACAGAGCAGCCCTGGTGTCGGCATGGCTGGCCCAGAGGGCGGGCAGGGGTCTTGCCCGTGAGAGGCACCCTGTCACACCCCTCTGGGGTGTCCGGCTCGTGGCTCTGAGGGCCCAGCAGCGGGGCCTCTGGGGCTTGGACGCCACGTAGGGCAATGCGCAGTCAGTCCTGGACGTGAGCTCCCCATGCCACATGGGCACCTGCACGCTGGACAGGGAAACCCGCCCTACTCGAGGCCTCCAGGGAAAGAAAGAGAGCAGCAGCTCCACTTTCCCGACTCGAAGGAAGCACTCAACAGATCCCATCTCTCTTTTTTTGACAGGCAGAGTGGACAGTGAGAGAGAGAGACAGAGAGAAAGGTCTTCCTTTGCCGTTGGTTCACCCTCCAATGGCCACTGCGGCTGGTGCACCGCGCTGATCCGAAGGCAGGAGCCAGGTGCTTCTCCTGGTCTCCCATGGGGTGCAGGGCCCAAGCACTTGGGCCATCCTCCACTGCACTCCCGGGCCACAGTAGAGAGCTGGCCTGGAAGAGGGGCAACCGGGACAGAATCTGGCGCCCCGACGGGGACTAGAACCCGGTGTGCCGGCACCGCAAGGTGGAGGATTAGCCTAGTGAGCCACGGCGCCAGCCCCCATCTCTTCTGAGCTTCCTTTCCCCTGGAAACCACCACGGTTCTCTGAAGATCAACAATCCAACAGCCCTCAGAGTGGGCCGAGCTGGACGCACACAGCCCTCGCTTTCCACCTCCCGGCCTGCTCTGGGCGAGGCGGCAGGAGGCCCCGAGCGCCCCCCACCCCGCCCCGCCCCCCTACCTGCACCTTCCCGGGCCCCATGTTCTTCACGGGGGGCGGCTGGCAGGGCTCCCGCACGATGAAGAGCCGCTTCTGCAGCGTGGCGGTGCTGACGGCGTTGAAGGCGAGAACCTGCACCGTGAACTCCCCCTCCCTGGAGGGCGGAGAGCAGCCAGGTGAGGACGGGCGCTGCTGACCATGGCCTCACCCACCCTTCGTAACCGGCCTGCACCTGCAGAAGGGTGGGTTCCACGGCAAGGCAGCCTGACCAGCGAGGGCAGAAGAGGCCAAGGGCACAAGCTGACCCCAGACATATTCATGGTCCGCCTGCCACGCCCAGCCAGGTGTGAAGCCCCAGACCCATGTCCATGCACAGGGTGAGGGCAACGCTGCTCCAGGCATGCACAGCCCAGCCCCTGCTGACCCCAGGCCCATCCACGACCTGTGGCTGTGACCAGCACCCTGCCTGTACCTGGGGCACCCATTTCCTGCTCTGGTCCCTACTGGGTGGACAGAACTGGACCATGGGCCAGTGTCCAGCCTGGGGAGTGGAGGGTCCCAGGCCTGGCGTGTTGGACTGGGAGGCGTGAGCCAGGCAGCTGCTGACCCACGGGTCGTACTTTACAGAGGAGAGGCAGATGCAGAATGGGCCAGCACTCAAGCCTTCACACTCCCGCACCAGAAACCGTCTTGTCAGAACTGCAGTGTGCAAGGAGTGGCAGCAGGGAGGCCACAGGGGAGGAGGAGGAGCTGGCCCCCGGGGAGGAGGAAGGCTCCGTGGTCATCTCAGCTGTTCAGGGAGCACCAGGCAAGTGCTGGAGACGGCACCGAGCACGCCCGCTCCCTTCTACACGGCAAGAGGGCCCCTCAGAGCCACGGAGGACGTGGACACCCAGGCCCTGGCGCTCAGCCCCCAGGCACTACTGCTCAATCCCCCCCACCCCGGGAGGCTCTATCTCCAGTCCAGAAGCCCTGCATCTGTAGCCGGCGGTGGGCATGAGGAGTCCCTGGCTAGGTGTGGGGCCTCTGTGCGTGAGGACGCCTGAACGGTGCCACAGGCCTCGTTTTCAGGGCACCTCTGCACGCGCTGGGTCTCTCTGCAGCTCACGCCACCCGAGGCTGACTGGCCCTGTCCTCTGCACCTGCACGGCCGTGGGCACTGGACGCACTCGGGCCCTGGACTCACCCTGGCCGGATGCTCACCCGTCCTGGAGCGCTGCAGTCCTGTGGTTTGTGCCTGGGGCCTCCCACGGGCCTCGTGCCCTCGTCCAGAAATGCCACATTTATTTTGGACACAGGCAGTCACACCCCTTTTTTGTAAAGTCATGCACTGTGTCTAGCCTCCGGCAACCACAGACCACGTCCACACAACGTGGCCATGAGATCACAACGGGGCTGAAAACCCCTGTGGCCCAGGGACATCACAGCACATCGTCGCTCCCGAGGCTGTGGGAGCCCGAGGGCTGAAGCGTGGGACACCAGCACTAGCCACCCCTGCAGCCGTCAGCACCCCGCACGGTCCACCTGCTGTAGACGTGGCTGCTGCGGTGGCTCCCCAGGCTGACCGTGCCATCACCAAAGTCCCAGTGGTAGGCCACGTCCGTGCCAAAGCTGATTCTGCACTCAAAGGCCACGCTGGTGTTGACCAGAGCCGAGGCGGCGGACAGCAGCCTGTTGGCCACAATTCTCTGCTGCACCCTGACGAGGTGGGGCTTGGAGACCACGCTGCTGACCATGCTGGAGGCTTTGACCGTCACCTGGTACCTGCCGGGGCGGTCAGGAGAGGCAGATGGCAAGCTCAGAGCAGAAAGGCCGACTGGCACCCAGGGACCCCACCCCACACAGGACTAGGTGGGTGCCACAGTGACCACCCCTTGGGATCCAGTTCACCTCTCAGGGCCATGGGCTGTGTGGGGCCCTGGGAACCGGGGACTGTCCGCAGAGCCTGCACCTGACATGCGTCCACACCGGAGGGAAGCGAGTCCCTCTTCCTTCAGTCCAATCCTTACAGTTACGCCTGCTCACTGAGCACCCAGCGCTATCGCAACATGACCCCCACGGCCTGGATGACTGCCCTGGCCGGCGTGCCGCAGACACCACCACGCCTGGGGCTACGCACCCTCGGGGTACACGGAGCCGTCTCCTAACGCTTCTGGAAGTTGTCTGCACCGGCGGGTCGTTGCCAAAATACCACACGAACTCCAGGGGGATGGTTTCCGTGGTAACAGCCTCAAAGGCGATGTCCGCGTCTGCGGCAAACACAGTTCCGTTCGTGTAGACGGACAAGGCTGTGAGAGAGAGACAGAGTGTGGACGCGTCAGCGTGGCAGGACTGGGACTGCCCAGAGACTCAGCTCTCGGCTCGGCTTCTCCACTCGGTGGTCCAGGGCTTGTGGCGAGGGGCGTGAGCCTGGGGGTGTTAGCGCTCGGCAGGACTGCGGAGCCACGCCGCTGACCTCACGGCTCAGGACCCAGGTGGCCGGCTGCATGGCTCCTCTGGGGACAGTGCTGGAGCGAGCAGGAGTGTGCGGGAGCCGGAGGCAGCTGACCTCTGACCTCACGCGCCTGGGGCAGGAGCCTGGAGCCTGCACTTTCCAGAAGCCCCCCGCCCAGAAGCAAAGGACCAGCTCAGGGCCGGGGGGCCGGGGCGGAGCTGTGCGGTCTGCATGGGGAGAGTCTGTCAGTCCTGGAGCTGGAGCAGAACCTACGCTGCATCCTGTAGCAAACAGCCACGCTGCGCCACGCCGGGCCGAGCCCCGCCTGCGTTCGGGAAGCGAAGGACACGGTATACGAGGACACGGACGGGAAACGGTGCATCACAACCACGCCTGGAACAAGGGGAAAAGACAAAGTTGCCTTCCGACGAGTTCACTCTCGTGCGGCGCGTGGTCAGCATTTCCCACTTCTCCTCCTTCCCTCTTGGGACTGCAGTCAATTCGAAATCTGAGGCCTGAGTCTGGAATGGGACAGAGCTGGGAAACGTGGAGCCAGAATCCCTCCCAGGAGAATGCTCCCTCCAGAGAGCTCCCCACAGAGCAGCAACGCACCAGCTCCTTGGGATCCGTGATGCGAGGCTGGATGGCCTGTTCTCCCTCCAGCACACACGCCGAGGGGTCCCAGTGTCGGCTGTTCTCAGTGGGGCCAACAATGAGCCTCAGCAGCTCAGCCCTCTCAAATGGGGCCCGAGTTGTACAGACAGACATACACGCATGTGACAGACAGCACATACCCCACCTTCCCCATGTGCCCCATGTGCCAGGTAGATACCACACACACACGCATGTAACATACCCCACCTTCCCCACGTGTCCAATAGATACCACACACACACACGCATACAACAGACAGCACATACCCCACCTTCCCCATGTGCCCAATAGATACCACACACACACATATACACACACATGCATGTAACAGACACCACATACCCCACCTTCCCCACGTGTCCAATAGATACCACACACACACATGCAAGTGACAGACAGCACATACCCCATGTGTCCAATAGATACCACACACACACACACACGCATACAACAGACAGCACATACCCCATGTTTCCCATGTGTCCGGTACATACCACACACATGTACACACACATACACGGCAGACACCCCCCACACATGCATTGCATCATGTGTGGCATGCACATGCTGTGTGTGTGCTCACATGTGTGTATATGTGTGCGTGTTTGCATGCAGGTGTATGTGCATGTGTGTACCAGGAGGCAGACACCACATACCCCACATTCCCCATGTGCTCAGTAGATACAACACACACACACACACACATGTATTAAATCATGTATGGCATGTACATGTTGCATGTGTGCTCACATGTGTGTATACATGTGTGTGCAGGTGTATGTGCAGGTGTGTACCGGGAGGCACCCATGCCCCGTGCTGCCTGGGGGGATTGGGAGCAAGCCGTGTGCCACGAGGGGTGCTAAGGAAGGCGGTGGGGACTTCCTGCCCTTGCTGGCCCCCGGAATGGCGCTTCTCTTTCTTCCAACAGAGAAAAAGCACAGTGGACACTGTGTCCTTTACCAAAGCACTGGGAGGCCCACAAAACGAAGCCCCTGTGCGTGAGAGTGACACAATGTCACCAGTGAGACCGCAGTCAACCTGACCACACCCGGCCATCAAGAAGCCCAGCCCAGCCCAGGGGCGGCGCTGCGGCCCAGTGGGTACAGCCGCCACCTGCGACTCTGGCACCCTAGACGGGCACGGGTTCGAGTCCCGGCTGCTCCACTTCTGACCCAGCTCCCTGCTAATGCGCCTGGGAAGGCAGTGGCATTTGGGGAGTGAACAAGCGGATGAAGATCTCTCTCTCTGTCTCCCCCTCTCTGTGACTCTACCTTTCAAATATATAAACTACTTCTTTTATTTCAAAAGAAAGAAAGAAAAGCAGCACAGTTCACAGATGGACACTGCATGGCAGCCTGGGGGCGGGGCTGGGCTGGAGTAAAGCCCAGGAGTCCCCACTCTCCTCCTGCAGGGCTGTCTCTCTCAGAGGAGGCAACTGCAGTGCGGAAAAGTCCCCGTGGACCAGCTGGTGGCTCAGGGGTCACAGGGGTCAGGAGGTCCTCCAGGTTCTGGTCACTCTTGATGGGGAGCACCTCGCTAGGCTGACCGAACGGAACAGGTTACACGGCCTCCTACGAGAGCCACACACAGTCCCGCCCCCTGGGGTGCACGCTGGCTCCTGCTCTGTCGGCACGGGGTGGGGTTCCTCCCTCCGCAGGACGCATTTGGGGCTCCCCCACCCCCTGCTGTGCTGTGGACGTCCCCTGTGGAGAACTGACAGAGGGAGCAGAGGCCGAGCTCTCAGGTGTGACCACCGTGAGGGACGCAGGAGGACCCTCACTGCCCCGGCCTGACCCTGCTCGCCCTCAGCGCTGCCCTCGGCCCAGCTCTGGGTGGCGCTCCCGAGTGCCTTGCCCCCTGCCTCCTCACAGGGGCCACGCCCACTTCACAGGGGCCACACCCACATCACAGGGGCCACACCTTCCTCACAGGGGCCCTCACCCACGTCACAGGGACCCTTACCCACGTCACAAGGGCCCTCACCCACGTCACAGGGGCCCATACCCACTTCACAGGGGCCCACGCCCACTTCACAGGGCCCACGCCCACATCACAGGGGCCACACCCACATCACAGGGCCCACGCCCACATCACAGGGGCCCACGCCCACATCACAGGGCCCACGCCCACATCACAGGGCCCACGGCCACTTCACAGGGACCCACGCCCACATCACAGGGGCCCACGCCCACGTCACAGGGGTCACGCCCACGTCACAGGGGCCCACGCCCACGTCACAGGGACCCTCACCCACGTCACAGGGGCCCATGCCCACATCACAGGGGCCCACGCCCTCCTCACAGGGGCCACGCCCTCCTCACAGGGCCCACGCCCACTTCACAGGGGCCCACCCACATCACAGGGGCCCACCCACATCACAGGGGCCCACGCCCACATCACAGGGGCCCTCACCCATGTCACAGGGGCCCACGCCCACATCACAGGGGCCCTCACCCATGTCACAGGGGCCCACGCCCACTTCACAGGGACTACGCCCTCCTCGCAGGGGCCCACACCCACATCACAGGGGCCCTCACCCATGTCACAGGGGCCACACCCACTTCACAGGGGCCCACCCACATCACAGGGGCCCACGCCCTCCTCACAGGGGCCCACGCCCACTTCACAGGACCCATGCCCACTTCACAGGGGCCCACGCCCACATCACAGGGCCCACGGCCACTTCACAGGGGCCCACACCCACTTCACAGGGGCCCTCACCCATGTCACAGGGGCCACGTGCAGTTCTGCGGACAGTCCCCGGTTCCCAGGGCCCCACACCTCCTCACAGGGGCCCACACCCACATCACAGGGGCCCACGCCCACATCACAGGGGCCACGCCCACATCACAGGGGCCCACCCACATCACAGGGGCCCACGCCCACTTTACAGGGGCCCACCCACATCACAGGGGCTACGCCCTCCTCACAGGGGCCATGCCCACATCACAGGGACCACGCCCTCCTCACAGGGGCCACACCCACATCACACATGACCCCCAGCTCCTGGGACCTCCAGCCCCTGGCCAAGCCCTTCTCCAGGAGCTTCACGTCCCGTCTCTCCTCCGTCCTGCACCTCAGTGCCTCCCCTGGGGTCCTGCTTGCACCCCCCACCCCGGTTCCAGTCCTGGCTCTGCTCTCAATTCCAGCTTCCCGCTAAGGCACACCCTGGGAAGCAGGAGGTGATGGTTCAAGGGTCCCCGCCACCCCTGTGAAGACCAGGATTGGGCTCCTGGCTCCTGGCCTCGGCCTGGCCCAGCCCTAGTTGCTGCCAGCATTTGGGGTATGGACCAGCAGGAGGGAGGTTCCTCTATCTCTCCCCTTGCCTTTAAGAATAAAATGAAAGTAAGTTCGTCAGTGGCTTTATAGGTTACATAGGACCCTGTACCACGTCATCTTCACGTCCCCAGAGCGGGGATTCTTCCAGAACTGCTTCCTGAACGAGGGGAACAGACGGGGGTGACACGTGGAACCTGGGACTGCTGCGACTTGAGCCGAGTTCAGAGGTGACGGTGGCCGGCTCAGCCTCCAGACGTGGTCCTTACCCTTCCCGTTCGCGTGGGAGCCAGCAAAGGCCAGAGCCTCCCCTGCGTGGACGCTGCTGGAATTCATGAACACAGACACGGCCTCGCGGCCAACTTCCACAAAGTAAGGCCCGAGCTCCACGGGGCCTCCACGGACGCCATCGTCAATAAGAGCCCTGAGCGAATGGACAGCCTCTGAAAGAGAAGCGAGAAGGCACGAGAGGAGAACTGTTAGAGGCACGGGGGGCAGCCGGCACGGGGGACAGCTGGCACGGGGGACAGCTGGCATGGGGAGTGAACCGCTAGAGGCACGGGGTCGGGGGTGAACCGTTAGAGGCACGGGGGACAGCCGGCACGGGGGACAGCATGGTGGCACTGGGCTGGCCAGGAACGGGCACCGTAAGGACTGCTTTTCCTTTCACAGCAGCTGGGCTGCCTCGCAGGAGTGCGACCCACACTCCATGCAGAGCCCACGCTCACAGGTGTGCGACGACCCACACTCCACGCAGAGCCCACACTCACAGGTGTGCGACGACCCACACTCCACGCAGAGCCCATGCTCGCAGGGGTGTGACCCACACTCAGAGCCCACGCTCGCAGGGGTGCGACCCGCACTCCACTCAAAGCCTATGCTCACAGGGGTGTGACCCACACTCAGAGCCCACACTCACAGGTGTGCGACGACCCGTACTCCACTCAGAGCCCACGCTCACAGGTGTGTGACAACCCACACTCCACTCAGAGCCCATGCTCGCAGGGGTGTGACCCACACTCAGAGTCACGCTCGCAGGGGTGTGACCCACACTCAGAGCCCATGCTCACAGGGGTGTGACCCACACTCAGAGTCACGCTCGCAGGGGTGTGACCCACACTCAGAGCCCATGCTCGCAGGGGTGTGACCCACACTCAGAGCCCATGCTCACAGGGGGGTGACCCACACTCAGAGTCACGCTCGCAGGGGTGTGACCCGCACTCCACTCAAAGCCTATGCTCACAGGGGCGTGACCCACACTCAGAGTCACACTCGCAGGGGTGCGACCTGCACTCCACTCAAAGCCTATGCTCACAGGGGTGTGACCCACACCCCACTCAGAGCCCTCGCTCGCCAAGATCCGGGTGTGGCTTCAATTCTCATTGATGGTTCTTGGCCCTGAGTGACGCAGCCACTTCTGCACAGTTGGGGATCCTGACAGGACAAGGCAGAGCATTGGTCACCTACAGCTGGGCAAGGTCAGGATGTGAATTAGCAGCCCTGTGGGACTACAGGCAGAGTTACAGCGGGTTACGAAAGTGGCCCATGCCTTGCCCTGTTCTCACACCCTCCTGCCACGGCCACAACGTGACACTGGCTCCTGTCACTGAGTGGCGGATGTATTTCTACACCTTCCTGAATCAGTGCTGGTCTGTGCCAATGGATTTGCAAGGTGTGTGCGCCTTGGGGTTTGCCCTCTCCTGCTAGCCTGGGGACGGCAGTCACCGCGAAGCCCGGTCTCCCATGCTGGGGGCAGAGAGACGTGACTGCGCGGTCCCGGAAGGGGCGTCTTAGCCACTCAGGACCAGCCTGGACCCGAGGGTCTCCCAGCGGAACTGTGAGCTAAATGCACGGTGGGTGTGGGCCCGAGCTGAGGGTGCCTTCTTCACACATCAGCAGAGGACGGATACGACCCCACTGGGCTGCGGAGGGAGTCCTGGCAGGGGCCCTGGGATGCAGCCATATTCCCGGCAGGGCCCACCAGGGGAAAAGCTGCCCCCATTCTCTGATGACCACACCCACCCTCACGCACAATATCTCAAGCTGCCCGAGTGACCATTCTGCTCCCAGCTTTAAAATGCAGCCTGGCCCCTGGCCGAGCCATTCCCCTCGGCTGGGCAGGTCCAGTCACCATGCCTGCTCTGCCGGGCACACCCCTGAGCCAGCACGGTCTCTACCGCAGACCTGCCCCTGGGCTCCCAGGCCCTCGGCCAGCTTGCGCTCACGTGAATGACCGGGCAGATGAGCGGCTGTGTCCGGCTGTGCCCCAGCCCGGGCCTGGACTTCCCTTTCCGACTTCTACACTTTCTGCCTGCCTTCCTCGTCCCAGACCTCACGCCCAGGGGCGCCAGATGAACGGCGACGCCAACGAGAAGTGCAGAGTGTGAGCACGCTCTCTCGGCAGACACGGGCGCGTCCTGAAGATGTGGCCTGCACCCCGTGGGCAGGGAGAGCGGCATTTCCCCTCGCTTACATCACGAAAGACGTGAGACCACAGGCCGCTGTCGCCCAGCGGAGTGCGGCGAGAATCTTTACCGCCCATCTTCCTAGGATGCGGGTGTGCGACGGGCCAGGGGCCAGGCGGGTACCACGAGAACATTAAAGAACAAGCTTTACAAAGCGAAGAAATCCCGTGTGCTAAGCAGGCACATGTCCGGATTCCCCACTCGGCCGTCCCCATCATCTCGCGGGGTCTGTGACTGGCTGCGTGGCCTGGGCCAGCCCCGCGAGGTCTTTGGTGAAGATGCAGCACCGTGAACTTCAGTGTAAGAGAAAGAGTGAGCGACATTACACGCATGTGCTCAAGGGCACCTCGCGTGACCTCCAAGAGTGGCTGCTTCCCGAAGTTCCTTGTGCATAGGGAGAGGCTTCCTGACATTGGCTAAACGCTGGGTGACCCAGGGATAGTTCCCCTCCCTGACTCTGGGCTGACGAGGAGACTGGCTACAGCAGGAGACGCAGGCAGACACAGCCACCTGCACCAGCACCACCGGCCCAGGGGCACGCAGTGGGCTCGCCTGTGCCCGGCGTCCCAAGCACTGCCTCTCAGGTCCCTGAGCAACTCCCTTGCGGCTCCGGAGGACATCGGCCCTACCTTTCCCCTCCTGGTGGCAGGCGGTCACTGTGGCAGCCTTGGTCACATTGTAGAGGCTCGTTTCAATGCCAGCACTGTCCCCGAACGCCATCAGCAGGCAAAGGGCTGCTCCAGACGCCGTGTGGACGCGGAGTCCCAGAACTGGAGGGGCCTGGGCGTCTGTTTCCAGGAAGTGGTGGAGGCCAGGGTCCAGGGCTCCATCCGTGCCTCGCATGGGGACAGTCCCAGGAGGACACTGGGTGAGAACACAGAGCATCCGGGGTCCAGACCAGGACACAGAGAGGCTAGGGCTGTGGGAAGCAGCCGGCGGAAGGCAGAGAGAGCTGTGGGAGAGAGGCGGGCATCACCCACTGCGTCGCCAGGAAGGTGGGGGCAGCAGCCTGACCTGGGGCCAGCCAGGGTGAAGCTGAGGTGAGGCTTCTCAAAGTGGGGTGCCCCGGGCAGCAGCCGTTCAGCACTGAGCACTTGTGCCCACCCCCAGAGTCAGAAACCCTGGGGAGGGGACAGCAGGCCCCCCGGGCACCCCAACTGCAGCCACAGTGAGGAGCAGACACTCCGTCTCATCACCGAGTGTATGCACAGACTGTGTCTCCCACACTCACCTCCCGCGCTTTTGTAAGAACACCCTGGGGCGGGGGCATCACTCCCATGTCTCTACCTTAGTTCCTCGTGGCACCAGCATACTGGGAGCTGGGGACAGTCAGGTCCCCTCGACCCTCAGCCGCCGGGACTGCTCCCTGGTGAGGCAGGGAGGCCGACAGTGCACAAGGGGGTGAAACCCTGCACGCCAAGACCCCTGCACGGGCAGGGAGATGGTTGACAGACCCCAAAGAGCAACTGCCCTCCCCCTGCAGCGGCCCCCAGGTCACAGTCAGAACAATCTGAAAATGAAGGCAGCCAAGCGCCGGGGCCGTGTGGCACTGAGGGGACAGTGACGCCATCCATGGCGTGGGGACCTGTGTGCTGGCTCGGCGGCAGCTCCGCTGACAGCAGCGATGAGGAGGCTCGAGAACCGGCCCCTGGCTCACCCTCCGCTCACCTGGGAGACGTGGGCAAAGGGAAAGGCGGCCCCGGCGGTGCGCTCGCGGATCCAGCCGCCTCGGTCCCAGGGCGCGGCAGCCCCTCCAGCCCTTCGGCCGCGTCCCCTGCAGAGCACTGCCCTCCGAGGATACGGCAGGACGTGGCCACTGTCCAGTTGCAGGGTGCCACTCCCCGGGAGGTTCCCTGGAAGGAGAGAGCAGGAGCAGCTGAGGGGCCTCAGCCCGGCCTGGCCCGGCCCCGGCGCTCGCTGTTCTCTGTGGCTAAGGGCCCCCGGGGGCCGGCTGGGTCTGTTCATTGGTGACAACGGATCAGCCTTGTGCGATGGCACCACGCTGGGATGGGGGGGTTCAGGCTTGCCCTCTGGAGGCACGTGTATCAGGAATTTGGGACTGCGTATGCTCAGACGTCCAGGTTGCCCTCTTGGCTAAGCTAACGGGATGTCAGTGGTTTACGCGGCTTCCGCAACGCCAAGTTGCCAGCTGAGAACACTCTGGCAGGCAGCAGGAGCAGGAAAGCTGTTTTGCTGTGCATCCAGGACGAATCTCAGTTACACCCCCCAGACTGCCGAGCACCGTCCCAGGGACTCAGCAATGCACAGTCTCTGGCCACCGTGAGGCCCTGGCACACGGGCCAGCACCCACTGTCCCCCTGCAACCTTCATGTGGGGTTCAGAGCGAGCACCGACCTTGAGGAGACCTGAGAGGGAGCCGCCTGCATTCCCCGCTGCACACAGCTGCCTGCGAGGGGACCTGGGGCTGTGCCCGCTCCAGAGGCTGCCGATCGGAACGGAAGGTGGGCGGGGGCCTCTGCGGGGAAAAGCAGAGAGAAGGAAGCCTGGTGGCATCTCAGACCGTTGTCACTGTCCCGACGGCTTTGCTGTGCATGGAGGCCTGTTCCCGGGAGCAGGGCCAGACTCACACACTGCTCAGAAACCAAGCCAGGAGGAGTCCCAGGGCAGAGTGCGGCACACTAAAATCTAGGCTGCTGCCCCCAGTGGCTCCCCAGATGGGCGAGTCCCATTCTACATGGCCCGTCTGCCCCGTGGGGCACTCCCAGGCCCCAGGCTCCAGGCTCAGGAGGAAGTCCTCGCTCTGAGCGCAGGACAGGTTAGCCCCAGCCCCTGGGTACGTGGCAGCCAGTACCTCGTGCCTTCACCAGCTTCCTTTCTGCCTGCCCTGCTGGGCTGAGGCTTCCCCGGACCCCCGAGGCCAGAGCTGAAGTCGACTCCTTGTCTCAGCCCGGGACTCATCACAGAGAGCCTGCCCCTCCCAGGCGCCCGCACTGTGATAGTGGGAGTTCCCAGGCCCCTGCCCTGCCTAGGACAGGGCTGTCCCCCACCCCCGCCATGGGGCCTGGCCAGGGCAAGTGGCTCGTGCCTGTCTGCAGAGCCCTCGGGCCATCACAGGGCACTGCCACCGCTTCCCTCTCTGTCCGAGAAGGGGCTGCCTGCAGCGGGCCGGGCCCTGGAAGGAAGAAGCCACACTGGCTACAGCTGTGTGCCATTCTCGACCTGAGGACAGGGTGTGGTCTGTCCCTGCAGCGTGGCCCAGCAATGTGGCCGCTGTGGGCAGTGCCGGGACCTCCCACCTGCCCCACATGTGCCCTCTTCTCCCGGCTTTTTGTTGGACACATACCCTTCCTCTGTCCACCGGGCAGATGCTGCTCAGCGGCCACGGCCTAGTCCCAGCCCTGCCGGGACTCTTCCCACGTGGAAGTGGCCGGGGGCCTGGGCTGCCTCATCTAGCACAGCGTGACTGACCCTGTGCCTGGCCTTCAGCTCCCCGCCACGGGCAGCCCCCAACCCGCTGCCCAGCAGATGGAGGGCTTCAGCCATGGTGGATGTGTGCGTGCAGGGGGCATTTTAGAGAGGAGTAGAAGCAGCAATGCAGCCAGTAACCAGCACCGTAAGGAGCACAGGGACCAGGCGGGTTGCAGGTGATGGGCTCAGTGCCCGGGCAGCACCCAGGGGCGGCCTGCAGTGACAGCCTGTGAGCAGTGGCCCCGAGGGGACGAAGGCGAGGAGAGGCACGGGACATCACCTCGAGCCCACGAGTTTACTGAAAGGCAGCTACGCTCGTTCTGGGCGTGCGCCAATGCCCCCCCTCCCCCCCCCGCGCGGAGGGAAGGTGCGCGGTCACCCGCGTGCAGAAGAATCTGCCCGAGTCACGTTCACTTCACGTTTTAACTAACGATGCTGCCGCTTTTTAATTCTAAATTGTGATTAAGAAAAAAAAGAGCCAGCGTGGATATATCATCTGGTGTTGAGTTACAAACGGCGCGTCCCTGAACCTCAGCACGTGAGCGACCGTCTCCCCAGGAAAGGGACTTCCTGGCTCTGTAACAGTGTCCGTCTGCAAGTGAAAACGGGTGCACGCCCAGAACGCCCACATCTGGAGGTGACGAGATGTTGGAAGAGCTATAAAACGACGTGATGTTAAAGAGCACAGGTACAAGACCCGCGATACGCTGCTTTCCGACAAGGTCTTCCTGAATATCGGCCCCTTCTCTCCGTAAGAAATAACGAGAGGGCCTTGTTCACCTGCAGGCTTAGGCTGTATTTTACCAAAATAATTTCTAGTCCTTCGCGTTCTCTTTCCTAAAATCTTTGTTTAGAAAGAAACTCTGTGCTTCAACTATGTAGCTTTCTGTATTTGTCTTTAAAATGCTTTGGCCCTGTGGTTAAACAGATAACGAGTGTTTCACAGTGAAAGATAAAAATAAGCAAACGGATGCCCCACAGCCCAGCGCACAGCTCCGGCCGGGCTTCGCTGCACAGCCCCACGGCTCTTCCATCCGCACCGCGAGGCCGGCCCCGTTAGACACCCGCTGCTCACGCCTACCGCCCCAGCCCCCGCCTCCTACTCTGTAGGAACCGAGGTCTCCAGGCCACACAGAAGCAGCCAGTACTCTGTACAGAGCAGGGTGCCCTCGAGGCTGGGTCACATCACCACAGCTTCGCTGTCTGTGTGCCCTGCGCCGACGAGATAACCGGCCACCATCGTATCACCTGCTGGCACCCAGAGGCCACCACAGGGGCGGCACCACCCCATGTAGCTGCCAACCTCTGGGGTCGCTTGGTCACCGCCTGCTCTGATTCTGCAAATGCACTTTCTCGAAATCAACAGCGAGTGCCACTTCCCGGTCAGAAAAGCGTGACCAGCCGTGCCAGACGTGCCCGTCGGTGCTGCCACCCCAGTCCCGCGGAGCCTGAGCCGCCCCATCAGCGACACCTGACGCTGCTGGGCCCCTCGCTTTCAACATGGCCTGCAAGAAAAGAAAGGGGATAGGAGTGCTGCCGAAGACAGGCCCGCACACCGGAAGTCACGCTATGTCACGCCACACCACGCCACGTCACGCACCAGGTGACCGGCCCGCTGAGCCGCTCTGCCAGTGCAGTGTGCAGAAAGCAGAGCGCCCGGACCCTACATTCCCCACAGGAGGCCGGAAATGAGCAGGCAGACCCGGCACACAGAACGCAGCCGGCCATGGGTGGGATGGGTGCCAGGGGCTCTGTACACGGGCAGGGCAGGGGGCTCAGTGAGGTGGCACTGGAGCAGAGCTGGGCCAGCAGGGTGGACTCAGGCAGGCTGCAGGGGCTGCAGTGACCTAGCAGAGGCCAGCTGGGGGCAGGCCAGGCCCCGGAGTCTCGCTCTGAATGGGGTGAAGTGTTCTGGGCACACGCACGGCCCCGTGTGGCCTGCGTTTCGGCAGCAGCAGTATGGCTGCTGCACTGGGGACTGGGAGGAGAAGGGAGAAGGCAGGGGCTGCCCCGGAGCAGCCGGGGAAGGTGGGTGGAGGCCTGGGGGGCTAGGACAGATGGGCCAGCCGCTGGACTGAAGAGCGAACTCGGCAAGTCCAGGACTTGGCCTGAGCAAAGCAAGTGCTCGGTTGGGGTAGGGGCACAGAGAGCCCCAGGAGTCCCGTCTACGGGATCAAGACCTGTGCGACATGAAGGACAGGCCCTAAAGGCACCAACCGATGCTAAAAGCACAGCTGCTGGGTGGCTGGAGGCACCGGGGGCGGGGTGGGGGGCGGGGCGGGCAGGGATGGGAGCGCGGGCTACACCACCGCCCTGGGCCCTGCCGAAGGACTGCACTGCTTGGTTTTGAGCTCCTTGGGCACTCCTGCATGGACCCACACCAAGTGTCCCGGGGCCTGAGGCCTGCTGCCCAGCCCGGCGTGTGTCTGTGAGGGTGGATGGGCTGAAAACCTCTCCGCGCAGCTGGCTGTTTGCAGATGTGACCTGAGAATGGCCAGTGACGGCCACACCCAGCCACCCACCTCTGCCCAGCTCTGCCCTCGGCTCATCACTCACAGCCTTGCTTGGGAACTTGCAGAGAGTGACGGACAGACACGGAGCAGCTCCCACACACAGACACTGGGCACTGCCATCAAGTTCATTGTCAACACAAATTCCGCTGGACGCACTGTGCATGGGACGGCGGTGGGGGAGGGCCCAGGTGGGAGTGACAGGCTAGTCTCTGCCAAGGCAGCCAGGCTCTCAGGGCTCCCCGAGAATCGCCCCTGTGGGCTGCCAGTGTTTCTCTCTGGGGTCAAAGCGCCTTCCTAGTGAACAGCAGGTCACAGGGGGTCCCCAGCCCAGCCCCTGGCCATCTGGCCTCCAGGTTCCTCCCCACCACTAGGGCACTTCCTGCCTCACTTCCAGGGCTCGAGAGTTCCGACCCCTGTCCCAGCCGCAGCCCCCAACCTGCTGGCTGCTCTGATAAACACTGTGGAAGCTCACTACATTCAGGCAGCCTGGTCTCCATCACTGGGATTCTCAGAGCTTCCCCAACCTGCAACAAGACCAGGGCTGCTGGCGCTGGGCTGCAGGAGCCTCGGCCGTGCTGCCCCACCTGAGGGAAGCTCCCCACCTTGGGCCGGGTCGGGCCCATCTGCATGTGGAGCCTGGAGCCCCATCCTGCCTTTGTAACTGAACTCGCTTCACTGGCACAGAGCCGGCTATGCGTGACACCGGGGCACAATCTCCCTGGACACCGGGCAGCTCACGCAAGCACACCTTCTCCCAGGAGGCTGGGGGGGACGGCTCCTGCGACCCCACGCTTCCTGCTGTCCCCCTCAGAGAGCAGGACCGGCAGCCATGCTTCCCTCTGCTCCTCCACAGCAGGGGCTCTGCATGGAGCTCTGGAGGGAAAGAAACCAAGTCTGTTATACATAAAGTGAAGTTGCGACAGGCGGAGGTGAGAGAGGAGGGAGGACTCACTGCTGTGCACAGGTGAGGCTGCGACAGGCGGAGGTGAGAGAGGAGGACTCACTGCTGTGCACAGGTGAGGCTGCGACAGGTGGGGTGAGAGGAGGACTCACTGCTGTGCACAGGTGAGGCTGCGACAGGTGGAGGTGAGAGGAGGACTCACTGCTGTGCACAGGTGAGGCTGCGACAGGTGGAGGTGAGAGAGGAGGGAGGACTCACAGCTGTGCACAGGTGAGGCTGCAACAGGTGGAGGTGAGGGAGGAGGACTCACTGCTGTGCACAGGTGAGGCTGCGACAGGTGGGGGTGAGAGAGGAGGACTCACTGCTGTGCACAGGTGAGGCTGCGACAGGCGGAGGTGAGGGAGGAGGGAGGACTCACTGCTGTGCACAGGTGAGGCTGCGACAGGCGGAGGTGAGGGAGGAGGGAGGACTCACTGCTGTGCACAGGTGAGGCTGCGACAGGCGGAGGTGAGGGAGGAGGACTCACAGCTGTGCACAGGTGAGGCTGCGACAGGTGGGGGTGAGAGAGGAGGACTCACTGCTGTGCACAGGTGAGGCTGAGACAGGTGGAGGTGAGGGAGGAG